CCCCCCCCCCCCCCCCCCCCCCCCCCCCGCCCCTGAGAATTAGAACTTTAAGAACCTCAGAAACAGAAGTCAGGTAGTACTGGGTATTAGTGCTAAAAGGTGATGGGACCAGAGTTGGTTTCTACAGAAAAGATAAATGTACAAAGGAAGATACAAAAGTTTTACAGAAGAAATTGTCTTCAGATGGAGCAGAGAGAAGCACAAATGAGGACCATACAACCTTAGAGAGAGGGGGATAGACAAAGAGCATAGAAACTTAATACTTTCCATTCATTCCTGAGGCCTGTATGTATATCCTATAATTGGGAAAATAAAATATCACCTTGTAGCTTTCAAGTTTGAGCCAATTTGAGTGGGTTTCTGTTCCTTGCAAACTTTCTCCAAAATTATACAGTATAACTATAACTAAGTTTTGAACTTTAATCTTTTTTTTTTTTTTTTTTGGTGAGGAAGATTCACCCTGAGGTAACATCTGTTGGCAATTTTCCTCATTTTCTTTTTTTTTTGGCTTGAGGAAGATTAGCCCTGAGCTAACATCTGTGCCAATCTTCCTCTATTTTGTATGTGGTACGCCTCCACATCATGGCTGACAAGTGGAGTAGGTTCACTCCCAGGATCTGAACCCACAAACCCAGACCGCTAAAGTGGAGCGTGCAGACTTTAACCACTTAGCCACAGGGCCAGCCCCTTCACTTGTGACTATAAGTAAATAAAACAAAGTTATCAACAGTGAAAATTAATGACATTTTACATAAGAAAGCATAATCTTAACATTCCCATTTAAACCTTATGTTAAGTCAAGTTTGTTTTTTTTTTTAGCTCAAATGCCTTTTACTATTAATGGCAATAGCAAGCAAAAATAATCAGCAAATATTGTTATTAATTTTAAACAGTAAATAATAATTTAACTCAGGTTCGATGGCTTGATCTGCAGTATATTTATAAATAGTGTTTGCTAAACTTGGCTCCTTAGTATGAAATGCTAAACTCAAGAAATATAAGTACATTTTTTGATTAATTACCATCAATAGCCTAAAATCAAAGTACAAGATATTTTCTAAGAAATAAACATTGTGATCATATGATGTTAAAAGAGGAGAATTCGTTATGTTTAAGAATTTCCTCGGCTGTGATATTATATATTTTATACTTTTCAAGAATCAAAAAGACTAAACTTAAGAAAACTTTGGGGGGAGGGAAGGCTTTGAAACCTATAGAATAAATTCCTAAAATTTTGTTTGTGTTTATTTAATCTTATGGGATAGCATAAAAGTAAAAAGCAGGTTTTAGACTATTTGGGGGAACTTGCCTCTGAAGATGGCTTTTTTCACATTGGGTAGGTGGAATAGAATCAGGGCCAGATACAGAGCATGTTTTGGATCAAAATGTATAATGAATTTAAATTATGTTCATAATGATCAATGGGACCCAGTCAGATAGACATTATGATTAAATTAAATTTCATTAAATTTGTAACTGTAAGAAAAAGTACTTGAACCAATAAATATTTATATCTCCTTTCTTCCTTGAGTCTTAATAGGAAATAAGCTGAGAAATGCTTCCTATCCTTTCCCCCTTTTGAAAAAACATTGTGGTAAGAGGACAATAGAAGCTGGTTCTGCTCTGATTGACAGCAATTGTGAAGCGAGACATGGAATACCTCAGCCACGGTCCCCAGATAGGGGCTACCGTAGGATATTACTCTAAGACACTACTCCTTTGGCTCCCTCGAAATGCAAACAAACAAACAAACAAAAGTACGCTTGACCAGTAAGAGTCATTACCATCACAGTCATGAAAACCTAAAGTCATCCCTAGGGGAAGGGTGCCTAGACCTTTTGAAAGTTCTACCTCAGAGCTTGAGTACATGGGGTGGGGAGCAGTGGAAGGTTGCTGAGCAATTAGTGCAATTTCTATTTTGGTTTCTCTTCATTTTTTAATTACCCCAGTATTAAGATGTGGTTAATTCATTGAGTGGGCCAAGGAGAATTGAAAGATCTGAAAATCAATACAGCTAGCCTACAGAAATCATTCTGTAGTATCATTTAATTGTGTGATCTTGGGCCTCAACTACTCTTTTTGGGCCCCAGTTTTCTTAACTATGAAATGTAAAAGATGACTGATAGCTAAGGCCTCTGCCACCTATAACATTGTAGGATGCTATTAAAAAAAAAGATGTAATATAAAAATACCATTTGGCTGTATTAGATGAATAAATACATTATTGGCTGTGGAGCACTTGTCTTGCTTCCTCCACTTGGCACTCCCAACAATTATACCTCTCTCCCTGACAACGGACAATGTATGTGAGAAGAACATCCTTATTCCTTCCTAGAATCACTTACCATCCAATTAACCAGCAATTATCTCCACACACCTTAAGCTCCAACCAGGAATAGAGGTGAGCCAAATTCTTGAACTCAATTTGTAGGTAAAGAATCAACTAAAATTTGAATGAACCTGACTAACTTGCCTTACCTATGCAATAATAAAAAATATATGTTTAAAACTCATTCTAAATCTATTTCTTTTGTGTAGATATCATATAGATTAGACTTTGAATAATTCAATAGTAAGTGAGATTCTCTCGTGAGTTTAAAATTAGTTTCCATGTTTTGGTATTTTATGACTTCTTTTTCTTTTCCAGTAAGCCTAGCACATCACTTCCCTCAGGGACTGGGAGCAAATTGGAATCTTAAGAATCGAAATATTTCTAGGATTCTTTTTTCACCTGCTGTTTCTTTGTTATCTCATTGGACATGATTTTAGCAGAGTCTAAGACTTTAATTGCACTTTCATCTTCTAAAATGTTCCCTTCTGAAGATGATAACGTTTCCAAAATTTTTTTCTCTATATCTTTCAGTTGTTTCTTATTAGCTGCAGACTGAAGAATAAGAGCATTTCGTTCCTCTTCTAATTCTGGTCTAAAAAAGATAGAAACATTTAGTCTAAATTTGTAATATTTTATCTAAATTCATATCTAAATATTAGATACCAAAATTTTGTAGACATTTAAATAATGTTGTAGACATGTAACACAAACCAAGATGATTAATCTCTTTATCCTTAACCTGAGGAAAAAAATTACTTCCATACAAATAATAATTCAAGAAATTCAAGCCAAAAAAAAGTATTAATTGTATATATGTAAAATGTGGCAATATTATCCTAAGTGTTTCGTTATTTCATTAACATCCTATTTATAAGTGTTTTTTTAAACAGTGAATTTTTTTAGAAGATATAGAGGTTTTTGGGGGGGAGGGGGAGAGGAAGATTGGCCCTGAGCTAACATCTGTTGCCAGTCTTCCTCTTTTTTTTCTCCCCAAAGCCCAAGTTCATAGTTGTATATCCTATTTGTAAGTTATTCTAGTTCTTTTATGTGGGATGCCACCACAGCATGGCTTGATGAGCAGTTTGTAGGTCCACTCCCAGGATCCAAACCAGTGAACCCCAGACCACTGAAGTGGAACATGCAAACCTAACCACTACGCCACCGCGTCAGCCCCTGTATATAACTTTTTAAACACATTTTTAATTTTATCCATAGCACACATTCCTAGTAGTGAAATTTTTGGGCTTAAAAATCAGATACAAGTCAAAAGTCATGGAATTTCGCCTGAATCCTACTACCCACACTAAGAACCCAAGATAACATGGTTGGCTTATAACTTGTTACAGAATGCCTATTTTAAAGGATTATATAGTTATTTAATTTATAATAACAAAATATAAAATTTGACAAGGCTTTGAAATAATCACACAACAAAAGTATTAATGGCTTACAAATATTCCTCTTGAGAGCATCTGGAAGCAGCTAAGAAAATACATACCTCTCCTTTGCCACAACAATACCTAGTAACTGATCTTCAAGTCCTTCTGGAGTTATCATGAAATTGAGCAAAGACAGCTTTGTAGCCAGCTCTGGCATATAATGTGGATTTCTCAGTTTTGTGGTGATATAAAACTTGAAATCAAAGGAATACTCAATAATGACCTCACCAAGTCTGATGCAATCAATGCCACCTATATTTTAGAAAACAAATGCATGAGAAGTAAACCAAAGATACATAGCCCCTCCCCCAATGTTAAGGCATTTCTTAGGTTACAAGCAAATGGTCCTAAAGTAATTTAAAATAGAATACAAGTGTGACAAAAGTCACAGACACAGAGGCAAGTAAGCAATTATACAGTGGGACTCATTTATTCTGAAGTGCTATACAACATTTTCTCTGGTTACCACAGAAACTTCTAAATCAAGATTTCTTTTGATCTTACTTCCTCTATCAATTGTCAATCATGATTCCAAAATTATTTGTATATGACTAAAGCTCTTAAAAGTATTTGAGTTTGGCAGAGATAAAATTTTTATAAGCAGAAAGATATAAGGTGGGCAATGTTTGCCTGAAGTCAACTCTGGTCCACGTTAACCATTACTATTCATAAAAATGGACTTTGTGTGATCCATAGTCACAAGGTAAAGGAACTTAAGGCTGGCTTCAACTTCATGTTCCCTAGCGAACAACAGTCTAGATAACAGTGGTTAAGGCACTGAAGGGGGGGCAAGGTATTTATTTTGGAACATCTGACCAAAGTTCAACCCTGATACTTGTTCCAAACTTCCTTTCATGCGTAACAATAACATACAAGTTCTGAGTTATTAACATTATTATTAAATTTATGTTGTGGTTTTCTTGCCTCAAAGATATACCTCAAACATATGCCTCAAAGACAATCCAATCATCTTTCAGTTCTATCAACTAATAGTGATTGACTTCTACCTTGTTTAAAAGTTTGTCTAAGTAGTAAAGGCTCCAAAGATGGATCCAGTTCTTCACCAACATTTTCTAATAGAAGTGGAGTTCCAAACTGAATACAGTTCTCCAGTGTTCTCATATAGTCTGAATCAGATAGCTTAATAACACTAAGCTGATTTTCTTTCTCAGAGTTTTTGATCCACTTATTGGCTTGACCTTGGGGGTCAATCATTAAAGGCCTAGAATATAATAAGAAAAAATCAGAGGGGAATAAACAGATTTGCAATTTCTTTAAAATTATTTACTTTAAATAATAAACATCACCATCAATCTGTACAGATAGAAAGTGTTTCACATACACTATCAGGACTAATCTTCACAAAAGTCCTATAAGAAAAAAGTGAAAAGGAGTTTTATTCTCATTTATTTTTGAAATGAACAAATTTGGTCCTGAAGAGTACTTTGCCCAAGGTTCCAAGGTTCCAAAACTAGTTCAATGACAGAAGTAGGATCATGTGATCCTGTAAGCTCTGCTCTTTCCAATATAACATATTGTCTTCATGGTAATTTTAATACATGATATCTGTTAACATAATATGAAAAATACTCCTATTTATTTGATAAAAACTTAAAATAAGAGATCCACTAGCCTACAATGGATTTCTTCAGATTATGAGTGGAACTATAAACTAAGTTTCCAAATTTAGTGTGGTATATATTTGAGGTCTATTTAGGAACTTTTTCTATGTAAGTATGGTAAAAACTTTGTGTTCAAGAGCTTATGACTCATGGTTTAAGATATGCAAAATATTATGTGCTTTCCCTTCCTCTTCCTCAGTGATGATGCTGACTGTCCTAGGTTCCTTTTTTTTTTTTTTTTAATTTTTTTTTAAAGATTTTATTTTTTCCTTTTTCTCCCCAAAGCCCCCCAGTACATAGTTGTATATTCTTCGTTGTGGGTCCTTTTAGTTGTGGCATGTGGGACGCTGCCTCAGCGTGGTCTGATGAGCAGTGCCATGTCCGCGCCCAGGATTCGAACCAACGAAACACTGGGCCGCCTGCAGCTGAGCGCACGAACTTAACCACTCGGCCACGGGGCCAGCCCTGTCCTAGGTTCCTTTTGTATTCAGTACAGTGCATTAAACTATCTTTAAAAAATATTAGCACAGAAAGGGGAGTTTTCATCCCATGTCACTTTGGCTTTCTCAGACATTCTCTTTCTGTTTCATCAGCTTCTAAAGATAAAATCCCTTTTCCCCTTACCTACAGAGAAGCTCTTTAATCAACTACTCCCAGACAACTCTATTCTTATTTTCTTTCCTTTCCAAAAGACGAAACAATCCAAGACTAGCTGACTGGTTGTTTTCTTTCTCAACTCAAATTGTGCTGAAATCCTACTGAAAGCACAAAAATGTCCAGACACTAGTTAATATTTACTTGTGCTATCACAGCAAACAGAAGAAAAGTGTTTTGAAAATGAGAAAGTTATTTTGCATACAGCTACTTAAAAGTTGCCTAGTAATCAGACTAGATGCTTTTAATACCTTTCAAGGCACTGCTTAAGGGACTTTTTTTCTTCATTATATATCCTTATTATTGGAAAAATGCAATATTTGTTCATTCTCTTGCAAAAAGTAACAAATTATATAAATTAACATTTTAATGCTAATCAGTCTTCTTGGTAATACCTAAATCAATGGTCTTGGTAATGCAATAATTAGAGATTTCTGCTTATTCCAAAAGAAATCCAAGTCCTACCTAATGTAGCCTTATGAAAGTATTACAAATACAATTGGAAAACTGAGTCGTACATCAGAGAGATAAGGCCATGCCATAGTATTTGTATTCCAAGTTTACCTGACTGTTGGTATGAAAGGATCACTAGTCTACATTTGAGATCCTTGGGCAGTCTGAACAAGAAAGCATTACTCATCTATGCTTCTCACAGAGGTAGTAATTGTGGGGAAAACAAAGATCTGCTGTTAAGTAGCCAAAGTGATATGTTAATAAATAATAATAAAGCAGCACAGTAAGTATTTTCATCATGGTTAAAAGGTAAGCAAAGTCAGAATTTAAGATTTAGACACTAAAATGACGTATTTGAAGATGATAATTATAAAAAACTAAAATTTATTGAGTATTTATCATGTATTGGCACTTTCTCAGGAAAATGTCTTGAGCTAAAAATATTATACCTTTATCAACCTTTACCAAGCAGAGGTCTTTTACTCTAGGAAAGGGGTGGGAAACTTCTGTTCAAGACCAATCACAGGTAGAAGGCAGAATTTAGCTGTCATAGGAAGGAGGGGCAGAAGGAATGAAAAAGTCCTACCCTGAAGGCCCACGTGCACAGGGCCTTCCTAAGATGGAGTAAGAATCAGAATAACAGAATTCCCACTCTGCCCCCAAAACAACCTAACACAGAGTGCCGAGCAACAGCAACCTTCCTCCAGGGGAAGAGCAAAAATGTAGAGAAAGACCACCTCTGTGTCATGGGCATTCAGGAATGCTTGAAAGCTGAAAGTAAAACTCTAACACTGAGAAAAACACTCCAGAACCTTAGCCTTCATTCTAACTATAGAGCCAAAGCTAGATTAATTTGAAGCCCCTGAACTTTTTTTTGAAGGTCTCCTAATCTTTACCATAACAACAACAAAACCCAAACCCAGTTCAACTCATGATTAGCATGCAAACCTAACCACTACGCCACCGGGTCAGCCCCTAATATAACTTTTGAAACACATTTTTTATTTTATCCATAGCATACGTTCCTAGGAGTGAAATTTTTTGGCTTAAAAATCAGATACAAGTCAAAAGTCATGGAATTTCGCCTGAATCCTACTACCCACACCAAGAACCCAAGATAACATGGTTGGCTTATAACTTGTTACAGAACAGCTATTTTAAAGGATTATATAATTATTTAATTTATAATAACAAAATATAAAGTTTGACAAGGCTTTGAAATAATTGCACAACAACTAATGAAGCAGCTGTGCAGAGAATAACACAGGAGATAGGTCCTACAGCCTGAGAGAGAGAGACACCAATTTTCACCTTCCAGAGGTCTGGTGGCCCAGTTTTTCTCTCAGGTATACTTAAGATAGTCAAAGTGAGTAACCAAGAGTGAACATTAGCTATATTACTGGGTTTTGCTGTCAGGAGGTACAGAGAGGAGACTAAGCCTCTGTGGCCACTTACATTGGTGTCAAGAAGGACGATAGCCATACATGACCACAGTGGGCCCAACTGGCCAGAAGTGAAGTTTGGGCTACAAGGATGGAGACTCATCCTGCAAAACTCACCCAGTCCATGGCCTATTGATTAGCTAGTCCAAAAATAACAGGTAGAAAGGGTAACTCAATTGGAATACTACTTTATTAGAAGAGTCAGATTTCTGCCAGAAAATGACAGATTGTTTTCCTCAATTCACATACAATTCTGAAACCTCTAGTTTCCTTGAATTTCAAGTAAGACTTATAGATATCCCAACAGCATTTTCTGAACAGTAATTTGAAAAATCTGAATGGCCACCAAATGCATGGAAAAGAATTCGAAAGCAGAGTTAAAGAAGACTCAGGGTCTAATATTCTGTTAAATAGAATTTTCCCTGCTCTACCAGAGAACATTTTTTCAATAGCTAAATATACTTTCTTGGATTATTAAAAATTTTACTAATTGCCTAGAAGTTTCAACCTAGGGATGTTCACTCTCAAGTAAAATTTTGAGTAGATAAAATATGATTACACACATCCTTATTTTATTAAAACAATACTATCACTATAAAGGAGATATAGATGTCTTGAAGTATCTAGTAAGGTTTTCAAAGAATATAAACAAACAATAACTCAAACTTTCAGAATGCAAGATTTCCTTATATAGTTAATGTATCTCTTATTCCAAAAGAAGACTGATATTTCCATTAAAATTTTAAAGCCAGTGAATGTGACATCCTATTCCACATTTAACTTAACATAGTAAATAAGAAAAAGGATTGGGGAGTTAAACTGCCTGGGTTCAAATTCTGACTCCACTACTTATTAGCTCAGTTATCTTACTAAATTTCAAATTACTAAATCACTCTGGGCCTCAATTTCCTCATCTGTAAAATGGAATAATAATATCTAACTCATAGGCATTTGTGAGGATATAGGGCACTTACAACAGTATCTCCTGAGTGTAACAGCTCAATAGTATCTGTCATAGTATGTTTGAGTTCAGTCCCATGAAAAGACTTTTAAAATTAGATGACAACATGACTAAACAGCCATTTATAGGAAACTATTTCTCAGATGAGAGTACTTTCTGAAGTTTTTCAAAGTGATATAAATAAAAGGATAATAATTAAAACCACTTGGAAAGTTCATATAGTTATCACATTATCAGTGATAGCAATTGGAAAAGATATCTGTGAAATGGCACAAATTATCAAGTTGTAGTATCTTGGAAATGGGTTTAAATACTTAATTACACCGAAAACTATAAAACATTGTTGAAACAAACAGAAGAAGACACAAAGAAATGGAAATAGATTCCGTGCTCTTGGATTGGAAGAATTAATGTAGTTAAAATGTCCATACTTCTTAAAGCAATCTACAGATTCAATGCAATCTCTATGTGAAAGTTCCAAAAACATTTTTCACAGAAATAGAACAAATAATCCTAAAATTTATATAAAACAAAAAAAGACCCCAAATAGTCAAGGGAATCCTGAGAAAAAAGAACAAAGCTGGAGGTATCACACTCCCTGATTTCAAAATATACTACAAAGCTATAGTAATCAAAACACATGGTACTGGCACAAAACCAGACACACAGATCAATGCAACAGAATTGAGAGCCCAGAAATAAAACCACACATCTATGGACAGCTAATTTTTGACAAGGGAACCAAGAACATACAATGGAGAAAGGAAAGTCTCTTCAATAAACAGTGAGAGGAAAACTGGACAGTTACATGCAAAAGAATGAAAGTAGAACACTGTCTTTCACCAACACAAAAATTAACTCAACATGGATTAAAGACTTGAACGTAAGACCTGAAACCATGAAATTTCTAGAAGAAAACCCAGGCAGTATGCTCTTTGACATCAGTCTTAGCAGCATATTTTCAAGTACCATGTCTGACCTGGCAGGGGAAACAATAGAAAAAAATAAACAAAAGGGACTACACCAAACCTAAAAGCTTCTACACAGCAAAGGAAACCATCAACAAAATGAAAAGGCAACCTAACAACTGGGGGAAGATATTTGCAAATGATATATCCAATAAGGGGTTAATGGATCCAAAATATATAAAGAACTCATACATCTCAATAACAAAAAAACTAACAACTCAATTAAAAAATTGGCAAAAGATCTGAACAGACATTTCTCCAAAGAAGATATACAGATGACCATCAGGCACATGAAAAGATGTTCAGCATCACTAATTATCAGGGAAATGCAAATCAAAACTACAATGAGATATCACCTAACACCCATCAGAATGGCTATAATTAATAAGACAGGAAATAATAAGTGTTGGAGAGGATGTGGAGAAAAACGACCTCTCATACACTGCTAATGGGAGTACAAACTGGTGCAGCCGCTATGGAAAACAGTATGGAGATTCCTCAAAAAATTAAGAATAGAGCTATCAAATGATCCAGCTATTCCACCACTGGGTATTTATCCACAGAACATGAAAACTCGAATGCATAAAGATATATGCACCCCTATGTTCACTGCAGCATTATTCACAATAGCCATGACTTGGAAGCAACCTAGGTGCCCATCAAGGGATGAATGGATAAAGAAGATGTAGTATATATAAACGATGGAATATCACTCAGCCATAAGAAAGGATGAAATCTGGCCATTTGTGACAACATGGATGGAGCTTGAGGGTATTATGCTAAGCGAAATAATTAAGAGGGAGAAAGTCAAATACCATATGATCTTGTTCATAAATAGAAGATAAAAACAACAACAAACATACACATAGAAACAGAGATTAGACTGAGATTAGACTGGTGGTTCCCAGAGGGGATGTGGGGAGGCAGGAGGGTGAAAGGGGTGATTAGGCATATGTGTATGGTGATGAATTGCAATTAGTCTTTGGGTGGTGAACTTGATGTAATCTACACAGAAATCAAAATATAATGATGTACACCTGAATTTTTTTTTCAAAGATTGGCCCTGAGCTAACATCTGTTGCCGGTCTTTTTTTCCTTCTTCTCCCCAAAATCCCCCAGTACATAGTTCTATATTCTAGTTGTAGGTCCTTCTAGTTCTGCTATGTGGGACACCACCTCAGCATGGCTTGATGAGTAGTGTTGGATCCACACCCAGGATCTGAACCAGTGAAACCCTGGGCCGCGGAAGCGGAGAATGTGAATTTAGCCACTTGGCCATAGTGCCAGCCCCTGAAATTTATATAACTTTATAAACCAATAAAACAATAAAAAATAAAAAAAGAAATACCTAGTTAAAATAAATACATTGAATAGCCAAAAACTAGAATAAGCCTACATGTCCATCAATAGGAAAATGCATAAACAGTGATATGTTCATACAATAGAAAACTACTCAGCAACAAAAATAGGAACATTATGCTGTGTGGAAGAAAGCTTACACAAAGGAGCACATACAGTATGATTCCATTTATATGAAGTTCTAGAATAGGCAAAACTAACCTGTGGTGGAAAATAGTCAGAATAATAATTTCCTATGGTGGGGGGAGGGCAGGGATTTACTGGGAAGAAACATAAAAGTACTTCCTGGGTGTTAGTCATGTTCTGCACCTTGATAGAAGTTTGGGTTGCACAAGTGTATACTTTTGTTGGAACTCATCGAATGATAAACTTAAGTTCTGTGTATTTCATTGTATGTGAATTTTACCTCAAAAGAAACAAACAATTATTGAACTTTAGTTAATGATATGCATGCTGAAGTATTTGGGAGGAAGTATAACCATATTTGCAACTCATGTTGAAATGCGTAAAAAGGGATGAGTTGATGGATGGATAGAGGGATGGATAAATAAATATGTGATAAAGCAGGAAAAATAATAAAATGTTAATTGCAGCATCTAGGAGGTGGTAGCTATATGGGTGCTTACTCTAAAATCTTTTCAACATTTTTCCATGTCTGAAAATTTTCAAATGAAACAATTGAAAAATAAATACTTTATGTTCCTTACCAACGCCTGGAGTTATTAACAATCACTCCGTTATCTATGGAGAATGTATCTGTTGGTAATCCAGCAATATTCCAAGCTCTAATTTTTACTGGATCACCCAGGGTCTTACTCAGTGAGAACTCCTCTGAACACGGGATTTTTTTCTCCTGCAAGAAATAAACATTTATCTGATATTTTCTTTCATTTTGTTGATTGAAATATTTTTTAAATTAAAATATTGATTTAATTGTCATTAGATATTATTTAATAGCTCTAAGGAACAGAAAAAAACTGAATTAAAAGTTTGACTACAGAAGTATTTTACTGATCAAACAAAAAGCAAAAAAAGAAAGACCCCATATTTTCAGTTATTTCTTCCCTTTCTGTCCTTATTAGCATCTTCTCCTCAAAATACCCTAACACATACTTTGAACATTCTAAAAAGAAACTTATGAAATGTAAAACCATCACCTTGCACAACATGCTCCAATTTTCTGTACATGTTTGTCGAAAGCCAGAAGTGAAAGCACCAAGGTAGGCTATTACTCCTGCTGATACTAAGACATCACCAGTCAAATTTTCATACACTATCTGAAGGTCATCAGCAGCTTGAGACCATCTGTAATATCAAACAAAGGCAACAGACTCACAAAAGAGAATGATGGAAGACAGTAATTGAAAGGGCAAGGGGCAGAAATTCTAGTCCGGATTCTATAACAAAAAGCCATGAAATGTTGAGGACTTCCTTATCTACCAAATGAGGAGGCTGGGTCCCTTCTAGCTCTAACATGCTACAATACCTATCTATGTTATATGAATGGCAATCCACCTTTCCTTATTAGAATATTAGGCATATTTTGCAGGACTGGCCCTTCAGAATAAGCAAAAACAAAAACAATAAAACACAAACATTTTATCTAATAATTTTCTCCAGGATTATTTGGTCTAGTGGCCATGTTATTTGTTTCAGTATTTATTGTTAGCATGTAAAACATAGGAACATTTGCAACTCATTACCAGCAAATACATTTAAGTTGTATAGAAGCTGCCATAATGTTGCTAAGGTTGATATTTTTTATATTCAATGAAACCTTTACAATAAAAAAGTGCATTCCAATACCATCTAGTCTGCACTACAAAGTATTGTCAAGAAAGGCATATTACTTTTTCATGTTATATATTCAACAAATACAATTAATAAATGAGATAGCTGGCTGGTCAGCTAGATATATCTATAATTAATACATAGAATAAAGCTAACCGGCTGTGTTAGATCAAGCCAGTTATAGCTTCTTAGAAATAAATTTTAACAAAGTGAACCATATATCCACTACTCTCCCCCAAACATTTTTTATGAAAAATTTTGAACATACATAAAGTTGGAAACAATTGTACAATGATCACCCACATACTCACCATTTAGATTAAAAATTATCACTTGGCTTATTGCTTCTCCTTTTTTTAAAAAAACATTTTAAAGCAAGTTGCAAACACCACTCTTGACATCGATATTCTGTTCAGAGAAACCTGGCCAGGCGCCTTGTAGAATGTCCCACATTCTCAACCAGCCATTTTAAAATCAGTAATCGCAATACTCAAGGAAAGTCACATATTCAAGCCTGACATTCTTACATATTGTCAAAATGAGTAGAAATCTGACCTCGATTTTTCTCCACCTAGTCCTCCAATTAGTTTTGAGGCTCTTTCCAGTTTCTTAGCACAGAGTTCCACCTGGTCTTCTAAACGAGCCTTTTCCTCAGTTTTCTCCCTAAACGTTCTTTGTAAATTTTCCAGATGATGTTCTACTTCTGCCAGTTCTTCTCTTTTCTGATTCAAAAGCTCCATTGTCTCAGCTAAAGACTTCTGAGCTTCTGCTAAGCGTGCTTTCTTAGGAGCCACTACCTATTTGGGAACAATATATACAGCCATGATGTATACTATGTAAAACTGACATCTATATAATCCTTTACAGATATTATGAATTTAAAATGTTTATTCAATATTATAAATAAATTTATTACCTATAATGATAAATTATACAAAATAAACATTTTGCCTTAAATCCTACATCATATTTTTATGCACAAATAAAGTAAAATATATTTATATATCTTATAATACATATAAACCATTCTGGACTAGCAAACCGTCATCTATAAAACAGATAAATTATTCAGGACTAACAAAACGGCACAATATGCAGCAAAATGTCTCCAAATAATGAGAAGTTGCCATTCAACTGTTGCCAAAAACACAGAAAAACATGTTACAAGAATTATAAATGTGCTTTTTTTCATCTCCAAATCTGTGATCTTCCCAGTCGGCAGGTGCATACACTTGCTTTGGGGGGATTAAGACTTGTGATAGCAGAAATACAAAGAGAAAGAAAGTTCTGACATTTGATTTTACTACCAAAATCGAATTTTCCTTAACAAATCTTGAAAAGCCCCATTTTGTTGAGAGATGAGGGCTTTTCTAAAGTTCTTATTTTATTATGCTCATTAATATAACAAGAATGGGGTTTGGCTAACTCTACCGTTGTATGTACTAAAAGCCACTTTTGGAAAGAATTTAGAAGATGACCAAAGAGAGCATGTGCCAGTCTGAAAGAAGGGAGACCTAAGTCTTCTGGTACATTGCCATGAATGACGCTGAAGGCAAAGGGGGAAGAGGAAGGCAAGGTATAAGATACCAAATATCCTGCCTTCTCTTCTCTGGGCTGAAATCCTGAAGGGAGAATATGTTAAATAGAAAGTAGGAAGCTCCACTTTCTACTTTTGACTTCAGAGGAGACATTGAAAGATACCTCCCTTCAACCCTTCCATAACAACATGGGGCAGCTGTATCAGAATTAAAATGGCAGTGTGGAGGTGTAGAGTGGGAAGTCAGGAAAGAGCCTGATGCTGGGTTCTCTGTAGAAAAGAGAGAAGATCCCACACGCCTTATGAGACTTGTGGAAATTAGGTGAGTTGAGAGGTCACAGATCTGCTAACAGACTATTATGGGAAGGGACAAGATGTTCGAGGGAAGGACATACCAGATAAAATTACTTTTACTTCTTTAATGAGTATATACAGGTCTACTGCCCTGAAACAACGAAGTTCCTCCCTCTCTACAGACACATGTACTTTACTAGGAATATCATCCAATTGTTACAGCCCGATCATTCATTCTATACTCTGAGGTTGTTCTAAACACATGCTACCATGTTTTTTCATATGACTTTTTATTTATATTTCTTTCTTCCCTGGGTAAAATTCTGTAAGCTACAGGAGGCAAGGCCCGTGTTTCCCTGGTCCTTTGCAAGCCAAATTTACAAAATGCTCTTAGCCATTCTCTGCTCTCCAAGGAATTTGGCCTCAGTGGGTACTCCATAAAAGGTTCCCCATCAATGCGTGCCATTGCTTCAGGGGATCTTTCCACACTCTGCCTCTTAACTCTACTAGATCTTCTTAATTCTGACTCTCTGAATCAATTTTTTATTCTACCACTTTAACCTGGATTTTTTAATTTTTCTTTGCTTTTTCCCTTCCCTGATCAAACTCTAATTCTCTTTTGCCTCAGATTCCTATAGCTATAGATCAGTCTGGCGAATTCCAATGATCATGCCTGCTCTCCAAGCAATACCACTCACACTAGCCCCAACCAGTTTACGTCACACACTCAGTCAATGTCTGATGATTATGCTACAGCAGGACAAATTCTTTCTAGTATCACTTTCAGAAACTTCTTAACTAGTAAATATATGCATATATTTTAATTTCTGGGAATATTTCAATAGAAAATGGATGTGTTAATCCTCAAAATACCTTTGCAACTCTGTCATACACTTCCATAGCCATGATCCACTTACACAGACCCTCAGCTGCAGAAGAAGCTTTAGCAATCTTAGGGGGGTCAAATTCAGGGTTTGTTAAGTATTCACCTCGAATCTTCTGCATAACAGTCACCTAAACAACAAAGATTTCAACATATATCATACAATCAGAAGATGAAAAAATGGTCATACATAGTAAAAAGATTTGTATAAAAAAGTTACGTTGTCTTTAAAAACCAAAGTAGTTACTTTGAGATAATTTTAAAATAAGCATAATTGTAGCAGAAACACAAGTCATTTGTGAGCAAAATACGCAAGCTTATTACATATATTGAGGCAAGATATTTCTTCTAAAAAAATTAAAAGACTTCTGTGGGTTGGAAAACATGGAAACAAGGGAAAAGAACAACTAAACATTAATAAATAAATAAAAGTTTGGATCAAAAAGAATTCACTATACTTTTTTATCTCATAAATTTATGTATCAGATTTATTAACAAACTATTTATTATAAGAAACAGAAATTTCATGTCAATAATCCACTAAAATTGTAACTTATTAAACGACTTTCAATAGTCTGAAAGAGAAGTGGTTTTATGCATTATGAGAATTAATAATATAATCATTAATAAATATAATATTTCTTTATCTATTATTTTAATCCTAAAAATGGAATATTTTCTTATGTTTTACATAATATTGCATAATAGTAAAGATCTTATACATCCTGGCAAAGTTACATTTATAGAAAAAATCCAATGAAACTCACTGGAATGTTGTCCTTGTCATATTCTCTCAAATCTCTTAAGAAATTCATATCTCCCAGAAGTTTTTTGCTAGGTCCCCAGTAATCTAATATCTATAAATAAAATTTATGGAAACATTAAATTTACAATTAAAGATGCTCAATATAAAATTTTTCTCCTTGAAGTTTAAGATATATTATCCAGAGAAACTATATTTTCAAAACATCAACTTATATTTCCTTGGAAATAAAGAAACTCTTTTCCTCAACAACACATTAGGGGCCGGCCTGGTGACATAGTGATTAAGTTTGCACACTCCAGTTCGGCAGCCTAGGGTTCACAGGTTTGGATCCTGGGTGCAGACCTACACACTGCTCATCAAGCCATGCTGTGGCAGCGTCCCACATACAAAATAGAGGATGATTAGCACAGCTGTTAGCTCAGGCACAATCTTCCTCAAGCAAAAGGAGAAAGATTGGCAACAGACGTTAGCTCAGGGCCAATTCTCCACCCTCCCCCCCAAAAGAACATGTTAAACATATCAAATATTTAAAATATGAACATGAACTTATAAATTTATGATAATTTAAACATTGAAAGGCAAATGATGTGATTATTTCTCTTTAGAAAACAAGAAAAGCAACTAACAAACACCCTCGCAATTTCATGCAAGAAAAAATATTTCTATCATTTCAACTTTATTTTCCTTTATTCTTGAGTCTTTCAAATCAGAAAGGTAGTGCTATAGACTGAAAGTTTGTGGCCCCCTCCCCAGATTTGTGTTAAAACCTAATACCCAATGTGATAGTACTTGGAGGTAAGGTCATTGGGAGGTGACTGGATCATGAATGGGATTAGTGCCATTATAAAAGAGACTTCAGAGAGCTCCCTCCCCCTTCCGCCATGTGAGGACACAGCAAAAAGATGGCTATCTATAAACCAAGAGGTAGACCCTCACCAGACATTGGATCTATTGAAGCCTTGATCTTGAACTTTCCAGCCTCCAGAACTGTGAGAAATACCTGTTGTTTATAACCACTCAATCTACGGTAATTTGTTATAGCAGCCCAAATGGACTAAGACAGGTAGTAAACACTTTTCTTTCTTTCTTTCTTTCTTTTTATTTTTTTTATTTTTATTTTTTTCGGATGTACATCGTATTTCAGATTCTGGATACATTACACCATGTTCACCACCTGAACACTAATTATAGTGCATCCCCTCACATGTGACCCTAATCACCCCTTTTGCCCTCCCCACTCCCCCCTTCCCCAATGGTAACCACCAGTCCAATCTCCAATGCTGTGTGTTTTTTTTTTTTTTTTTGTCGTTTTTATCTTCTACTTATGAGTGACATCATATGGTATTTGACTTTCTCCCTCTGACTTATTTCACTCAGCACAATACCCTCAAGGTCCATCCATGTTGTCACAAATGGCTGGATTTCATCATTTCTTATGGCTGAGTGGTAGTCTATCGTGTATAAATACCACATCTTCTTTATCCATTCGTCCCTTGATGGGCACCTAGGTTGCTTCCAAGCCTTGGCTATTGTGTATAATGCCGCAATGAACATAGGGGTGCAAGTATCTTTATGCCTTTGTGTTTTCAAGTTCTTTGGATAAATACCCAGCAGTGGAGTAGCTGGATCATATGGTAGATCTATCCTTAATTTTCTGAGGATACTCCAAACTGCTTTCCATAGTGGCTGCACCAGTTTGCACTGCCACCAGCAGTGAACAAGGGTTCCCTTCTCTCCACTCCCTCTCCAACATTTCTTGTTTCCTGTCTTGTTAATTATAGCCATTCTGACCGGAGTGAGGTGATACCTCACTGTAGTTTTGATTTGCATTTCCCTGATAGCTAATGGTGTTGAGCATCTTTTCTATGCCTGTTGGCCATCTGTATTTCTTCTTTGGAGAAATCTCTGTTCAGATCTTTTGCCCATTTTCTAATTGGATTGTTGGTTTTTTTGTTGTTGAGCTGTATGAGTTCTTTGTATATTTTGGATATTAACCCCTTATCTGATATGTGGTTTGCAACTATCTTCTCCCAATTGTTAGGTTGTCTTTTCGTTTTGTTGATGGTTTCCTTTGCTGTGCAGAAACTTTTTAGTTTGATGTAGTCCCATTTGTTCATTTTGTCTTTTGTTTCCCTAGCCCGATCAGACATGGGACTTGAAAATATGCTGCTCAGACCAATGTCATAGAGCGTACTGCCTATGTTTTCTTCTAGAAGTCTCATGGTTTCAGGTCTTATATTCAAGTCTTTAATGCATTTTGAGCTGATTTTTGTGCATGGTGTAAGGGAATGGTCTACTTTCATTCTTTTGCATGTGGCTGTCCAGTTTTCCCAACACCATTTATTGAAGAGGCTCTCCTTTTTCCATCGTATGCTCTTGGTTCCCTTGTCGAATATTAGCTGTCCATAAATGTGTGGGTTTACTTCTGGGCTCTCAATTTTGTTCCATTGATCTATGTGTCTGTTTTTGTGCCAGTACCATGCTGTTTTGGTTACTATGGCTTTGTAGTATAATTTGAAATCGGGGAGTGTGATACCTCCAGCTTTGTTATTTTTTCTCAGGAATCCTTTGGCTATTCAGGGTCTTTTGCTGTTCTATGTAAATTTTAGGATTCTTTGTTCTATTTCTGTAAAAAATGTTATTGGAACTTTGATAGGGATTGCGTTGAATCTATAGATTGCTTTAGGAAGTATGGACATTTTAACAGTGTTAATTCTTCCAATCCAAGAGCATGGAATATCTTTCCATTTCTTTGTGTCTTCTTCAATTTCTTTCAACAATGTTTTATAGTTTTCGGTGTACAGATCTTTCAACTCTTTCGTTAAGTTTATTCCTAGGTATTTTATTCTTTTTGTTGCAATTGTAAATGGGATTGTATTCTTAATTTCTCTTTCTGCTACTTCGTTGTTAGTGTATAGAAACGCAACAGATTTTTGTACATGGATTTTGTGTCCCGCAACTTGACTGTATTCCTTTATTATTTCTAAAAGTTTTTTAGTAGACTCTTTAGGGTTTTCTAGATATAAAATCATGTCATCTGCAAAGAGCAACAGTTTCACGTCTTCTTTTCCAATGTGGATCCCTTTTATTTCTTTTTCTTGCTTGATTGCTCTGGCTAGGACTTCTAATACTATGTTAAATAAGAGTGGTGACAGTGGGCATCCTTGTCTGGTTCCTGTACTTAGAGGGATAGCTTTCAGTTTTTCTCCATTGAGAATGATATTTGCTGAGTAAACACTTTTCTTACATACAACCTCCTCACCTACCTAGGGTCCCCAAGTGAAATAAAGAAGAGAAAGCTGAAAGGCCAAGATCACACATCGCTCGGCCAGTAAGATGAAGCACATCGTACTTGTGCTAGTAAAAAATGTTAAATAACTAACTTAACATTCGTTTTCCTATTTCCAGAAGCCTGATAGGGGTGTGTGGGTATGTAAATAAGAATAACTTGGTAAGGTAAGAGACTATTTTCTTTACTATCTCAATGAAGTATAGAATGGCCAAAAAAACAAACCCAATTCTCAAATTCAGGAATTCAAACCTAGATGTTGTAAAAACCTGAAAAGAAAATAAGTCTATAAACTAATTTAGGATGGATATTATGCCTTCCTTTTTAAGGGCTACAGCCTCGAATAATAATTATAATAGTAACAGCTAACATTTATTGTGAACTTACTCTTTGCGAGGCTTTATACCTAAGAGCTTTATATGTATTAACTAATATAATCCTCACACTAACTTTGTGAGGCAGGTACTTTGATAATCCTCTTTTTACAGAGTTCCACAGAGGTTAAGCATCTTGTCCAAGGTCGCACTGCAAGCGGGGTCAGGACTTCTGAATACGGACATTCTAGTTCCAGAGCACATGCTTTCAACAACTTCACTACACTGCTTAACTCAGTAGACTTTTTTGAATACTCTGAAACAACACCTGTACAGTTACATATCACATTCTTGAGAATCTTAGCTGGAAAAGCACAGGTATCTCAGTGTTCATTCGATCCCACCCTATGACAGTAGGGAATCCTGCATAGACAGAAAAGGAGATAGAAACAATTGGAACCACATTTTTCTGATGCTATGCTGTTTTAGCTTTACCTTGGAAAAAATATATAGTGTTTTCCATAGTTTATTCTGAATCCATTCAATCTGGAAAACAGTGTTTCTTCTCTGGACTGGGTACTGTTGACATTTAACTTGATACCAGTTGCTGTAAAGTGTTCTGCACATTCATGAATATGATTTAAATCTGTGTCTAGTTATTACCTTGCCTCCAGTTCCTGAAGGATCTGAAATTTTTTCTGGTTTTATATCTTTCATTACACAAATAGCAGCCAAAACTAGTTTAACACCAGACGGAGGATTCTTCATTGACTTCACAATTGTAATGTCAGCTGGCTAAATCAAAAGAAAACAGGATATCTTCAGAAACGTTTATTTTTAAATAATGAGAGTTTTTAAAGTAATATTGGAGAATAATAAAAGCATCAATTTTCATTTGAAATTGTAATTGTGTTTTGCTTTGTGTGGTTATGAAAGAATTAACAAAAGAGATTTAGGACAGATGAAGACCAATGGTTCTCAAATGTTTCAGAGTTCATATATCCTTATAAGAATTTGATGACAGCTAGGAACTCTTCAGAAAACATGTTTTTGCACATATACACAAAATTTGCATATAATCACAAATCAAACCCATACGTGGAACCCAGGTTAAGAACCCTAATTTAGACAAAGACTTAATTCTACATTTGCCTATATATAGTATTAATTTTACTCCCCCAAAATTAAAGAAGTAGGTCCCAGTTCCGAACTTATTTTTCAAAAAAGTATATATTGTTATGAAGGACACAATAGATTCATTTCATTATCCACTTCAATATCCCTCTGACATCCCTTGCAATTGCTGCAAAGCTAACAACTATTTATCTTAGTTCCCTATGTAACCAGAGCTGTGGGAGGTCGTTAGGTTCTACCATCAGATCAGCTGAGTGATACTAGAATTCAGACTGGATAAGTGGGGAGATGGGCAGGACACGAGACACCTGTTTTGCTGATATGGATTACAGAGGAGGTGGTGTGGCTCTGTAGGAAGGCTCTGCAGACTTCCGACTCAGAGGGATCATTCCTCTGGTAGACTATTTCTGCACTTTGGCTTTGTGAGTCATTTCTGGCAGCTTAGCCTAGGATCTGTTTCTTCAGCTCTTCCAACAATTACATAATTCATTTATAAAATTCCCTAAAGAATCCTTGGCTGTTTATACTAAATAGAGTTAATTCTGTTTTCTACAACGGAACCCTAACTCATATAATACAACATTTGATACCAGGAAGGGTACAAGCAACAGACTCTCCATGAAAGGGGAACCTAATATTGATGACCTGAACTGGTGGGGTTTGAAGGCACCAAGAATCCTGTGAGTATCAGATGATGGAGTGCTGACAGTCTGTGGTACACAGTGATAAAACAGTCACTTAAATTAACACTCATGGTTGACTAGAATGGAGTGTCTATTAAATCAAGCTTTTCAGAATGATTGGCTGCTGTGATAAACATCTAAGGAGAAAATGAAGAAAGAACATTGGGTAGCACATGGATTTTAAATGTGTCAGAGAGCAAACAGGAAGGAAATAATAAGTTCAGAGTTTTAATTCCTGGTTCACGGCACAGTGAGAGCACTAGGAAGTTTCTATAAATGCCCTCAAATAACTTTACCTCTTATAACTACAAGGCTGATGTATGGAAAATCAGATAAGAGTTTGATCCTGGGAGATGCTGAATTACCCTTAGGTTGAGCTCACCATGTTGCTAGGTATCTTACAGGAAAGTTAGGGCACTGATTAGGAAAAAAGGCAAAGAATGGGATTTGAATATCCTCAACCACCATGCTACACTGAGCCTCCCTAGTCAACAGAAGCTGCCTCTCCTGCCCTGTTTGGTGAGATTGTTCTGGTCTTGCCTAAAGACTCTATAGAAAGTTATATACAACACAGCATTAACGCAGACAGGTGCCACCCACATCTGTATTGGGAATGATCTTTAAGTTTTCCTGTACAAGCATGTCCAGGAGGCTGCAGAAGGGTAGCTCCACACTCTAATATATGCTTCCTGGTACACGTACAGAACCATTTTGGCCCCTTGGAGACTGTACCATTCTCACTGGAATATCCTGAATGAAAATTACAAATAATATATGAAAAGCAAAAATATAAGATAACAATGTATCAGAGAAAAACTGTTAAGAGGCAAGTTTCATTTGACTGGACAAAAACAGTATAATACCCCTCACTGAAAAAGAACTACACATAATTAACTAAGTACCTGTACACAGTTTTACTTTGTTGACGAAACACAAGGTAGCTAATTCATGCACTTGCCTTTAGTGTATCCAGTGCAGACAGAGCTGCTTCTAAGGCTGGAATTGCCTCAGCTAGGTCACTTTCACACTCATTTTTCAGAGCTTGCGCTTCTTCAGCCTTTCCACTGGCTATCTCTTCATCTAATTTCACAAACTTTCTTTTTGCTTCCACTTCTGCAGACTCTATCTCAATAATCTAAGAAAAGAAAGAGAAATAAAGAGAATTCCTCAAACATTCTAGTGCTTTCTCCATCTTAAAGACAAGAAAATGTTTGAAAATTAGGGAATCCAACACATCATTTTGAAGAATAGAAAGGCCCAGGATAAAATGAGGAGAAATGCAAATACATGTGATTTAACTTGATAATAGGCTTCCTATCTCTCTTCAAAAACAACAGAACCCACATGGGACCTAATGAGATAGTCAGTCACTAGAAAAGAGGAAAGTCCCTAAGATCTAGTGGCAGAAAATTAAGGCTTATTTTCCAGGCTATTTTTACATAACTGAACTGCCTGCTGACATCAATTAAAAAAAAAATTCAGGGTATCCTACCTGCATCATATGTGCATTTTCAATTTTAGCTTCCTCCAATTTGGGCTGTAATTGAACAAGCTCCATTTTCATTTCACCAACCTAAATAGACAGTTTGTCATTAAGTTTTCATAGCTACAAAAGCTACAGAAGCCAAGCACAGAAAATCGAAACTTAAACATATCATAAGGTATTGGGGCCAGAAAATCTTAACTTTTTCTTCCAGTTCTTTACATGATAAACAAAAACTATGAGAGTGTGGCCAGTTTTCTTTACAAAAGACTTTATCTTCCTTGAGTATATGACAGGGCAGTGGGAGAATGCAGTTGCCATGGAAGAAATGCAGATAGAAGAGAAGGTGTCAGCTCAGGATCTCCCTACTACACTATGTGCATGGTATACAATGCATATGGACCACCCAAACCTTTGTTGCTTATATTGAACTAATGCTAATAAGTATTACTAGCACTTGACTCATTTAATAAGTCAACGCGGACTTATTATATTCTCTCCAAATGCCAAAAAATCAAGAATAAAACAAAATGTATTTGAGTCTATGTGGTCTGGGAAACTTAGTGAATTTCTCTAAAACTCACTTTACTCAGATGAGTAAACATAAAGTGTCTACCTCATGGAGTTATGAGGAATAATTGAAGGACTCCATGTGAAGCACATAACACAGTGCCTGGCACATAATATTTTCTCAATCAGTTGTAGCTCTTGCTATTATCTTTCACATTTCCCGTTATATATCACTGTTCGGAGCAGTTCATCAAACTTACCTGAGACTCAGCAAAAGCCAACTTGTCAAGCCCAGTCACATATCGCTGTTTTGCCTCCATGACAGCTTGTCGCTTCTTAGTCAAAAGCTGTCGAAATGAGGCAATAAGTTCAAGATAAGAAGTAGCAGTAACATAGTTATGTCGTCCTAACTCGTGCAAGAACCTAAGAGAGAGGCAGATAACATATCTTATCAAAAGTAATGGGTTTCGCAAACTAAGAGGTAAATTCAACAGCATTAACAACAGATACTTAAGAATAACAGTTAATTTTATTTAGAAGCTGCTGAGGGCTTGAACTTTAAAAATTCTAGAATTCTACACATAACTACATCCTAATTTCTTGTCTGCAAAATATCAAATAGCAATGATGTATTTAAAAAGCACAAATCAACAAAGATGTGTATCAAAGGTGAACTATACCAAGAAAGATATAGGCATTTTTACATGTTTCACAAGCCAGGAGGATCTAACCCTGTAACATCCAAGATATTGGGTAAATTAGGTAAGCGTAGTAGGAAAGGGGATTGCAGACAGGACAGCAAGGATAAGTCATCATTCCTTGCACGTGTGCGTCACATGTTGGCCGAATGGGGTGTGACCAGAAGTATAAGACTACTACACAAACACGTGGAAACAATGGAAGCAACGATATTTCCATGGCCAGTAATGCAGACTAGAGCCCACTGTCTGGTACAACTGTCCAAGCCAACCAGGCTAGCTGGCTGCATGACTCTGGATAGGCACTTGGGTTTATGCAACTTTGAAAGGAGGCTCTCAGAGATGAACAGAAGTAAAACAGATACTTTTTCAGGCATCCACAGCCCAACAAGGAGCTCCACTTAACTGAGAACTTCCATCTAGTGCCCCAGGAGCAATGTTTGTGCTATAAAACTTGCCACCCTAACCACAGCTAATCAGACCAGGGTTGGGAGCTAGACACAAATGAGACAATTCACATTTTGGAATAAATTTGGCATATACAGCTGGAAACAGCCAATCAGTCTCTGCCTATAGCTAGAATTGTAAGAAGTAAACTTGAGAATTGAGAGGCAGCCAGTTTCCTCCATATGCACTGGGAAGTAGAAAATTCAGTCTGCAAAGAGAAAGAAGAAAGCAGATGCCCAGAGTGAAAGAGGGATGAGAAACAAAGAAAAAGCATTTCTAGATTTAGGATGACTTTCTAACTCCTGCTTCCAGCCACATCTGAGATCCAGCTATATTCTTTCCCTTAAACTTTCTGAAACACCCCTGTATCTTTATAAAATTCTCCCTTTTTGTTAAACCTAGATCAAGTAGTTTTCTATTATTTGCAAGCTAAGGGTCTTAACTAATTAAATGATCAGAGAGATTTAGAAGAGGTAGACATCCTATTAAAATTTTGGGCTTTCACAAAAAGAGACGATTTAAAATACAAGGCATTATTGTCATTTTAAAATTTATTAATATTAACCTTTCTGAAAGATCCATAATGGAAGTGTGAAAGTGTTTGCAGATTGGAACTATCTCTCGTCGTTCAACCTGAGTAAGCTCCAGTGTTTCTAAGAATTTCACAGCTACAAGTTCAAGGGCATCTTCAGGCCATGGCTAAAAATAAGAAAAAGAAAAACTTATGAAATTTAAGATGAGTAGTCCCACTCCAACTATATAAGTGTCTTCCAATGCAAGAAGAATTTGAGGTTGAGAAAATTAAAACTTTAATGGGGAAAATAGAATTACGGGGACTGAGGTCACAAGTAAATCTACGAAAAATCTAATAAATATTCTTATATACTAAAATTAAAGATAACACAATATAGAGAAAGGTCAATGAAATTTTACATAGCAAAGATAAACTACACTGCTTTCCTAACTCTTCCACTAGGACCTCTAGTAGGCATCCCAAATTTAGCATGACAATGGCAAAGGCTGCTAGTTGCCCACCTAATACCTATCAGTCCCTTTTCCTCAGGACTCCAACTTTATTCTAGATAGCAATATGCACAGCTAAAAGACTACATTTCCAAACTCCCTTGCAATTCAGAGCGGATAATGACACATAAGAAATTGTTGGGTGGGGACTTCAGCAAAGGCTCTTTAGAGGGTTACATAGAACTGGTATGTGTCCTTTTTGCCTTACTTTTCATTATTCTACTTCTTGCTTGGAACATAGATTGTGAAAGTTGGAGCTCCAGCAGCCACCTTAGACCATAAGATGAGTGAGGGTAGAAGCCACATAGTAAGGACAGTAAAGAAGAAAGAACTTGGGGTTCTGATGACTTAGTTAAGCCACAAAAGCCCCAGTCTACTTACCTTAAGATTTTCTTTATGTGAGAGAAAAGAAGACCCTAACGTGTTTAGCTTGGGTTTCTGTTACTAACAGCCCATCACGACTCCTAACTGTTATACCATCCAAAGCTGAACTTTTGATTTTCTTCCCCACAAATTAGCTTCTTCTCCAGTCTTCCTCATCTCAGTGAAATGGTTCCTTTGATTTTCCTGGAATACGCCAAGTGTGCTCCTGCCTCTGGGGTTTTAAAGTTGCTGTTGCCTCTCCCTAGAACCCTCCTCACCTGGATCTCAAGGTTCAGTCCTTTACATCTCCAGGCAAACGCCAATTTATCATGGTCTTCCCAGAGAACTCTTTCTAAAAATAACATTCCTTCCCTCGTTACTCTTTCCCTTATCCTGAAGTTTCAGCTTAGCACTTACCAATACCTGACATAGATTTATTTGTTCATTTGTTTATTGTCTGTCTCCCCCACTACTAAAATGTAAAATCCATGAAAGCAAAGACTTTGTTTTTCTCACTGCTGCTATCTTCAGTGCCTTAAACAGCACGTCAATAAATATTTATTCCATGAAATAATTTATGTTAGATGACTAATTTTCACCTGCTCATTAGAGCATTTTCCAAATTTCCTTTCTTCATATTCAACAAGATGCTTTAATTTTTTTCCTTTGTAGCAGACAATATGCATTTTAAGATCAATTTTTTCAGTGTCTAGCCCTCTATTCTAGTGAAATTCAAACTTTTTGATCAAACACCCCATTAGTAAGAATGCCAATTTATGCATATTTACTAATAGATTATATTCATGTTGTATTATTGTACTAATATATTTTTCAAACCTCAAAAGAGGCTTTTAAAGATTCATTATTGAGATCAGTAAATTTTTGTAAAGTGCCAGAATAAGTGTCATATGACTTATACATCATCGAAAACATTACAAAGGTTTGTCTTTGTGTTCTGAGTGCTGCATTTTTAATTATCCTGCTAATCATGAAGGTTTAATACTTTCTGTAGCAGTTAGAAGGTTTAGAAGCTAAGGTGAGAGAAACTAGTCTTACTGCATCTTCAAACAAAGGGAATGTATCATTGTAAATGAGAGGTTCAGGAGCAGAGTATTTCCAGAGTTGTTTAATTTAGAAGCTCAAACATGTCATCAAGGATCCAATTCTTTCCACCTTTTTGGTCTACCATTTTCAGCGCACTTTATTTCATCCTTGAGTTTGTCCCATCACAGTGGGAAAACAACTGTTGCAGCTATGGACATTACATCCTCAAGTAACAAGGCTGAGACACAGAAAAGGTCCTTTTCCTACCATGTAACTCTTTCTAGAAAAAAAGTTTTCCCTGAAACTACCCAGCAAACTTTAACTCAGGACCCATAGGCAAGGAATGGTTCATGAATAGGCTCATGCATAGACCAATCAATAGTAAGAGACATGAGAGCACCAGTATTGACCTAGACCAACCAGGAAGCAATCCCTGTGATACATGGAGGGTGGTTCCCCAAACAAAATCAGAATTCTGCCAGCAAGGATGGAGTGGGTAGAAAATGGCTGTTGATAGGCAACCAATAGTATCTCCTGTGCCATCATAAGGTAATATTGCAAGGCATGATGTACTTTGGGGATAAAGTTTATTGTTTAAACAGTCTACATAAATCCATATTCCAAATACCCTTTGTAAATTTGTTTTTACCAATGTCTTGTCAGATCTTGTGAAGTGGTCATTGTTTTTGCCTCATGATGTGGCTGACACAGAGCTCAAGCTAGCTCATGCTAGTTTTTGCCATTCTCTCACTATCCACTTATAACTGCATTATGTCTTCAATTTTCAGTTCATTGCAAGAATCCCTCAGGGTACTTTGCATACCATCTATGAAACATGGCCATCTGACACAGAAACTGAGTAAAGGTGTAAATGTTAATCCATATGAAATATTTCATACAAAAACAAATATTCCAATAATTCCTTCCCTTATTCCCTGAATTGTTTTGGCACTCCTGTTACATGTACACCCTACTTTGGAGACTAGAGATTTATCCAAAAAATCAATGCCTTCCTGACTGTGTGACACATAGTGATTTACACTTACTTCCTGAGTTTCACAGATATACACATAATACATTCTATTGGTTCCTAATACATCCCTCCTCTATGTAACTAATTCACTTTCATACTTCAGAGATTCACTGTCTCCCTAAGCACACCTTTGCACACCAAGATTATGGCTCTTTTATATAATTGTGACTGCTCATTTGCTGACTGTCTTTTCTGTCTTCCAGTCTAGAGTGTGAACTCCTTATAGGCATCACAGTCTTATCAGTCCCTGGGCACCAAGCACTATGCCTGTCATTAGAACGAGTGATCAAGAAACACTGAATGTATATTAATGTAGATTGAGTAAGAGTTCAGTAAAATTCCAAAAGATTTAGTGCTCCCCCCCCCCCCCAACAAAATTACAAACCTGAAACCAGTCAATGGTACAGCAGTTGATGAGGGATGGGAACTGTCTCAAGCGATTTCGAAAGGCATCTCCGATGGGGCTAAAGGCCACTACAACATGAAGGTTATCTTTGCAGCGATTCACAAAGAAAGCGAACAAGGCTAAGGGACTGAGTTCATTGTGTTTATTGCCAGCCTGAGCCAGAGGACGAACACCCTAGAGAATATAAAAAAATAAAAAGCTCGTAAATAAAAATAGATAAGCTGGTAATGAGATTAGTAGAGATTGGAATTTTAAGAATTTTTATTACTCCTCTTGTAAATATCTTTAAACTTTTGTTTTTATATCAATAGAATGGCTTTGATATATTTTGTACTTAGAAGACTTCTTCCACTGTCATAATTCTATAATTTAAAAACAGTATCTTCCAAGAATTTAACTTATGAAGATACAAAAAGTTCACCAAAATATATTTATAGGACTATAGTTCAACATTGTTTTTAAGAGGAAAAAGATCTAAACAACTAAAATATCCGGTTAAAAACATTAGAAAACATCTATATATTGTAATTTTATACAACTGTTTAAATAATGAGGTATATCAACGTACGTGCAACGGCAAGAGCAGCAAGATAAAATAAGTGAAAAAAAACTCAAATTGTGCACAGTATATATAATATGACTCTCTTTGTTAAATTAAAAATTTATAGACGCATGTGTGTGAGTACAAAGCGGCACAGCTTTTTATGGAAGGAGTCACAAATAAGTATTAATCGTGGTTACTCTTGCTGAGACGGACTTAAGGGAGAGTGTGAGAGGGAGGCTTTCCTTTTTTATTTTGGACATTTTTCTTGGTTTATATCATTCTTGTTCTTTTCATTTTGGACACTTATGCCATTTGAATTCTCAAAGTTTATTCTTATAATATTTTTATTTTTAAAAAATGTCAGTAGAGTTGTTTGGTAATGAGATTATGGATCACTTTTAAAAGTAGTCTGGAAATGGAGGTCTGAGGCTGGAACTCTGATGCTGAAGTCAGAGAGATGTGCTGAGTCAATAAAAGGTGTCCTCTAGGCAGTGCCAGGGCCAAGCGATAGAGGTCAGTTATCAGGAGTGAAGTTTAAAGTAAATTCTTTGTCAGAGGGATGAAATAAGCGAAGGCCAAGATATGGTCTTCAAAGATGGTGCAGAGTGTAGAAAGAAAATAATATAACTTCTTTCATATTACCTTTCATATTTTAAAGAATCAATGTGAAGCAAGCAGAAATAGGGATGCATTTCAGAAGCCCTGAATTCTCGCCATGGCTATTTCCTTGTAGATAAATTGACATGGTGTTCCTAGGCTTGGGTGGAATGTGAAGGAAAGTTCTTAAGTCCACTGTTGGATCATACCATAAAACAGCAGTGAAGCAGTGGAAACGTTTTGTAGCAAAGTGACGAGAAGAAAAGATAAACAATAGCTAAAGTGAAAAAGCCTGGCAAAGCTTGGGAAATCCCACTCCCCAAAGGTGACTATTCCTTGGATGGGAGTATGGAGGATGAATTTATCCTATGAATTAAGACAATCACTATTCTTCAGCAGCCTTGGCCACATCTTTGACATCGCCAGACAAAAGCAGAGAACTTGGGATCTTTTTTGTTTCTTTTCTCCTTCCCCACCTCAGGCTACGAACTGGTTATGTACCATTTACTAAGGACTTTCTAAGTGCCTGACACTCCATAAGTGCCTCATTTCATTTGATATTCAGACTTCACAACAACCGTATGTAGGAGGAATGTGTATGTAATAGCATATAATAGTTCCTTTCCATACAAGAGAAAAGCAAGATGCTTTAACTACCAGGGTGAATTCATTTTACTCCAGATGCTGTCCCTGGAGGTTGGAATGAAGCATCCAAGTGTGACTAATATATTCTGTGGGTAAAAGTAGTTATGGTAACAAGAAAGAGGAAATTACTAGCAGAGATCTTGTGTGGGAAGATCTTAGAAATGGCGGTCCAAGGACAGGACATCTGAAATACTGTGTGCTTCACAATTGTATTTTTTGTCAATTAAATCACAAAGCATGACTCTCTGATATGCCAGAATTGTTAAGACAAGTATTTTTATTAAAGCTTTTGAAAAATTTGCTAACCAGTGGTAAACCATAAAAGCTAATCAAGTAGTGTTTTAAAGCTATGTCTTCTCATATTACTGTAAGTCTAAGACAGAATTTAAAATCTCTAATCACTTATAAAACATGCTAAATAAGATAAAACAGATGAAACTGCCATCATTATGAAAAAAGGAATTATAGAATAAAAATCCTATCTCATAACTATAACAGAAGGAATTTAAAATTCACCAAAAAAAGATGTATTAAAATAACATATTTCAAGTTTTTAATTACCAAAATCCACTGCACAAGCCATATTTATCTTGAAGAGCAGAGAAAAAATTTCGAGATAAGAAAATTTCTGTGCTGGGACTAGCACTGCCTAAAACGCATTTACCTCCATCACTTCTTGTTTTTCATCTGCTGCAAAAATGTTAGGTACTTCTCCAGTATTGAGAACACTGTCGATATCCTCTAGAAAAGCTTCCTCTTTAATCTGAGTGTCCGTGATTAGAAAGACTGTCTTCTGGCCCTTCATGCCCACATTCCTTAATAGAACCTTAAAATAAAAATGTACTTTAAGCAGGATGTGGTAGAATCTGTTGTTTTTCCTTTCCCTCCCTCCCCCTTTCTTTTTTTTTTTTAAGATTTTATTTTTCCTTTTTCTCCCCAAAGCCCCCTCATACACAGTTGTATATTTTTTAGATGTGGGTTCTTCCAGTTGTGGCATGTGGGACACTGCCTCAGCGTGGCCTGATGAGCAGTGCCATGTCCACACCCAGGATCCAAACCAGCGAAACCCTGGGCCACTGAAGTGGAGGGCATGAACTTAACCACTCGGCCACGGGGCTGGCCCCTCCCCTTCTTTTGATAACAGCATCTCAATTTTATAGTAGTACCCCTTCCCAATTTTGGTGGGGCTGTCAATCAGGGCCTTCATTTCTCCCAGCCCCGGGTGAAAGACTCCAACTGGTAGAGTTTCCCAAGCCCCTAAACATAGTCATTGATTCAGAGAAGGGCATATGATTAAGAGGGCCCAATCACAGTCTTACTTGAGGGACTGAGAGGGACTCGAAAATAGAAAGATTCTCTGTCGTTCTGAGATGGAAGATATAAAGGCTAATAATCTAAAACTGCTAGGGGCCAACTGTGTTGCCTCATGGAATGAGTCTGCTCAAGAAGGAAGACAAATGAAGGAGAGCAGAGCCAGGAGATAGAAAGAGTAATTACAGAAGACTTAATTTGAGCCTTTAAATTCAGCCATGTCAAAAGTCTATCTACTTCTGGACCCTTTAGTTATGTAAGCCAATAACTCCATCTTTTGCTTAAGCTCGTTTGAGCTGGTTTTGTTTTGTTTTGTCAACTGCAACCAAAGATTCCCAACTAATATAAAGTTATGGACTCAGTGCTATGCTGCAGCTGACTTTTTTAGGGTCTTGGAACTGATTGTTAAAATTTCAAAAACTTGTGAGCAGATTGTTAAACACAGCCAGCATTAAAAATTAAATTATATAAACTTATAATTAAACAGACTACATTAAAAACAAAGCTATCAAATACATAAATCTCATCACTTGCTAACTATTTTATTATATTTACTGTTATGTATGCTATGGCAATTATTTAAATCTATTGCATCTATACAGTAAAATACCATGTAATGTTGTTCAAGCATATAACTCTTCCCAACTCTGTTTTCAGTGACATCATGTTGCTAATTTTAAATAATCCATGGTGGGAGTTTTTACACAACAGAAATTGGCAAAGCTACAAATCAAAAGTTCCCCTTGACCCCCGGAGAGTTGGTTAACAGTTGTCAGCATATCACTGGATAGATTTCAAGTGAAAACAGTATTAGTACTTCTGCAAATAATTTTTAAAGTAAAATTTGATTTCAAAATCATATCTTTTAAATAAACCATATCATTTAAATAAATGTTGAGTTTTAATATTATACAAACTATGTCTTTTTTCCATTAAAGCCATCTTCCAATATGCAGGCTGTCATGTTCCTAGAAATAATTTTCTATCATCAAAACTAGGGAAGCGAGCTTTTAAAGAGGTATTATATCTAATCATTTCAGCTTTATAATTATTTTTATACTGTTTATTTTTATAATTATTAACATTATATAAAAGTAAATAGACAAATGCAATATAAATAAACAGATTTAAATTATTGCCACAAGCATTGCTATATTTAAAAGTCATATGCAGACATACAATGTGTGAAACTGTTTCCAAATAGGAAAAGAGAGTTAACATTTGCAAAATACTAACTATATGCGAGAGATATTACAAGAACCTTACATACACTGTATGATTTAAACATAAAAACCTATGACATAGGTGGTATTATCTACATTTTACAAATGAAGGAAAAATGGAGTGCTGTCAGCAAGGTGATAGACTAGAAGTTCCAGGCCCTTGTTCTCCCATGGAGACACCAAATTATCAATACACAGACCAAAATACATTTGTGAGAACTCTAGAAAGTAGTTAAGGGGCCATAGAACCCCTACAAGTAAAAAAGAGAAGGGACAATGGAAGGAGAATAAGAGAATTCATTGCATTTTTCTCACCCTAGCCTCCCACCCTCAGCATAGAGTAACACAATTGGGAGAATAGGATCAATTCCTGGCTCCTCCCTCAGGACAGAAGGAATAGAGTAGAACTTACATCTGGCATTCTGGTTTGTCTGGGGGATGCCTTAGGGACTGATTTCTGTCTTGCTTGACTCAGGGCACTGATGGGAACAGGGCCTAGTTTGGATATGAGGTTGGAGGCCACCAAAAACAGAGGCAAGTCCCCCAGCACAAGTCCCCTTCAGCAGAGACTCTGAAATTCCATAGAAAGGTGCCGGAGGTGGGGGCAAGAGATTAAAGGCAGAGAAATACAAGAGAAACCAAAACCAAAAGCTCACAAGAAGAAATAGGAAATTAAGATAGCCAATAGAACCTGTATATACTAGAATAAAAGTACATATGTGACCCCAAAGAAAAATGCATGCTCAGAAAATTTCTAAGGAGTCCCAGAATATCTAGCCATGCTGATTGGTGAGGTTTTCCCTCCTCATGAAGCCAGTGCATAAAGACTGGGAGAGGTGGCAGTTTTCAAGTGCTCAAAACTCGACAAAAGATCACAAGGCATACAAAGAGACAGGGAAATATGGCCCAATCAAAGAAGAAAAAAAGCTCCAGAAACTAACTCTAAAGAAACAAATCTATGAACTGCCTGACAAGAAATTTAAAATAGCTGTCTTAAAAAGCTAAAAGAGAATACAGATAGACAACTAAAGGAAATCAGGATAATAATTCATGAACAAAATGGGAATATCAACAAAGAGATAGAAACTATAAAAAAATAACTAAGATGCAATTCTGGAGCTGAGAAATACAATAACTGACCTGAAAAATTCTCAAGGGCGACTCAACAGCGGATTTGATCAGGCAGAAAAAGAAGTCAGTGAACTTAAAGACAGGCCATTTGAAATCTTGAGTCAGAGGAGCAAAAAGAAAAATGAATGAAGAAAAGCAAACAGAGCCTAAGGGACTTTGGGGATACCATTAAATGAATAAATACATGCATTGTGGAAGTACCAGAAGGAGAAGAGAGACAGAAAGGGGCATAGAGCTTATTTGAAGAAATAATGGCTAAAAATTTCTCAAATCTGAGGATAGAAAAGGATACACAAATTCAAGAAGCTCAACAAACTTCAACTAGGATAAACCCAAATTGACCCACACACCAAGACATATAATCAAACTGTTGAAAGTCAAAGACAGTGAATCTTGAAAGCAGCAAGAGAAAAGCAGCTCAGCACATACAAGGGATCTTCCATAAGATTAGGAGAATATTTCTCAGCAGAAACTTTGCAGGCTAGAAGAGAAGTGGAATGATATATTCAGAGTGCTGAAAGAAAAAAACTGTCAACCAAGAATACTGTATCTGGAAAAACTATTCTTCAAAAGTAAAGAAATTTTTTTTTGAGGAAGTTTAGCCCTGAGCTAACATCTGCTGCCAATCCTCCTCTTTTCGCTGAGGAAGATTGGCCCTGAGCCAACACTTGCACCAATCTTCCCCTATTTTGTATGTGGGATGCCTGCCACAGCATGGCTTGGTAAGTGGTGTGTAGGTCCATGCCCAGGATCCAAACTGGTGAACCCTGGGCTGCTGAAGCAAGCATGCAAACTTAACCGCTACACCACCAGGCCAACCCCCAAAAATAAAGAAATTGAGACCTTTTCAGGTAAATAAAAGCTGAGGGAATTCATTACCAATAGACCTGCCCTTCAAGAAATGCTAAAGGGAGTACTTCAAGTTAAAACAAAAGGATGCTAGACAGCAATACAAAGCCATATAAAAGTATAAAATTCTCCAGTAAAGGTAAATATATGGACAAACATAGAATTCTATATTACTGTAATTTTGGTGTATAAATCCTTTTTTAGTTCTTGTATAGAATCTAAAAGACAAAAGCACTGAAAAACCCTATAAGTCTATGTTAATGGGTAGACAATCAATAAAGATGTAACTTGTGATATCAATAACATAAAGTGTGTGTGGGCATATGTAAAGAAGTGGAGTTTTTGTATGTGATTAAAGTTATCAGTTTAAAGCAAGTTTTCATTACTTTAAGATGTCTCATGTCATTACAATGGTAACCACAAAGAAAGTATATATAGACTATACACAAAAATAAATGAGAAAGAAATCAATGCATGTCACTACAAATAATCAACAAAACACAAAGGAAGGCTGTAAGAGAGGAAATGAGGGACAAAAAAAGATATAAAACATACAGAAAACAAGTAAGAAAATGTCATTAGTAAATCCCTTCCTATCAGCAATTACTTTAAATGTAAATGAATTTAATTCCCCAATAAAAAGACATAGATTAGCTGAATGGATTAAAAAACAGGATCCAACGATGTGCTGCCTATAAGACACTCACTTCAGACCTAAGGACACACATAGGCTGAAAGTGAAAAGATGGAAAAGATGTTCCATCCAAATGGTAACAAAAAGAGAGCAGAGTGGCTATTCTAATATCAGACAAAATAGACTTTTTTTTTCAAAGATTGGCACCTGAGCTAACAACTGTTGCCAATCTTCTTTTTTTTTCTTTCTGCTTTTCCTGCCCAAATCCCCCCAGTACATAGTTGTATATTTTAGTTGTGGGTCCTTTTAGTTGTAGCATGTGGGATGTTACCTCAGCATGGCCTGATGAGTGGTGCCATGTCAGCACCCAGGATCCAAACCAGCGAAACGCTGGGCCGCCAAAGTGGAGCGTGATAACTTAACCACTAAGCCACAGGGATGGCTCCCCAAAATAGACTTTAAGTCAAAAACTGGCACAAGGGACAAGAAACATTATATAATAATAAAAGGGTTAACAAAATACACAGGATGAGAAACAAAGGAAGTGCAGGAGAACCAGAGGACGAGTGATAAAATGGCAGCATTAAGACCTCATATACTGCTAACCCCCTTAAAGGTAAATGGATTGAATTCTCCAATAAAAAGACACAGAGTGGCGAGATGGATAAAAGAACAAGACCAAACAATATATTGCCTCCAGGAAACACATTTCAGCTCCAACGACAAATGCAGGCTCAGAGTGAAGAGATGGAAGATGATACTCCACGCTAATGGCAAACAAAAGAAAGCAGGTGTTGCCATACTTATATCAGACAAAGTAGACTTCAGGATAAGACAGGTAAGGAGAGACAAAGAGGGTCAGTATATAATGATCAAAGGGACATTCCATCAAGAAGAAATAATGCTTGTAAATATCTATGCACCCAACACAGGAGCGCCAAAGTACATAAAGCAACTATTAACAAATCTAAAAAAGGTATTAATAATAACACAATAATAGTAGGGGACCTCAACACTCCATTCACATCAATGAATGATCATCCAGACAGAAAATCAACACAGAAACAGCAGAATTATTTTTTATTCTTAATTTTTTTAATTAAAAAAATTTTTTTTGAGGAAGATTAGCCTGAGCTAACATCTGCTGCCAATCCTTCTCTTTTTGCTGAAGAAGACTGTCCCTGAGCTAACATCCATGCCTATCTTCTTCTACTTTATATGTGGGACGCCTACCACAGCATGGTTTGCCAAGCAGTGCCATGTCCGCACCTGGGATCCAAACTGGCAAACTCCAGGCTGCTGAAGCGGAACATGCACACTTAAACACTGCACCACCGGGCCGGCCCCAGAAACAGTGGAATTAAATGAAAAGCTGGACCAGTTGAACTTAGTAGACATATATAGAACACTGCATCCAAAAACAGCAGAATACACATTCTTCTCAAGTGTGCGTGAAACATTCTCAAGGATAGACCATATGTTGGGAAACAAGGCAAGCCTCAATAAATTTAAGAAGATTGAAATAATAACAAGCATCTTTTCTGATCACAATGCTATAAAGCTAGAAATTAATTACAAGAAAAAAGCTGAGAAAGGGACAAAGATGTGGAGACTAAACAACATGCTATTGAGCAAGCAATGGATCATTGAAGAAATTAGAGGAGAAATAAAAAAAATCTGGAGACAAATGAAAATGAAAACATACCATACCAACTCCTATGGGATGGAGCAAAAGGCATATTAAGAGGGAAATTCAACGCAATACAGTCTCACTTTAACAAACAAGAAAAATCCCAAATAACCAATCTCAAACTACATCTTATTGAAGAGTGAATGCAGCAGCAGTGTGTAGCAGGAACCTGAAAGTAGAGATACTGAAGGGTTGAGGAAAATCACTTAGGGGGGGGCTACTATGCTAGTCTAGAGAAAAGTGATGGGGCCATAAACTGGAGCAGTGGCAGTGGAAATGCAGAAGAAAAGCCAAAGATCTCTTGTATGATTCATCCTTTTAACAATTCTGTACAAATAGAGCAGGGTCCTGTGGCACTTGCCTCCAGAGAGTGAGTGTCTCCTTAAATTTTGCACCCTAGGTACCTCACTTGCCTTACTCTAATCCCAGCCCTAAAATGGAGGTGAGATTATCTCCATTTTCTGAAAGAAAATCAAACTCAAGAAAACAATCATCTGATCAAAAAGCATTATTGGGCACCCACTAAGTGCTGAAGATTGGGCACCAAATAACAAGACATCACCCTTGACCAAAGGAGTATATGGTTTACTGGAGGGAGACAGGAAATTACAATTCAATGCTGTGATGGGATAGTGAATGGCACTGGATCTGGTCTCAGACTGTTTGGGTTGGAACCATAGTTCTACCATTTTCATGTGACCGTGGCCAAGGTGATAATAATGGTACCTACTTCACAGTGCTATAAAAGATAAAAAGAATTATATAGAAATCATTTGGAACAGTGCTAAGCACATAGTTAGTGGTATCTCACCATTTAGGAAACCAGAATATGTCACCCAAAAATATGGTTCTTTGACATAAAAATTATTTTGAGTTAAAGGCTCAAAGAAGTAGCAAACCCAGGAAAAGCTCTCGCTACCCTCCCCTTTTTCTGCAGTAAGGCAGAATATAAATTCTCCTTTACTGGAGACAACTCTAGACTCTTTATCAGCCCAGAGATGGCACCAGAGGAATGTGCAAACAAACTTTACTCCATTTGTTTCCTGCCACACATTTACCTTCCCATGGTTTGCTGCCTTTGGAAGCTTAACACCATTTTCCTTTGTCCTGTCATTTCTCCACAAATTTATTGTTCTTTGTTAAAGATGCTATATAAGTCAGAGTTCTAAGCCACTTCTTTGAATTACTCATCTCTGAGTGCTCCCTTGTGTAAGTGCAATGCACATTTTAATAAATTTCTGTTTGTTTTTCAAAAATAATAATAAAAGGGTTAATTTACCAGGAAGATATAACAATTATAAGTATTTATGTACCAAACAGCAGAGCTCCTAAATACATGAAGCAAACATTGACAGAATTGAAGGGAGAAATAGACAGCAACACAAAAGTAGGAGACTTCAACATCCCACTTTAAATAAGGGACAGAACAACTAAACAGAAGATCAATAAGGAATAGAGAATTTGAGCAATACTGTAGACCAATAGGAGCTAACAGATATACACACAACACTCTACTCAGCAACAGCAGAATACACATTCTTCTTAAGTGCACATAAAACTCCAAGATAGATCACATGTTAGGCCACAAAACAAGTGTTAACAAATTTAAGAAGACTGAAATCATATCAAACATCTTTTCTGATCACAATGGAATGAAACCGGAAATCAATACCAGAAGGAAAACTGTAAAATTCACAAATCCATGGCAACTAAACAACATACTCTTAAACAATCAGTAGGTCAAATTAAAAATCACAAGGAGAAATAGAAAGTTTCTTGAAACAAATGAAAGTAAAAATCCAAGATATCAAAACTTATGAGGTGCAGCAAAAGCAGTGTTAAAAGGCAGTGTTATAGTTGCAAATGCTTACATTAAAAAAGAAGAAAGATCTCAAATCAACAACCTAACTTTACACCTCATGGAACTATAAAAAGAAGAACTAAACTCAAAGCTAGCAGAAAGAAGAAAATAGCAAAGACTAGAGCAGAAGTAAGTGAAATAGAGAATAGAAAATCAGGAGAAAAATCAATGGAACTTAGAGTTGGTTTTATGAAAATATCAACAAAATTGGTAAAATCTCAGCTAGATTAAGAAAAAAAGAGAGAAGACTCAAATAACTAAAATCAGAAATCAAAGAAGGGACATTACAAAGGATGCCATAGAAATTAAAAATATTGTGAGAGCATACTATTAGCAATTATCTGCCAACAAATTGTATAACGTAGAAGAAACAGATAAATTCCTAAAAACAAATGAAGACATTAAAGGACAGAAAGATTTAGTAACACGCCCAAGATAATCTAACCAACAAATCACGCAAAGCAGGAGTTAAAACTGAGTTTGCCTAACTTCAAAGTCCACGTTCTTTCTACTACAGTATGCCGCTTGCTAAATCTATTAGTTCATTTTGTAGTAAAGGTATCAAAAATTTCCCTCTAAAGTGAGAGCTGAAAAAGAAACAATGTAATTTTTCCTTCCAAGTGTTTGATATCAGCTTGGATTCACCATTTCCACCTGCAAGTAGCCAAGAAAAGCCCAGTTCTCTAGGCTAACTTTTAGGATGTAGAAATTTAGTATGTGAGGGTCAGTAAAAGGGGAAAAAGTCCAGCAATACTTCCCTTCCTTTTTTTTCACTTTGGGTCATCTCTCTTCTGGGGCCTGCAGACCCCTAGGCACATGAGGATGAAGCCCAAGTACACACTCCACTAAAATACTGGTTACTGGGAACAGCAACACAGCTCCAAAGAAGCTATTGAGACTGGACAACAGTAATGACATCATCATCATCATCACTGAGATTCTTATTTAACAGTCTGCTGGAAAACATATATTTATCTGAAATAAGGCCTCACCGAACTAGAATAAAGATATAAGCCATGGCAGCAGTGGTAATAGTGTGGTGGATAAGTTATAAATCCTGCTCTGCTGTGTCTACCTTCCCTCAGTGTCAGTTTCCTCATCAGTAAAACACAGAGACAACCATATATGTTGCATTGAATTGTTGTGCCTATAGAATGAGATCGTGTTTGTACCTAGAAGAGTGCTCAACACACACAGTAACTGCTCTACGGATAGTATCATCATCATCACCAAGGTATTCAGCACACAGCCATACAGGTTGGCTCTCTTTTCACAGGTAAAAGAATGCACTGATATTATTTTAGACACATAATTTTACCTTCAGATCCTCTCTCCACTCATTCATACCATAGCTCTTAGAAATTTCTGGTTGGGAAATCTGCATTTTTGCCATGGATGTAGCCAGACGAGTTAAAGATTGACGACCACTTCCTCCAAGGCCAACAAGCAAAGCATTTCCACCAGACTGCTTCAGAATTCGACATATTCGTGATAAATGTTCCAGTACATACCTAAGAAACATCAATATTATTATATTAAAGTAAATGTATATTTACACATAACTATTGTTTTGCTTTCCTAGAAGGATGGACTTTGCTGTCCCATATGTTAATATCACAATTTTGTGTGTGTATGTAAGGAAGATTGGCCCCAAGCTAACATCTGTGTCAATCTTCCTCTATTTTGTATGTGGGATGCTGCCACAGCATGGTGTGATGAGCAGTGTGTAAGTCTGCACCCAGGATCAGAACTTGTGAACCCCAGGCCACTAAAGTGGAGTGCGTGAACTTAACCACTATTCCACTGGGCCAGCCCCACTATCCCAATTTTAAGAGGTAATCATCAAAAAGTGTGATTTTTTTTCAAAAGCGTTTACAACTGGATCATTTGATGCAAAGAAAAACTAAAGTACAAATTCAAGAAATGTAATATATAAATTATGGAAGCAAAATAAAATTGTAATTGCTTACATTGGAAGTGTATTATTCCTTTTGTTAAAAACACGTCTTCAAACTTTTAATACTAGGATTTCTATGTAAGAAATAGAAACTTAGTCATCTACAAAATAAAAAATTCAGGAAAGACACTAGGCCTCACTAGTAATTTGGGAAATTAAAATTAGAGCCACAATGAGATACCATTTCACTGTCCTTAGACTGGCAAAACTTACCATGTCTGAAAAATCTTAATTGTTGGCAAAGGTGAGGAACAATATTAGCTCTTAGAAACAATAATCATTTTTGAAGATACTTTGGCAAAACTTAGTAAAATAGAAGATGCTTACGTACCATGACACTGTAACTCCACTTCTGGGAATATAGCCTAGAGAAATTCTTATACATGTACCTGAGGAGACTTGAATATTAAAATCTTTTTTATAATTGCAAAAACTAGAAGTCACGTAAAAGCCTATCTCAGAAGAATGACTACATTGTGTTATAATTATATAATGGAATGCAATATAGTAATAAAAATTCATTTTTGTGAATCTCACAAACAATACAGAAGAAACCAACTTGCAGAAGAATATGTACAGAATGCTACCATTCATATGAGTTTTAAACATGCAAAATAAGACTGTGCATATATTTTTAGGAACACATATGTGTAGTTAAAGTCCAAAGAAACACATGAGTTTCTTTTTACTTCTGTAGGCTGTGATGGGAACGCAGTGAGAGAGGGTTGGCTACACAACGGACTTCGAATAAATTGCTAATATTTTATGTCTTAAGTTGGGTCATGGGTACAAGGTTATTCACCATATTTTTCTTTATACTTTTTTGTACATTTTAAATATCTCACAAGAAAATCTTAAAAATAGCAATTTCAACCATCAATACCAAATGTAGGTACCTAAAAACGACAAGATTCATTCTTGTTTTGTGAGTTTGATTATACTCATCTAAGCATTGCTCCACAATGTCACTAAAATGATGAATATTTGGAATTTCAATATAAACTCTATCATCTCCTTCAAGGTCAGGATTCATATAGTCGCCAAACATCAGATTTCTTAAGTTCTCTTCAGTTACCTACAGAATGGAAATCAACAAATTATAAAACTTAAAAATTTTTCTAAAATAAATTTAAGAAAATTTTTTTGTCCATGTTATGAGATGGCTATCAATTAGATAATGCTTTTAAACATTAGGGTGATAAATAATATATTTGTAAAATTAATACCTGAAACTATATTATACCCTTAGGAAATAAAAATAAAAGAACTTTTTTCTATCATATAAGTATCCCCTACCCCCAGAGCCTGGAGAAATCATTCTGAGAGACTCCTATTTATAGTAATTACTAAGGGATGGTCACCATGTTAAGCACTTTATAGCTATTATACCATTTAATTCCTATCATATAAGGATTTATTCTTTAAGTAACTTCTACGTTACATACAAAATTCTGCTGAAGACAAATCTTCAGGAAAGTTAAAAGAATAAGATCATTAAGAAGCAGTAGTATTTTTTAAAGAAAGGTTGATTGTAACAATTCATTTTATTGTACTGTTTTAATTTGTTTTTAACCACTAAATACACTCACTGGTGCATTCTCTTTCCTCAAGTGTGAAAAAATGCTATCAAATGATTCTTTAAAATGGTCCTTTATAACAATTTTGATTAAATTGAACAGCCAGCGTCGATCATCATCATTAATGAGGCGATCATAAAACACTCGGAGAACTTCATGCACAAACAGACGGGTCATAGTGTGTTTGCTCTCCACAGCATCTCTTTCAATGAGTAAGCATCCCTGGATGACACGTGAAAAATCCCGCAAGTTGAAAGTGTAATGAGATTTTGCGGGAGTGGGCAAAAGATTCTCCATGGATCGTTTATATATCTGAATATGAAAAAGGCAACAAAGCAAAAATAAAATGCTTATAATCAGCAAAGCCATGTAACAAATAGCATATTATATAAAATATTTTATTTATCCTATCAGATTATATTGGCTTGGAGAATTGTATAGTACTAAGCCTAGCACAGCATCTATCTATCTATTTTGGTTTACAGCACACAACCAGGCATCATGAAGTTCAAGGAACTTAACATTATCTGATTCCATCCAAGCCCAAGAAGTGACAATGCTTTTATTTCCCAGTTATTATGGTTATTCCATTTAAAGGTTAATGACCTGGGATTAAGTAGTTAACAAAAACTTTAGTAGAAAGTGAAATCAGATAACTTGCTCTGAAGCATTTCAAATGAAGACAAGGCTGAAACAATTTCCTTTTGACTACCACTGACTTCAAAATAAATCAAAGTGTTCTCTTCCTTCTCTTCTTTCTCTTATTTTCTCTCCCCTCTTCTACCTTCTATCTTAATTGGCTATAATATGGAAATGAAAGATATGTTTACTATATGCTAAATTTACCAAATGAAGTGTAATATTATCTTTAAAGAAGGTAAATTAAATCTTTTATAATATAACCTGAAAAAAGCCCCAAATAAAATTATTTTTCATTTATATGTGTTCTAGGATTCATTCCCCTGCCCTAACCAGCACACGTGGTAGGTCTATGATGCTTCAAAGACAGGAAAAAAAAGGATCCTTTCTGTATCCCATTCTGCCTGACCAACTCCTCCCTCTTTCCAGGAGATGCCTGAAATATAAATATATTTTATAAGTAAAAGCACTTTTCTGTATCAGAATAAGTATAGCGGTTACAATTTACTATCTCTTTGCTCTAGTTTCTCTATTTTAACAGCACAAATTTTCCACTGAAGCAAGGGGAAAAGAACTTTAGAAAGACACAGTGCTCTTGGAAACTGATGGAATGATTTTAAGGAGATTTTTGCTTCTGGTTACAGTGAATTCCACTTTTTCAAGGCTCCAGAAAGCTTAGTCCAATGAGATTATCACTAATTTACCTTAAATACCTATCTTCCTTCTACGATTAGCAATGAGGCTGGCTCTGGCCTCTGAGCAGAGGCAGATACACCTTGAATAATTTACAAGCTGCTCTTTGGCCATATGGGCAGTTTTGTTTTTTGTTCCCACCCTTGTGTTTCCTTATTATTATTTTTTCACTGCTACTCCTAAATTATGTCATCTGGCTGAAAATAATGTATTCATAAGCTGCTTAAGTTTTTTTTTTTTAAGACAAACATGAAGAATGGAAGGAAAGAGAGAGAAGAGAAAATTGATAAACACCAGACAGAGTAGGAAACTAACAATCAGGGAAACACCTACAATGTGGCAGATACTGGTTCTGGATGATTTCTTTATAACAACCTCGTGAAACAGGTATTATCTCCCACTTCAGTGATCAAAAAATTGAGTTTCTGTAAGGTCAGATTACTGGCTCAAGGCCATATAGCTAGGAAATAGCAGTCAGGGCTCAAACCTAGTTAGATTCCCTAATTTCAAGGCCTATGATCTTCCTGTTCTCAAGGCTTCTTAAAACCTTCTGTGACACTGAAGACCTAAGTAGATGGCTAAGGAAAAATACATTAAAAAAAAAAAAGTAAGGACCAAATAAGGGAAATATGAAATACTAAAACATTTTGTATTGCATTATTTGCTCACCTCCATGGTCCCACTGACAATTTGGTTCCCAATTAAAAAGTATTCTGGAAGAAATTCATGAGTCCTAAGATAGAATGCTACAATTGATGAGAATATGCGAACCATAGTTTCATCACTAAAAGTATTAATAGTGCAGATGTTGAAATGTCGAATAAAACGAGGAGTAACTGGATTTCTTCCACCACCGGGAGGACCCATGGCAGCAATCAGCTCTATGTCAACCAATGTGATTTTACTTGTGTCCTTAAGGTCATACCTTGAAAATATAAAAATTCCAAAACAATCAGTTATAAAGCCAATAAGATGGACTGAAATGTAGATCTCCCTAGAAACTTAATCCAATTTTACCTTGTCTAAAAGGAAGAACTTTAGATTATACTTGGAGTAGGAGAGAACTGTTTTTTAAAGGGTTCCTTTAATTTTTATTTCTGTTTTTAATTGAAGTATAATTGACATATTGGTTTCAGATGTACAATGTAATGATTTCATATTCATATATATTGTAAAATGATCACCACAGTAAGTCCAGTTAACGCTCATCACCATACACAGTTACAAAATTGCTTTTTGTATGATGAGAACTTTCAAGATCCACTCTCCTAGCTACTTTCAAATATGCAATCGAGTATTAATAACTATAGTCACCAGGCCATGCATATCATCCCTATGACTTATTCATTTTATAACTGGAAATTTGTACCTTTTGACCGACTTCACCCACTTCCCACTCCCTGCCTAAGGCAAGTACCAATCTGTGGAGGGAACTTTTTTAAAAGCAGCATTCTATTTCTCTTTTCAGTGACACTGATTCTGTTGCCCAGATTCTGGGTCTCTAGAATGTCCCTTCCTCATGTGCATCCCTTTCTTTTCTCCTATTCTTCTTTCCAATTTGACTCTCTGTTTTTTCTCTTCTCACTCTAACACCATAAACATGGATGAGAGATCAATCCTGTTTGTAGCTGGTTATAAGTAGGGTGACCATATGCCCCATTTTGCCTAGGACAATTCTGGTTTGTGCTTGTCCTGGAGTAATTATTAATAATTCTCCCCTTCTACTCTCATAAATGTCCCAGTTTGAAAAATAACTCATATAGTCATCCTACTTACAGCAAAGTCCTGATTTCTTTTTCTCATTTCAAATCTTATCTTCAGAGCACATAAGGATGTCTACATAGTACCTATACACTTTTGTTATATAAAAAGGAACCAATTAGGAAATAACAATGCTCCAAAGAAGTTTTAATCAGAAAGGACTTTATAAATAGCTCACTTTAGTTAGAACCACTCAGAGTGAAAAGGTGCCTATATCCAAGAGGCCATTAAGTCCTTTAATATTGAAGCAAAAAGTGGGGTGGGAGAAATCTATATAGCCAGTCCTTAGTCTTACAGTATGCTAGAATTATAAAAATATGACTTGATTTTTGGCAACAATGCTAATAACTGTCAATGGGGGACTGGTTAAATAAATTATGGCAAGATCCACACAACTAAACGGTATTATAATAGCCAATAAAATGAATGAGACAAATAATATGGATAGGTGTTCAAGATCAACATTTAAGTGCAAATAAGTTGCAAAACATTATGTGTAATATGAGTCTATGTTTTTAAAAAATAAAAACATATTTATATAGAAAAAAAACCTGGGAGGAATGGGGAATGCACTATTAACAGTGGTCATCTCCTGGAGGCAGGATTCTAAGGGTTTTCAGTAATAACAAAAATTTATTCACTTCAAAATTAGTCAGTCTTTACCTTGAAATAAAAATCATGGCATATTGGGGATTAGGAAAGTATATTTAAGAGGAGTAAATGAAGAATTACTAATCCTCACTAAAAGATACAATGTCTTAACATGTTGGAAACTGATCATCTCATCATAAATTCAGGTGGAGGGAGCAGAAGAGTTATCTATGAAATTGCCGTCAAAACCAAACTATCTCAAAACTATGGTGGTTCCAAACAGTCACAGAAAATACAGAGAATTGAAAATGGTGGAAACATAGGGTACTGATTACGGTTACTTAGGTTGGAAACTACCCACAAATTCTCAGCCCTGGGGGAATGGTACTTTGAAAGATGTAATCTGTAAGTTATTTCCAATAATTGAAAATAACAGTTGAAAAGGAAAGAATTTACTATATTATTGAATAAACACATTTCCAATACTGGATAATTTATCCCATTTATCTAACATTCACACATTCACAGGAAAGAATGGTGTAAAAAGGTCTAGAAAAGTCTTCCAAAAATTTCTGTAACATATAGGAAAATCTGAGCAACCATTTCCTTCCACAAATAACTTTAAATATGTTTTCCTTTAATGTGAGAAACTAAAACAGAAAAAGAGATATACAACATCCCAAAGCCGAGAATGATGCCCTGAAAGATAGGGATGTTGCCTTTCCTCCATATCAGCACTTCCATATAGATAGGCATTTCTTCCCAGAAACTAAGGATTAATTACTGACCTACTGTCCTCATCTCGTGACCAATGATCTGCTGACCACTGGCTTGCTGTGCTCATCTTGTGACCACTGACCTGCTGTGCTAGCAAAGCATCTCATGACAGTAGTAAAAGAGATATTCCTGTCATATGTGATGTATGTTCCTTGTTTCAAGATGGTATATAACCACTCTGTACACCCCGCTTCTTTGGAGTGCTTCTTGCCTTGGTGGAAGCATTCTCTCAGGCTATAGTTCTCAAAACTGGCTCATAATAAACTCACCCCAGTTTTGATTTGTAGATTGACTATGAATTATTTGTGTTGATAAAACACCTTACTGATAACATTTGGGAATAAATTTGTGATTAAAGGTGAAAAAAAACAGGGGACCGGCCCTGTGGTCAAGTAGTTAAGTTCATGCGCTCTGCTTCAGTGGCCCAGGGTTTCACTGGTTCAGATCCTGGGCATGGACACAGCATCACTCATCAGGCCATACTGAGGAAGCGTCCCACATGCCACAACTAGAAGGACCCACAACTAAATAATATACAACTATGTACTAGGGGGATTTGGGGAGAATAAGCAGAAAAAAAAGATTGGCAACAGTTTTTAGCTCAGGTGCCAATCTTAAAAAAAATAAAAGATAAAAAAGTAAAATAAAATAGAAAAAGAGAACAAAGAAATGACTTCAGCATGGCTAATTAAAACTTCAATTAAATAGTTACCAATTCCCGCAGTCAAAAAATTGTCGTAATAATTCAATAGGAGGTTGAGCTCCATATTTCTCCAATGCAGGCATATTCATGTCATCTATAAAAATTATACACTTCTTTCCCATAGGTGGTCCAAAAACTCCTTTGCGTCTTTTATCCAATCTATTCATAATAATATTCTAAAATATAAAGAAGGAAGAGTAGTATATTTAAAGCCATACTTAACACCAGAAAAAAAAAAGGCATTTAACAGTCTAATCACGTAAGGAAATAATGCCAAGCAGCACTATGTGCATGTGTGTTTACTCATTTTTTAGAGTGATACCAAACTTCATGTTCAATATCATTCAAAGAGCATTTATTGAAATCCTTCTACGTATTCAAAATTCTTACATATATACATATTATATTTATATTATATAATATTTATATTATAATTTTTATATATGTGCACATACGTGAAATATTTTCTTCATTAGATACCCCAAGATATCTATTAACCTTAACTTACTCAATATCTAAAAGTGTAATCTAAATTTGTAAGATTTTGAAATTAAGAAAATTAAGGAATTCTATAGGCTTAAAACAATGGAAATGAACTCTATAGGCCAGGAGAGAATGTACACACATAAATTTAGGAATGGATGATAAAAATGGTGATTAGAAAGGTCTCATGGAGTACTTTCATCTGGGAACATTTGGGGGTAAAGAATGGGATGCATAACTATAATTAGTGTTCGGGTGGTGAACATGATGTAATGTATCCAGAATTTGAAATATGATGTACATCCGAAAAAAATAAAAATTAAAAAAAAAAAAAGAATGGGATGCATAGCCACATGGTACCTGTCACAGAAGGTCATGTAATAGTCTATGGTTTGAAAGATCTTTCACTGACAGAACTTCAGTAAGCAGTAAATGTCCCTAAAAACGATTTAAGAGAGTCTAGAAAGAACGATCAAAAGTTCTCTCTTTCTTTCTCTCTCTTCCCCCTCCCTTCTCTTGCATACCTTTCTCTAGTTAAGAAATCAGTTGTTCCTTCTTCTCCAGCTTAAAAAAAAGGTGACAAAGCTCAATAATCCAGTATTAATGCAAAAATGTTTTCTTGAACTTTTGTCCTTTAAACTTGATTTTTAAAACTTGTACCACCAAAAATAAAAGTTTTGATGTTTTATTTAAATTCATAGAAGATTTACACAGCTACTCAATTAATATGCAATTTTAAATACTAATCAAATAAGGCAAAAAAGATTAATAATTATAGACCCATGTTTCTGGCTTTAAACTAACCTGAACCTGGTTGGCACTGGTCCGTGCAGAGAAATTAACATAAAAAGGAAAGTACTGGTCCTTTTCCAAGTGATTCATTAGCTTATCCTTCACATACACTGACTTTCCTGTACCCGTTGGACCCACAAAAAGCAGTGGCCTTTATGAAAACAATGAACACATCATTCAAAAGGGGAAAAAGTCAGAACACATTCCTACTAAAAGAGGTTGGAATTAGTTGAAAACGTAAATGACAATCAAATCATCCTCATCTAAAAACTCACATTTTAATCTATCATTGTTATTTCATGAAAGACTAGTAAAAGTAATGACCAGCACACATTTTTGCTTACTATTACTAACAAACCATTATTTGAATAGATGTAAATTCCTGTATGCAAAAACATTCATAAAACAAGTGATAACATGCTTAACCTTTCACAAAAGACAGTCAGAGTTTGTCTGCTCAGAAAAGTGATGCAGTACTTTTTAGTGAGACATACAGGCAAGCAGGTGCAGTGCAGAATAGACTAATAAGATGATGACAGTAAGATAGGTTTAGGCTGTTTCACAGTTATCTCAATAGCATAAAGTTTTTGTGAGAAACTAAATCACAGTGAATTCTAAAGCTAATAGTTATGTATACCGGTTAATAGCATTTTAGAATCATGACAGAGTTACTAACTAAAAATACTTGTCTAAAAGCAAACTCTAAGAAATTCTCCATTCAGTGAGGCTTCAAGCAGAGTTTCTCATTCTTGAGCGATCATAACCAGTTTTAAAGGGAAAAAAATCCTATGAGTTTATGTTCACAGAACTCTGAGGAATCTCGGTTTGAGAAATACTGAATTAAAATTAAACACTGTCACTTTGAGTGATAACTGGGCACCACCCCAAACCCTTAAAGATAAACTCAAAGGCTGGCACTAAAACGGAGCAGCAGTATTCAGTTATAAGGGGTCATCTAAGTGACCCAAACTATGCTAATACTAATTTTTAAAATTATCACTGGAGCATAACATAAAATTCTTTTAGAACTAATGGCCCCTGAGAATTCATCTACATCTCCCAGTCTGGTAACACTTGCTTTATGGAAAACTATTTATTAAAATAATCTTATCAAATAAATACTATCCTTAGCTTGGGGTCCATGGACAAACTGAAGACATTCTTAGACAATATTCAGAGAACGTGTGAAATGGGATGACAAAAGGTTTTTATCTTTACTTTCACTATTCTTAACTAAATTGGAGCAGTCGTATTAATAGGACCTGTGTCTTTGTCACCAAGAGAAATATTTAAGACATTATCCTAAATACTACAATTGCTACAGATATCTTAAAATAACACACCTATTACTTCTTCAAAATTATGATAGTCATCAGACCGCTAGATCTTATTTAATGTGTTAACAAAGAAGCACATGTATTAATACTCTAGCCCAAATTTGTTAAATATTTTAATAAATATATTTCATGATGTGCTTTCCTTGTAATCTTATGTTTGTACTTATTCATTTAAAACCATTATTCTGACAAATGGTTCATGGCACAAAATAACTCCTGTAATAGGCATTCCCCAGAGTTGACAAGTGCCTTTCTTCCCTAAGAAAGTTTGTAATACTAGCTTCTAAATGCAAAAATGCAACTACAGGTACAAAATAGGGATAAAATAATGTTCCCTCATAAGCTATTTTTCCTGTTTTTTTAATTAAACGAGATAAAATTGTCACAAAATTCACTCAGAACCAGGTTCTTTATCAAAAACAAACAAAACATGACATTCATGCATATTACGTAAGCTCGTCTAGCTTAAATAGTATTAATGATAAATTATGCCTAAAGTTTTAAAAGAAAAATTAACTACAAAAATGTTACTAAGAAAGTTGGTATAGATATGCCTATGGTGCGTGCTAGGCTTCTAATCAGTTTCATGTACTCTTTTTTGATGTGCTCTTTTGATTTAAGTCTGAGTTTTTAATCTTAACTGGCATAGGAGATATTTGAAAAATGCTAAATATAGTGGCAGAATGTGGATCACGGTTAGTCTGATACCTCAGGAGTGCAGTGAACCTTTCAATAGAATGCATACCTTTTTAACAATAACACTGCAACTGAATTCTTGTCTGTTATTATAAATAAAAGAAATGCAAGGTGGCTCATGAGGCAAGAAAGTATGATGGAAACGGTCTTGGGGTAGGCACTAGGAAACCTGGATTCAAGGTGTGCCACAAGTAACAGATGTCACTGTGGACATGTCAATTAGTTCCCCAGGGTCCCAGTTATCTGAAGATGGATGACCTCAAACTTTACTTCAAAAACCCGATGATCCTAATAAAATGGCACTGTTCTAGTTAAAATGCATGTTTATAACAGAGTTTCTTACTTTGCATAGGTAATACTCAAATCCATTAGAAATGTGTATCTAATTGTGTCCATTGTAGGCACTATGATATCTTGAATCCTGACACGTTTATCTCCTAAATTAGTACTTTTAATTAATTCATTCCAATGGAGCCAGCGACCTCGGTTTTTCAACTACAAAAGAACATAAGTTTTAAAGTATTATAACCATGCACTTGATATCTGAAAGGCTCTTTTTAACACACTGTTATATTTGCTTTTAAAAACTTTAATCTTTTCCCTTTCTTATTATGAAATATTAGATTCATCCAAAATAATGACTATAACATTTTAAAGTCATGAAGCAGATCAATAAGCACCCATGAATCCACCACCCAATTTAAGAAATACACATTTTTCTTTAGATTAATTTTCCTTTTCAATGATAACCTGAAGAACTTAATGAAATTTAGTTATCATAAATTCATCGTATCTAGAATGTCAGATATTTTTGCCTCTATGCCCTCTTAATACTCTAATCTTCCCAAAATATCTTCAAGATATCCTTTTGATATGTCAAGTATTTATTTGGGAGCCACTCTCATATAGCTCAAGTTACAATTTACTGGACTTTGGCTTCGTGTTTTCATAGTTTAAAGTAAAGGAGCAATAATCTAACTAGAAGCAAAATATCGAATGAACTCACTACATTTTTTTCTTTAAAATTATTCTCTTTGGCATTCTGATCCAGGCTGATATTCAGCCAGGGCATACTGGCATTGTTACAATATTGAAATTCTTCTGAACCAGTGGCTAAATAGCTGCTGTCCTGACACGCCGAGTGCCTCCCTAATCCACCCGTCCCCTCACTCTTCTCTTTCTCTGCAGGTGGTCCTGCCCTTCCCTGGAGATCCCAAGGCCTCTCACCAACAAGCAAAGTAGTAGGTCTCTTGGTCCCTGCTCCAGTGTTATGGCTGGCATCTAAGAGTCTTTTCCTACTTTCTAGCAAGTCGTACATGGATATAATCTGTCTGGATGGTGGCAATTTTGCAAGTTTGGGTGAATGTTTTTTAGTAATTCATATTCTTAATTTTTTAGGTTTTAGCTTTTATTTTAACAAAGTTATACATGTGCATATTTTAGAGACAAAAGTTTTACAAGGTTAAGAAAAACAGCAATTTCTCACTCTCATTTCCTCCTCTCTAGTAGCAACTACTTTTACCTCTTTAAGCTGGATATTTTGGTATTCACCTCCAATTCTTAAAGAATATGCTTAGTTATTACCTCTTGATTTTTTAGTGTTACAGATTGTTTTATTGACTTTCCACTGTGACTAATGAGGATGAAACTCTCTTTCTGGTCATATTCTTAAAATTCTGTGTTTGCATGGTTTTGGGGAAAGATTTCTGCACTGGCAGTCAGGAGAGCTGGGTTCAAGTCCTGGTTCTGCTAGCCACTTGCCTTGCTGAGTTTCCTTCTTTATCTACAAACCTTGAGATTTCAGTAAAATTGTGTTTAAGGCTCTATCCAGATCTTATGGCTCTGTGAAGTAAAATTTGCATGAATCAAATGATTATTCAAAGGCTTGCTGTTTAAAATTAATTTAAATCTCAAATTATAAAATATTGCTAAAGCAAGTTTATCTATACTGTCCACAAGTTATAAGAGGAGAAACTAAAGAGAAGGGACTAAAACACTAACCATAGGACTCAAAATAACTCTAGGATGGGAACCCCATTTTGTCTGTTGATCTAAGATTTTATGTTTTATAGCTTATGATAAGCATTGTATGTCATACCTCATACATGTAGTCATAGACCAGGCCTTTTTCATCAAAGTGGCATTCCCATTTACCCACAGAGTCAGGCACTGGGTTGTCTTCATCTTTTCCCAGTAGGATTAATCGTATGTAAACATCAAAAGCAACACGACCATCTGTATCACAACTTCCTCCAATGGACCAAATCAAAGAAAATATAAAGCAAGCCTGTTGGTTAAAAAAATTTTTTTTAAAAGTTTAATTTAAACTAATTATTTAAAAGAAATTTTTAACAAATTAACTAAAATTTAACACGTTAAGTCCTGGTTAACCTACTTGGAAAAGGTCAGATTTATAAACAAAGTGAAATGGAACACAGCTTAGTCACATAAAGAGTCATTTCTCTGGCACTATCTATCTAAATTTAAAATGCCCATGCCAAATGACCTAGGAATTTTTCTTTTAAGAATTTATCCTCAAACGTATCCTCATCTGTTAAAATGATATATGTGTAAGAATATTCACTACAGCACTGTTTGTGATCACAAAAGATCAGAAGCAACCCAACTGTTCTCCAATAGGGGTCTGCTTAATTGGATTATGCTACGTACACTGGAATACATGTAGCTGTTAAAAAAGAAGATAACTCTATAAGTACTGATACGGAACGATCTCCAAGGTATACTGTGAGAAAAGATGCAAATCAGGATGCATAGTATGTTAAAATGTGTAAAAAATGTTTACGAATAAAAGAGAGTACGCATCAAATGCCTCTAGCAGGCTACACAAGGCACTGGTAGTAGTGGTGGCCGTGAGGGTGGCTGGGGAACTGGTATGGAGGGCAAATCTACTGTTGCCTTATGAATTTTGCTCTAGGTACATGCCTTATCGAGTTAAAAAAACATATCAAATATATTTGAAGAGAGGAAATTTTCAAGCAGGTATCAATCTACATGAGTCGCTAAAAGTGATTCTGAACTGTTAAAAATTTCAGAGGAGTTTAGGTTTACCAACAGAATGAAAATTTTCAGAAAGTACACAACGTGAAAGTTATAGAGGTGAACTATTCCTAGGATATTTTTATTTTATAACAAGGTAACACTGATAGGTATGGAAAAATATTAAAAACTAGTTCTGTGAAAGACAGTTCTAAACTTAGGGAGGAAAAAGGATACAAATAAATTATACTTCAAACATGTCTGTTCAATTTCTTCCAAAGTGAAGGAAAATAAAGGCAAAAAGGGAGGAGAAAATGGAGAGATTATGGTTAGCAGGGAACCCTGGAATGTGAGATGTCTGAGGTAGAAGACTTTCTGTGGCAAAAAGGTGAAGGGAAAACAATGGGAGGGAACTGCTATTACCACAGAGCAGAAGTGAGTAGAGGAGATCGAGGCACTCAGGAATAAGGTGGTGGATGGAAAGTAGCATAGACCAGGGAAGAGAATAAAACACTCTTTTCCTTTGGTTCCCTTATAGCCATGTTCTCTGGCCTTTCTTGACCTCCAGACGTTAGCTAAACTGGACCACTGACTCCTCCCTACCCATGTGCTTTATGGATTCTGCCCGTGACGCTCCACCCAGCTGGTGGCTGCCTGCTCCTGGTCTTTTGTAGCCCGCTTGTTGCAGTCTACATTCTTGCTTAACATTAAGACAAAGTCAATTCACCTAAAGTCCGTACTGGATTAATATCAAGTCACCTTAGTAAGTGTTTATCAAATTATTCTTTCATAAATAATACGATAGTTTTGCTTCATTCTGATATACTGTACTTTCTCTGAAGTATTTTTTTAAATCAGAATACCAAGTCAGGGCAACTTTAACACCTTCAACTATTCTTTTGGTGCTCACCAAAAAACAGCTCTGGATCCTAGAATGTCTTTCTCGATACAAGTATCATCGGCCAAGGGCATATTTGATTCTATAATTAATAAACCACATAAAGTATAAAACCAACCATAATCCAAACACGAATGTGCTTGCTTGTAGGGTCATTTTCTACCACGTTACAGAGTAATACTTCAAAGAGGCGTGTGAGAGATACAACCACATTGCTATCACTTGTAGGAATCAGTTCCTGCAAAGTAAAAAGGATGATACTTTTTTCTTTACTTTCATCTTATTTGGAGAATACAAAAAGATAAATATTTCATTTAAAAAACTGATAAAAGCATACATGGTTTCCATAAGGTCTTTATGACATTTAAAGGATTTAAATCACAGGCTTGATAAAAACATCTCTCAAATATTTTAGTTTAGCATGTTATATCACACAATTATAGATAATATATTCTTATTCTAAAATCTCTGAGAAATGAAAACTAGCTACTGTAAGAGAATAAATAATGTTCTCAGGATAGCAGAAATGAAGTCTCTAACAGCCATTCATTCAATTATTTAGTCAACAAACATTTATGAAAAACATACTGTACCTATATACCAAGCTAGGAGATATGGGAAAAAAACCACATGATCTCTGAAAAGGAGTGATATTGAAATTAAATAGACAAAAATAATATGGTATAATGATAACACAATAGAGGAAGTCCCAGGGTGAGGGGAGGCTACTAAAGTATTTGGGATAAACAATTAGTACAGACCTAGGGAGCAGGACAAGGAGGGAAACAGGAAAGAAATAAGTCAAGGAAGGCTTCCCAGATGAAGTAAGAGCTGAACTGAATTTGGAAGGAAAATGAGTTAGCCAGGTGCAGAAGGGAAGGATGCTCAAGGCAGGGGAAAGTGCATATACACAGAAATGGAGATGTAAGTGGACACAGAGTATCAAGGGGATTCTGTAGGATATGAAAATAGGGTGTGAAAGAGGAATGGCAAGAAATAAGGCTTGCAAAGTAGACAAGGGTCAGATACTGAAAGGATTTATCATCTGCATTAAGGATCTCATGCTAAGAGAAATAGGGTTCCAATGGAGGGTTTTAAGTAGGGGAATAAATGGAATGAATTTTTGTTTCGGAATCTTCATCCTGATAGCAGAATGTAGAAACAGTGGTTTGAACAATACTATAGACCAAACGGACCTAACAGACATACACAAAGCTTTCCACCTAACAGCGGAAGAATACACATTCTTCTCAAGTTCACATGGAACATTCTCCAGGATAGATCACATGTTAGGTCACAAAACAAGTCAACAAATTTACAATAGAAATTATATCAAATATCTTTTCCAATCACAACAGAATGAAACTAGTTATCAATAACAGCAAGAAACCAGGAAAATTCACAGATACATGGAAACTAAATAACACACTCTTGAACAACCTCTAGATCAAACAAGAATTCAGAATGAAAATCAAAAACTATCTTGAGATGAAAATGGCAAGACAATACACCAAAACTTATGAGATGCATTAAAAGCAGTACTTTGAGGAAATTTATAGCAATAAACGTTTACATTAAAAAAGAAGAAAGATCTCAAGTGAACAACCTAACTTTACACCTCTAAAAAAAGAAAAAACTAAACCCAAAGTTAGCATAAGGAAGGAAATAATAAAGAGCAGAGCAGAAATAAATCAAATAGAGAATAGAAAAAGTTGACAAAACTAGGAGTTGGTGTTTTGAAAAAATAAATAAAATCAATAAACCTTAGATAGATTAAGAAAAAAAGAGAGAAGACTCAAACAAATAAAATCATAAATGAAAGAGAAAACATTACAATGGATGACTCAGAAATAAAAAGAATCATACGGACCATCATGAACAATTACATGCAAACTAATCAGACCTAGAACCTAGAAGAAATGGATAAATTCCTAGAAACAGATAACCTACCAAGACTGAATCAACAAGAAACAGAAAGCCTAAATAGACCAATAAGAAATAAGAAGATTGAAGTAGTAATCAAAAACTTCCCAACAAAGAAAAGACCAGGACCAGATGACTACATGGCTGAATTCTACCAAACATTCAAAGAAGAATTAATACCAATCCTTCTTAAACTCTTCCAAAAAATAGAAGTAGAGGGAATACTTCTAAACTCATTTTTATGAAGCCAGCATCACCTTAATACCAACACCAGACAAAGACACCAGAAGAAAAGAAAACTACAGGCCAATATCTCTGATGAATATAGATGCAAAAATCCTCAATGAACACTAGCAAACTGAATTCAACAATACATCAAAAAGACTATACATCACACCAAGTGGGATTTATTCCTGAGAAGCAAAGTTGGTTTAACATATGCAAATCAATCAATGTGATACACCACATTAACAGAATGAAAGATAAAAACCTCACGATCATCTCAATAGATTCAGAAAAAGCATTTTCTGTTCAACACTCATTCATGACAAAAACTCTCAATAAAATAGATATGAAAGGAAATCTCCTCAATACAATAGAGGCCATTTATGAAAAGCCCACAGCTAAAATAATAATCAGTGGGGAAAAACTGAAAGCTTTTCCTCTAAGATCTGGTTACAAGGCAAGGATGCCCAATCTCACCACTTCTCTTCAACAAGTACTAACAAGAGCAATCAGACAAGAAAAAGAAATATAAGGCATCCAAATCAGAAAGGAAGAGTAAAATTATCTCTGTTTGCAGATAACATGATCCTATATATAGAAAACCCTAAAGACCTCATGCAAAACAAAAAACAAAAAAACCCTGTTAGAACTAATAAACGAATTCAGTAAAGTTGCTGGATATAAAACCAAAATATGAAAATTACTTGCATTTGTTTATACAATGATCCATCTGAAAAGGAAATCAAGAAAACAACCCCATTTACGATAGCATCAAAAAGAATAAAATACTTAGGAATAAATTTAACTAAAGAAGTGAAAGATCATACATTGAAAACTATAAAATATTAATGAAAAAAATTGAAGAAGACACAAATAAATGGAAAGATTATCCCACGTTCATGAACTGAAAAAATTAACATTGTTAAAATGTGCGTACTACCCAAAGTGATCTACAGATTCAATGCAATCCTTACAAAAATTCCAATGGCATATAATCTTGAGAAAGAACAGAGTTGAAGGCATCACACTTCCTGATTTCAAATTACATTACAAAGCTCTAGGAATCAAAACAGTAGGGTACTGGCATAAAAACAAACATATAAACCAATGGAACAGAATGGAATGCCCAGAAATAAACCCAAGCATATACAGCCAACTGATCTTCAACAAGAACACACAATGGGGAAAGGATAGTCTCTTCAATAAATGATGGGAAAATTGAGTATCTACATGTAAAAGAATGAAATTGGATCCTTATCTTACACCACACACAAAAATCAACTCAAAATGAATTAAACGTAAAATCTGAAATCATAAAACTCCTGGAAGAAAATATAGGGAAAAACCTCCTTGACATTGGCCTTGACAATGATTTTTTGGATATGACACCAAAAGCTCAGGCAACAAAAGCAAAAATAAACAGGTGGGACTTCATCAAACTAAAAGCTTCTATACAGCAAAGGAAACAATCAACAAAATGAAAAGGCAACCTATGGATTGAGAAAATATTTGCAAACCATATATCTGATAAGGGGTTAATATCCAAAATATACAAGGAACTCATACAACCAAATAGCAGTAAAACAAACAACCCAATTTAAAAATAGGCAAAGGACCTGAATAGACATTTTTTTCCAGAGAAAACATAAAAACAGCCAACAGGTATATGAAAAAGCATTCAACATCACTAATCGTGAGGGAGATGCAAATCAACACCATAGTAAGAGATCACCTCACATCTGTTAGGATGGCTATTGTCAAAAAGATAAAAGATGACAAGTCTTGGTGAGGATGTGGAGAAAAGAGAACCCTTTGCACTGTCGGTGGGAACGTAAATTGGTACAGCCATTATTGAAAACAGAATGGAGAATCCTCAAAGAACTAAAAATAGAACGACCATATGATACAGCAATCCCTTTTCTGGGTATATACCCAAAAGAAATGAAATCAGTACCTCAAAGAGATATCTGTGGTCCCATGTTCATTGCAGCATTATTCACAATAGCCAAGATATGAAAACAAAGTTTCCACTGATGGATGAATGGATAAAGAAATTGTAGTATATGTATACAATGGAATATTATTCAGCCCTATAAAAGAAGGAAATCCTGCCATTTGGAACAACATGGATGAACCTTGAAGACATTATCATAAGTGAAATAAGCCAGACATCGAATGGAGAAACTGCATGATCTCACTTATGTGGAGAAACTAAAAGTTGAACACATAAAACCAGAGAATAAAACAGTGGTTACCAGGCGTGGGGAGGTCAGGGAAATTGGGAGACATTAGGCAAAGGGTATAAAGTTGCAGTTATGCAGGATGAGTAAGTCTAGAGATCTAATGTACAGCATGATGACTACAGTTAATAATACTGTATCAGTACTGGAAATTTGCTAGGAGAGTAGATTTCAGGTGCTCTCTCACACACACACAAATACAGTAACTATTTGAGGAGATGACATGTTAATTACCTTGACTATAGTAATCATTTCACTATGTATATGTATATCAAATCATCATGTTGTACACTTCAAATATTTTTATTTGTCCATGTTGTTGCAAAATTTTTACTTTAAAAAATTAAAAAAATAAAACCCAGGGGCCGGCCCCAAGGCCAAGTGGTTGGATTCATGCGTTCCGCTTGGGCAGCCCAGGGTTTCACTGGTTCCGATCCTGGGCACGGACATGGCACTGCTCATCAGGCCGCACTGGGGCGGTGGCCCACGCACCACAACTAGAAAGACCCACAGCTAGAATATACAACTATGTACTGGGGAGAAAAAGCAGAAGAAAAAAAAACAACAACCTAGAGGGATAAACATACATACACACATACACACACACACACACACACACACACACACATATACCTGAGTGCAAACAAAACTAAGGGAATTTGAATAAGATTAGTCGATAGCATCAATGTCAATATCCTTCTTGTGCTATTATAATATGGTCTTCCAAATGTTACCATTGGGGGAAACGGGGTGAAGTGTACATGAGATCTTTCTACTATTTCTTACAACTGCATGTAAATCACTGATTGTCACAACAAATATTTCAAATTTTAAAAAGTGGATACTAAATGTCTAAGGTGAAACTGATTTTAGTTATTTATTCTACCATTGTGACTTCACACTTCATAAACTTGAACGGGAAACTAAAGAAACTTGAGTGAGTCAGAAAATTACGGTGTTACCTTGCATTTTTTCTTACGAACCCTCAAAGTGGGCGGTATTAACCAGTGAAAAAGTGCTTTCAGAAGAGCTTGATGATCTGGTTCTTGTAGCGGTCCCTTCAGTGAGTTCAACCATGAAGACATAAGCGGTTCCCATCCTAACTGTGAAGGTTCCAAATAAATCATACCACAGCGGCTTACGGTGGCGGGCTAGAAAAAATAGACAAGTTTTCTTTTTCTAATGTTGCTTTTATACCAGTAGTACCTGGAAGCTATTAACTACTTCTTTGCATGACTTATAAGGCCCCTCATGATCTGGCTCCTGTCTTCCTCTACAGCCTCACACACATTAGATGAAACTATTTGCAGTTACAGTTCCCTGGACATGTCATGGCTTCAGGTCTTTACATACCATCTTGCCATGATTTGAAACGCCTGGCCCCAACCAATCTCCCTGGAGAAGTGTTATCCCTCAAAACCAGATCAAACACTTAAACATTTTCCATGGTCCTCCTCTACCCATTCCCCTCTTGTATTCACCTGTTGTATATATGGAGGAGGCTCACCGCCCCCCCCCCCCCATATTCTTAGGGCACTTAACATGTAGCTCTATACTGGGATTATTTATCAGCACACTTCTCATCTTCCCTAAATAAGCATACACTGCCTTATTCATCTTTGTATTTCTAGTGCCTAAGTCATCTTCTGACACCCAACAAAAAATAGTTATTGATTAAATGAAAGAATGAATAAATGAACAAATAAACAAACTACTCATATTAAATTATGAACTTACCGAAGCCTGGGAAAGGTCCATTGCTTCAAAGATGAGGCTCATTTGAGGAGACATTTGAATGATTTCCCCACTCATAAGGCAAAGCTAAAGGCAATTATTTTTCAAATGTTTATCTTAAAAAATCTCAAACTTCTCAGATAAAATTTTATTCTATTTATCAGATAATGTATATCCTGTGATATAATGAATAAGTATTAGAATGGAAGCCAGAAAATTGTAATTCTAGATTAGCTCTGTCAATTACTTACTAGGTAAGCAAACACTTAACATCCTGAGTCTCAGCCTCTTCATCTATAAACAGAGATAATTTCTCTCTCATAGAGTTAGGGGGGAGGGGAACTACATGACATACTGCAAAAACTGTAAAACCCTACCCAAATCTCAGTTCTTTTTATCAATAAAATTAAATGAAATACTTCTGATTTTATATAGCTGTCAGAAGACCTTTTTATTAAAGAAAATAGAAAATAGAGAATAGTATGAACACTCAATACCCATCTCCTAGATTTAACCAATGTTAACATTTTGCCATGTTTGCTTCATCTTTTTTTAAGCATTTTTAAAGAGCATTACACATATCATGGCACTTCACATCCAAATATGTCAATATCCATCTCTGAAAAATAAGGACTTTTCCATATAACCACAATAACATTATCACATCTAACGAAATTATCAATAATTCCTTAATATCATCAAATGCTCAGCCAATACACAAATTTCCTCAGTTGTACCAGAAATGTCTTTTCAACTGATTTATTCAAACCAAAATCCAATCAAAGACCATGTATTATGTTTGCTATCTCCCCTTGATTTCTTTTAATCTAAAACGTTCCTCTTTGCTCAAATATGTAAAAAACTGAATTTATCAACTGCTCCCTTTCCACCAAATTCCTTTCTTATCCATTATTATTAAAGCCATCCTATCTTCTCAATCTCCTTGACTTCTACCTTTGGAATTATCGTTAACTTTTAATAATTTTAATAATTATTATTAGTTATTGATATTCCAAATTAATTTCATTACTAAGTCTTTTAAATTCTTCCTCTTCATTTATTTTTCAGTGTTTCTTCTCTGCTTCTACAATCATCACTCTCATCCCAGTCTTGCCCCTATGTAGTTGTATGTCAACAATGTTACATTTAACATTTCTGAATCTGTTTCTTATCTGTAAAATAAATGAATGGTCTAGAGCTGGAACTTCCAATATGCTAGCCAGTAGTCATGTGTGGCTATTTATATTTAATTTTAGCTAACAAAATAAAATTAATAAATTAATTAAATAAAATTTAAATAACGGCTAATTTAAATCTTCCCCTTTTCCCTCAAGTGTGCAAAGAACCAGGGCCTAACACTTCACAAAGAAAAAATAAATCATCAGAAGGATTTCCCTTCAGATTTCCACCATCAAATCCATAGATTTGCCTGTATCTATCCCTATCCTCTCCTGCTTCCCTTTCCTCCAGTAGGAGACGATCCTTTCACCTGGCTCTGAATCCTTAGACTTGACTCTACTGATTAACCCCTCTCTTCTGAATCATCACTACTTCTTGTCTGTTTAATTTCCCCCCTTAGCTCAATCAATATGACTGAATAAATGAAAGAAAGAATATGAAAAAATGACTACCCATCTATTATAAAGTACGGGAGGATATGTTTGAATGCTAATTAAATTAATTTGCTTATTTAGTAGTGTAGTTATTTCACGTAAGTATGAAAATAAATTGCGATATATTCATACAGCAGAATACTAATACAGATATAAAAAGAATAAATCAATCAATAAAATGGAACTACAACAACATGAATATCACAGATAATATACTGATGAAGAGAAGGAAAATACTAAAGAGTAGGTTTCCATTTACATGAAATTCAAGAACCAGCAAAGTTAATTTATCACAGCAGAAGTTAGAATAGTGATTCTCCTGGGGGAGGGTATATCAGTCGGGAAGGGACAGGAGTGAAGTTTGTAGGGTGCAAGAAATTTTACACATCTTTAGGTGATGGTTATGTCAGTATACCCATACGTAAAAAAAAATCTAAATCTAAACTTAGTGCATATTTTATACTCTATGTATGTTACCTCTCAATTAAAATAAATACTAGAAGACTTCCATTTTCTAGTTTTTTTGTATATCTCACAGCTTCTAAGGCAATGTTCTACATATAAGCACTGAAGCATTCAATGTCTTCAAAAAGGAATGAAGCCCTTTTATTTTCTCCTAAAATCTTAACTCAAAGTTTTGTAAGAAGCCATAAGACTGGAGTCACTTAACTTATTATCACCTATTATATTTATCTTCCTGCTAACACAGTAGTTTTTTTGTTGTTGTTTTGTTTTTTTGAGGAAGACTAGCCCTGAGCTACTCCATCCTCCTCTTTTTGCTGAGGAAGATTGGCCCTGAGCTAACAGCCATGCCCATCTTCCTCTACTTTATAAGTGGGACGCCTACCACAGCATAGCTTTTGCCAAGCAGTGCCATGTCCGCACCCGGGATCCGAACTGGCGAACCCCGGGCCACCAAGAAGTGGAACGTGCAAACTTAACCGCTGCACGAATGGGCTGGCCCCAAGACAGTAATTTTAATACAACATATTTTCATTCTATAAAAAAATTAAGTAAAGATTTATGACAGCATAGTTTTCATTGAAAAGATAATTTATAAACTTTATTCAACTTGCTGCAGCCTTTATTGTCATAGTCAATTAATTGTTGAACACAAAATTGCTTAAGCATGTCTCTATCTGATTTTTTTTCTTTTTGCTGAGGAAGATTACCCTGAGCTAACGTCTGCTGCCAATCTTCCTCTTTTTGTAGGTGAGCCACTGCCAGAACACCGCCGTTGACAGACAAGTGGTGTAGGTCTGAGCCCAGGAACCCAACCTGGGCTGTTGAACTTAACCACTAGGCCACTGGGGCTGGCCCTGCTTTGCTTTTGTAAATTTTGGTAAAAAACATATAACATTAAATTTACCATATTAACCATTTTTTAAGTTTATGATCCAGTAGTGTTAGGTATATTCCTATTGTGCATCTGTTTTGCTTTTAATCATCATGGTTTACCTTTTTATTATCATCCAATACTGTGTTCATGCTCTCTATCCACAAAGTGTCAATGGGACCATCAAATACAACCCATTTCCGGTCAGGTGTTTCTGATAAGGCAAATTCTCTAAAAGTATTAGCCACAATACCATCAGTCCACTGAGGAGGAAAAAAGGAAGAGTTGGAAAGCTTCCTTTACAAAACTATAAAGTGATAATAAGAAAACATTTCAAATTTCTTGGTTTAATATGCATTGTCAATAAGACTTGAGAATGTTTACACTTTGGATTACCTCATGAGACACTGGGTCAAACTGTCCAAAAAGTTGGCCCATAGTAATGGATTTGGGGTTTACAGTCCTATAAATGACCTTTTCTTCCTCTCCATAGCCACGTTCATTCATTAGAGTTAGAGTATCAGCCAGCATATGCAGAACTTTTGTCTTAGCAGCAAAAGGCTCTCCTACTAACATAAAACTATGAAGGAAAAGAAATAATTGTACAATAAGATCCTAAAAAATAATTGTAAATTAAATTATTTGCCTACATACTAGTATTTAAAATTTTACCCTATGATAAATTATATGGTTACTACATGTAATTTTTGAAATTATATGGATTTTTCTCATACACAAGGAAAATATATTTAACTTCTGAACTGATTGATCTCTAAATCAAATTCTCTACATTAATACCATTATCTATAAAAGAGAATATAATAAAAAATCTCCAAATGAAAATGAAAACTTAACAATTGTATACTCTTAAAATAAAATTAAAAAAATAACTTGGGGCCTTCTAAGGAGAGGAGTGGGAAGGATTCCCTTTCCCTAAGTCTTCACTTGCAAGAGTAATTATTAGTGCTCTTTGCCAAATACTTCTGAATCTCCTCTCTCCTGGCACATAGTAGGATTCCTCTCCCTCTCATGGAAATACTAGGTGACTAATGAGTAATAAGTGGAAATGAGGGGTGTTACTTCTATGAGGGAATAGATAATTGCCAGGGAGGGACCTTACTGAGCTCTCTCTTTTCCCTCTAGCACAGCTGTGACCCATAATGCTGAGATGGTGGCTGCCCCAACAGACTGGGACCCTGAGTAATGAAGATGAGCAGAACCTTGCTGTTAATCTATAATGGACACAGCATGAATGAGAAATAAACCTTCATTTTTAAGTCACTAAGATTTGAGTGCTGATTGCCTCAACAAAATAACCTAGCCCATCCTTACTGACACAAATTTGTATGTAGAAGGCGGAAGGTATTCTTGATATAATAAAAAAGATGAAAATATATGGCATTGGCTTAAAGGCCAGGTCATGGGTGGCAAATTAATTGTTATCAGAGGCTAAAAGATTAGCAATTAATGTTACACAATGATGAAACATTTGGTAAACTTATCCCTTGAGATAACCTGGAAGATAGATAATATACCTAATGAAATTGTAGTTTTAGGGGAAAAGGAGAGTGAACAGAATATTATTAGTATATAATGGCACCTGATGGCTGCATTTAACAAGGAACTACAAGAAAGAAATGAGCCCAGAAAAAAATGGCGAGTTTCAAGCTGGAATGAAAGAGAATAGAGGGAGTCCAGAAATTCATGAATTTGCATGATTGAACGAGGCAACTTATTCTCATCTCCAATTTGTGAAAGATGAATTGAAAAAACCTTTGAACAACAAACATCTACTCAGCCTAGCATCAAGGATCAAATCAAGGGACACTGTTTCACTTTACAAAAACCTACGAAAGATTAATATGGTTCCTAGTAATCATTTCAGAAGGATAACATAATTCAGGGAAAAGAGATGAAGGGTGCGGCCTCTCAATTAAGCCTGATAGTTTAAGGATACTACATGGAAATACAGAAAGCTATGACATAATAAGGATGTAGTTTTGGCTACTGGCGCACGGAGCTGCCTGAAACCAAATAGATAAGAAGCTTATTAAGTTTTTGAGAGAGTTTACTGACAAAGAAACCACATGTTTAGGCTAAAATACATGTGAATGTTTAAGACTTAAAAATCATCCTCAGGTATGGGATGCATGAGGGTTGATTGTACTATTCTCTATTTTTGTATATGTTGAAATTTTACATTATACGAAGATTTTTAAAAAGAAATTCTGCCTTTAAAAAAATCATGACCTTTGAGGGGCTGGCCCCGTGGCCGAGTGGTTAAGTTCGTGCGCTCTGCTGCAGGCGGCCCAGTGTTTTGTCAGTTTGAATCCTGGGCGCGGACATGGCACTGCTCATCAGACCACGCTGAGGCAGCGTCCCACATGCCACAACTAGAAGAACCCACAACGAAGAATACACAACTATGTACCGGGGGGCTTTGGGGAGAAAAAGGAAAAAAAAAAAAAATCATGACCTTTGAGACCTCAACTTTCTTTAGGTAGGAAGCAGGCTAAAAACATTTCTCAGCTCTTGAAGACATTTTCTCTATTGTCTACTCCATGTGTGACCAGGAAAGAAAATGGAAAGACCTCTCAGGAGGTTGAACCAAGGTCCATGGAGAACAGTTAATTGGAAAGCCCCTCCCAGGGAGCAAAATAAAGCATAAATGGATCCAGGTTTTATGTGGCTTTAAGTTTATACAATTGGTGGGGGAGGCTTTCCAAGGGAAAAAAAAAAATGTAATTATGAGTGCATTTCATGTAATTATGAAATGTTCACCGCCACTTTAATGACACACTATACAATAAATTTTGTGTACAAAATGATTATAACTCCTTGGAGGGGCCCCTACAAGTGACAGATCCTGAAATTTAAACTCCATTAGCTTCACAGTCAATCTCTTTCTGGAATTGGGACCCTCCCTACATTCCCTGCTGGGTTTCAGTATTGCTACCGACCAGTGTTAGCTGTGTCTCCTATTCTTCAATTTCTGAGTGGGAGATTAGCTCTGATAATTCTGTTCTGGTAAACCCACTAATACAATACTGTATGTGTGGAGGGCAGATAACTTGTTTTTCTAGTTTATAGGATCAAGAGGAACAACTTCCAAATCTGACACAGAAACTATCATGCATCACCCAGAGATTCTAGACTTTGAGTCTGTTCATTGATTGACCAGAACTTTTAGGTTGTCTCCCTGGGAAGGGAAGAGTGCATTTTACGTGCATGAAGGAGAGTGAATAAAATATCTGATGACCAAAAGGGCAAATTGTGATGGTAATTAGTGCTACATCATTGAATGAGTACTCTTTACCAATCCTTGTTAGATCTGTAGCATGAGAGAGAAATAAACCTTTGTTTTTAAGCCACTGGGATTGGAATTCGGGTGTGGGGAGAGTTTGCTCCCTAGCCTATTCAGCATACAAAGTTTGCTGAGTCTTTTGGGTCACATATTTTAGTTGTTTTAATGGTTTAATAAAAAATAACATCTAACTATGGCAGACAATGATAATCTATAATCTTACCCATGTCTAACAATCATCATTTCATATGTCTGAATCATTTTTTCAATAAAAAATTTAACAGGCTGAAGATTATGTGCTTTGCAGGCTTCATGAGCACATTCCAAAAATTCCTAAAATAAAAGAAAAATAGAATGCATTTCTACAAAATGATATTATAAACCATGTCATACATGCCTTATAAATGCAGACTTTTCATTTAGAAATAAGAAAATTGTATCTTCTTATATTGATAAATTATTTCTTAAAGCTTTATTTATTTAATTAACAAGAGGAACAAATAGAATTAAAATACTTTAAAATATTAGTATTCCTTATTATAAGTTATTAACAATCATAGCATCATAGTATTGGGTATAAGCTGCATGAAAAAAACACTCCTTTTAATAGTGTTTTGCAGAATTTCACTTTTGGTTAAGATATAGAACGATATGCTAAACAATCCTTCACACTGCAGTAAGTGGAAATAAACAAAGAGGCTAAAAAAATCACAACAGTTTTAAAGATACAGGAGCACTTGGGATACAAATAAGTCTAAAGGATCTAAATTTCAGAAAAGGATGACATTTCCTAGGTGAGCACAAATCAACAGCTAATCTTGCCGTTGCATTTTCCAGGTGTGGACATAGGAGGGCACTGGATTGGGCCTGCTATAGGCAGAGGAACTTTGCTGAAGTAAGGAGACTCCAACAGAGATTTTAATAATCATTTGGGCTTGTGTGACAGATTTGAATCTGGAGAGGCTCAAACACAAAGCTGGTTCTCCCTACTGCCTACACTTTTGCTGAGTGTGAGGTGACACAAGAAATCAAGGGCTTAGGCAGAAAGGCACACAGAGAGAGACTTCCTTAGCCTTGGGATGTTTATATGCCAAAACACTGCTAGAGGGAGGCCCCTATAATACAGCAGGACAATTCTCACTCTAAAGACATTTAAAACCAGAGGTAAACCAAAGCTAAATAATGCTTCAACAAAACTCTGGCTTAGGTCAACTCCTGATTGAATTGACCAGCAGCTTAATCTAGCTATCTGACAAAGGAACAAGATGGTTTTTCTGCAGGAAAATAATACCAATTTAGCCTCTAAAGTATTTTATACACCATTTTTAACATAAAATCAAAATTTACAAATCATAAGAAATAGCTGATGATCAAGAGAAAAAACAGTAAACAAAACAAACTTGCAGATGACCCTGATGTCATAACTAGCAGACATTGACATTAAAATAACTTTTATAAATGTATAAAAGAAAATAGACAATATGACAGAAAATAGGTGAAGAATTTAAGCAAAGAAATGAGATCTCTTAATAAAATAAAATTGGACACACTAAAACTGAAAAAATAAAATATGTGAAATTAAGAATTCATTGGATATGCTTGTCAGCAGACTGGACAAAGCTAAAGAAAGGACCATTAATCTTTAAGACAGGTCAATAAAAAGTATCTAAACTAAAGCATAAATAATAAAAAATGAAATAAACAAATTAAAAACATAATAACAGACATGTGAGACAAAATAAAATGGTCTAACATACATGTAATTGGAGTTCCAAAAGGACAAGAGAAAGAAAATAGAACAGAAAAAATATTTTAAAAGATAATTACTGAGAATTTTCTGGAGAAAAACATCAATCCACAAATTCAACAAGTGCAGCCAATCCCAAGCAGGACAAATACAAAACAAAAACACTAGGCATACAGTCAAACAAGGAAAGAGAGAAAATATTAAAAATAGCCAGAGAGGGGTCAGCTCCGTGGCTGAATAGTTAAGTTCACGTGCTCCGCTGCAGCGGCCCAGGGTTCAGATCCTGGGCGTGGACATGGCACCCGTCATCAGGCCACGTTGAGGCGGCGTCCCATATCCTGTAACTAGGAGGACCTGCAACTAAGATATACAACTATGTATCAGGGGGGTTTGGGGAGATAAAGCAGAAAAAAAAAAAAAAAAAAGATTGGCAACAGTTGTTAGCCCAGGTGCCAATCTTAAAAAAAAAAAAAACAGAGAGAAAAAACACATTACATTCAGGAAGCATGAATAAGAAAAAATTCTGATCTTCTAAGTACAACAATGAAAGCCAGGAGTTAACAGAATAACATCTTTAAAATGATGTAGGGGTGGGAGAAGACCCTACCAATGTAGATTTCTATATCTGGTGAAAATATCCTTCAAAAATGAAGGCTAAATAAAAACATTTTCAAACAAACAAAAGCTGAGAGAATTTGTTGCCACAGGAACCACATGCACACAAGAAATACTGAAGGAAGTTCTTAATGTGGAAGGGAAAAGATTCCAGATGAAAGCACATATCTGCAGGAAGGAATAAAAAACACTAGAAAGGGAAAATATAAAAGACTATTTTTTTCAAATACTAATACCTAAAGCAAAAAATAACAATGTATTGTGGAGTTTATAATATGAGTATGTGAGTGAACGTAAGTAAGGCCATCTGGTAAGGGAACATAAGTGAGGCCATCTTGTTACACTCAATAACCCTTTCCTAGTTGAACTCTTTCTAGCATGTGATCATTATAAATTGCTGCACGCTTTCATGATTTCCTGGCCCTGATTCTGTGCACATACCCCTGCTGAGGTACTCTGATAGCTTTGTTCTTAACAATTTTAATGAATTTTCCCAGGGAATAAGAAGGCCTCCAGAAAGAAAGAACACTCGTAGAATATTCATCATCATTGACAGAAGAAAAGAATCCGTCATGTACATTTCTAAATCCCCTCCTTGCTGCCCATTTTCCTGATTTAACTGTCTCAAGATGCTATGATCCTTGATGGGTTTTGGAGACATTAGTCACCCATCTTCCAATTTGCTGGCTAATCTAATCTAATTAAACTTCCATTTTTGATCTCTAACTCGTGATTAATTGGCTCAGATCTCAGTGAGCAGAGTGAGCCCATTGCTTGACAACAAATAGAAGTAAAATATATGACAACAAGGGTATCATAGGCAGGGGTGAGTGGGTAATGGAATTACACCATTTAAGGTTCTTATATTGTTTATGAAATACAAACTTAAGATAAATTATAATAAATCAAGGATGTATATTGCAATCTCTGGAGTGGCCACTGAGGTCAAACTAAAAAGCCAACAGAGATTAATGGAGTAATAAACATTACCTGAAACTCAAAAGAAGTCAGTAAAGGAAAAACAAACATACAGTACACATCAAAAAGCAAGATGGTATAGTGAGTAGTAGTTGTTTTTCCTACGGTCCCAGCTTGCCTCAGCTTGGCTGCGGGCACACTGAACTGCTCAGCTGCCTACCTCCTAGAGCTGACTCCTAGTAGTTTTTTTCAAACTGGAATCTATGGATTCATGGATCTATTGCTATATTCATGGGAGTATAAGAGTTCTCCAAGAGAATGTTAAAATTTTGTATTTTCATTTTGATTAAAAAAAAGTCATATTAGTATATCCTGAATCATCTTGATAGTCACCTGTGGTACAATACAAAAATATATGTGGTCTTTGTCCCCTGGTTCTGGCACAGGAGTATCTTTTGTTATTCATAATGAGCCCTTTTTCAATCACATCTGAGTTTAGGCTAATGAGGTGACTTAGGGTGGGGACCCTAGATAGCCTCAGGATGGGGCCAGTCACCAGAAAGTCCCAGTGGTTAGAGAGTTGGAACTTTCAGCCCCACCTACCAACCTTTGGGGAAGGAGGAGGGGAGAGCCAAGGATTGAGCTCTATAAAAACTCTCGAACAATGAGATTCAGGAAGCCTCAGATTTGATGAACCCATCAAGGTGCAGGGAGGATGACACACCCTGAGAGGGCATGGAAGCTCCATGCTGCCACCTCCCAATACCTCACCCTACACGTATCTTCCATTTGGCTGTTCCTGAGTTGTATCCTTTAAAGTAAACCAGTAAACATAAGTAAACTGGGCTCCTAAATTCCATGAGCTGTCCTAGCAAATTATTAAACCTGGGGGCAGGGGGTTGTGGAAACCCCGATTTATAGTTAGTCAGTCAGTACAGGTGGCCCAGGACTTGAGACTACTGTCTGAAGTGAGGGGCAGTCTGGTAGGACTGAGCCCTTAATCTGTGGAATCCGACACTCCAGGTAGTTAGTGTCAGAATTGAATTGCATTGTTGAACACCCAGTTGGTGTTGAGAAAGTCAGAGGATTCGTTGTTGGTGTTAGAAAACACTCTAGAATCACCTTAATCTGATGCCACCATAGGATGCATGGTACTATTTGAGTTTGAAAATTAAAAAAAAGGACAGAAAGTAAATGATGCCTTTAAGCCAAGTAATGCCTTAGTGATATAACAGCTCAAACAAAGAAAACTTTTTATAGTAATATCAATAGAGAGAAGAGGTGGAAGGACTGAATTATCACACAGCAAAAGGTGGTTTATGCATGCCAAACTCAAAAGAATGTTGACTGCACATTTTACCATAGAAAATGCCATAAAGTGACAATTTAGTTTTGGCCACACACAATCTATCTCACTAAATCAAGATTGGTGTTTTGTCTATAATTAATTTTAAAATTTCTTTTGATTTTACATTATATAACAGCTATAAACAGTAGGCATTTATTCTTATGTGTACATATATGTAGGCCTCATTATAATGTCTATTATTCATTTATTTATTTTTGTGAGGAAGATTGGCCCTGAGCTAACATCTGTTGCCAATCTTCCACTTTTTGCTTGAAGAAGATGGTCCCTGAGCTAACATTGGTGTCAGTCTTCCTCTACTTTGCATATGGGACACCACCACAGCATGGCTTGATGAGCAGTGTGTAGATTCATGCCCAGGATCTGAACCTGTGAACCCCAGGCTGCTGAAGCAGAGCGCGAGAACTTAACCCCTATGCCACCAGGCTGGCCCCAATTATAATGTCTATAATTTAAATGAAATTGGAAATGCACATTGTTTGTTTCCTTTAAAAAGAAGTCAGTATATTACTTACATTTGAGAAACAAATCCTTATGTTAACTATAGGATATTTTGCCACTTTCAGTTTACCACCTTTTCTCCCTGCTGAAGTACACAATAGTATTATGGTATACACAGTAGTAAGTATATCATAAGATAGGAAATAACATACTCTTACAATGGACACTATCTTTGACCTGAATCTTGTTAACCCTGGTATCATAGAACAGACGGTACAGAAATCTACTCATTTTCATTAATTAAAGTGGCCAAAATAGGGGTTTCTCATCCAAATAGAATAATTTCACTCATGTAATAAAACTTTGAAAAGTATTGAGTCATCAAATGAATCTATTTTCAGAAAAATTCATTCTCACAGATTTACTTACATGATAGTCAGCTTCAGGAAGTTTAACACCAGGAAATAAGTCGCTAGTTATTCCATTAAATAAAGGTATATCATGTGATAGAAATTTTGGTTCATTTACATCTTTAATTGATCGAAGAAGCTAAAATCATCCAAAAAGGGCAATATAAGTTACTTGCCAGTATTTGCCCCCCACCTCACCTGCCAAAAGTCAGTTTCTTTTACATTGCTCCATGGAATCCCCATACTAAACCGTCAATACTATGCTTGTCAAGCCAAAAGGTCTTTGTATTCATATAAAGTATAAGGAATAACGTAACCCAAAACTATCATTTCAACCCCATGTAAAAAGACTCAAGCAACAAGTCTCCTGATTGCCTATTTATAGTTCCCGATCAACCTTGTTAAAAAACTTTTCTTTCCACTGAAGCTTTCACAATGTATACATTTAATACTTACAAGTATATCTTCATTTTCATCTGGAAATTTTAGTTTTAGGTTTCCAGCAGCCACTAAAACTGCTTTTACTGCTCGCATTCCATAGTCATAATGAAACTGTGATGAGAGCTGCTCTGAGCAAAGCCTATAGGTCATTACTATCTTCACAGACAGAGGTTTTGCATTAAAAAATCCATAGGAGTAGAGGGAGATTTCTGCTATGAGGGCATAGTTTGGAACCATCATAGCCACTGTTCTAAAAAGAACCTGAAGTATATAATAAATGAAATATATTATTTACCTTACAGAAATCATTTTTAAAGCTGAACATAAGAATCCAAAGATAATATGTTGATATTCGAGTTTATTTCCCCAATGCAAAACTTTTTCATTAACTTTGTAATTTTTTAAGTAGCACTTTTTATGTACTTTAATATTTCTTAGATGTCTAAAAAGTTTTTAGAGGTATAATTTACCTTATATCAAATGAAAAAAATAAAAGGGAAATTACAAAGATGTGAGAAAATTATACCATTTTGAGTGTATTATGCTGTTACTTTTGATTAACAAATTTGTAATCTTAAAAAAATTACCTTAAGATTGTCTGGCAATTCAGAACGTCCTGCATAGCCGGGATTCATGGTAATAGCTACAAAACAGTTTGGATTGAGCTTTAGTTCTGTCCCTTCAAAAATAAACTCTTCCAGCTTCTGCTGAATGGCTCTTTGAATGCAAAGGATCTGTTGAGCTACCACTGACAACACTTCCAACTCAATTCGATTAAATTCATCAAAGCAAGCCCAAGCACCAGAAGATGCCAATCCTTTAAAAAACTAAGGACAAGGAAAAAGGAGATGATTTTTCTTAGGAAAGGGCATCGTTGTTCAAACAAATATTTAAACTTTTAAGTCAAAATTGAAAGTTAAACTTAATAAAAGCCCCAAGGATGAAAACAACGTCTTTATCCTAAAACCAAGGTTCTGCTTGAACCTCAAGCAGGAACCACAGGGAACTGCTTAAACCATGCTCAAATAATGTTTACACACGAGCTTGCTTCGGTCTCTGCAGTTAGACCTAGCTGTAAGATTGTAACATTTAATATGCAACTTTACCTTTCCCATTGCTATATAATCTAGCCCATCAGAACAGTTGAACACCACACACTGTACAGCAAGAGCTTTAGCCAAGTCCTTGGTGGTTTCAGTTTTTCCTGTGCCTGCGGGCCCCTCCGGAGCACCTCCAAGGTTTAAATAGAAGGCACCTATCTGAAAAAATATACACATGTGAAAAGAAATCCATGCTTAACTGAAAAAAAAGGACAATTTCTTACGAAATGTATTTAGGCTTGTTTGTAGCTTCAGAGAGGCAGTGATACAATTATATTGTTCAGTTAATTTTTAGCACACAATTTTTTAGCTGCACAAAGAAAAAGCAGTTTAAAGGGTCCAAAAAAGTGAAAATGTATCAAAATCTCCTTATCTGCTAAAACTTCATTTGTATCCTATTTGCCTCTAAAAATAAGGAGAATCTAGCCTTGCGGTGTTAACGTTTGGTCAGAAGGGTTTAATTAGAAGTGGTTGTGGAGATGATCATAGAGATCAATAATGACAGTCTACATGGCTAGCCGCAAAGAGAAGAAACACCTGAAAGTGAGTGCTATAAATGGGGGCCCATCGTTGGAACAGAAACAAATGACCTATTATTTAATTTTGTCTATGATTCACCCTGGCTATTGCATTCCACCCTTGGTATGTTCTCCATTTCCTCCATTCCCATAACACTCTTCTGTACTTCTCTTACCAGTAGTATCGTTTTCTACCTTGCATTACAGTTAATTTATGTACACTGTTTTCTCTCTCAATTAGTTTTTAAGCTCCTTAAGAGCAACATCAGCAGTATCTGAATTCTCTCTGGGTCGCCACAATGACTAAAATATTGGTTGGGAATTTTTAGAAGCATATAAATTACAGTGAACTCCCTGTAACTATGGAGTTTTTTTCATGAAAACCACTATAAGTTTGTGAAACTTAACTCCTCTTAGGAAAAATAGGGTTAAGGGACCAAGGCTGTACATATGGGAAGGCAGGGGGTACATGGGAACTCTCTGTACTTTTTGCTTAATTTTGCTGTGAACCTGAAACCGCTCTAAAAAATAAAGCCTATTTTTAAAAGTAATAATAATAAACAAACCTATGAAAGTCATATTTTCACATTTACTAAAATGAAACAATAGAGACAACTCATTAATAAAGGCAATATCAATGATATTTATCCATCTTAAATTTATAATAAATGTTATACTGCTAATGTCCATTAACTTGATTGATGGAAACCTCAGGCTCTCCATTCTTTACAATTTTAAGAAAATGCTTACAAATGTATTCTTTTTATTATGGATCATCAATATACTAGGAGACTTTTTTTTCGATGTCTAGTGTTATATACAAGTGTTCAATGTGTTTCTGATTTTACAACTCAAAGTTGTTAGCTTCCACCTTACAAGTATTCACAGCTTCTGATTTCACTGAGGTCCCAGATAGGACATAGAAGCTTGAGATTCATTTATTCAACAAATATTTAGGAAGTAACTATGTACTTGTTTACCACTACAGGAGAGAACAAGACATACATGATCCCCATCCTCAGATAGTTTTTTGAGAAAGCAGAGGTTTTGGTGAAACATTTTATCGTAGATGCATTGGCACCCTACCCAGATTCCCTTTACTGGCCATTGCATCCATTCTCCAATTGCTGTGAGAATTGGCTACAAAGTAGCTCTCAACTGTTCTTTTCTCCAGAGAATCGTACTCAACTAATAGTTTGTTGGCAAATACGGCACCTGAAATTTTACTCACACCCCTAACCCCAGGGGTGACCCATAGGCAGTGACAATTAGGGAATATAAAAGCCAGACCCCTTTGCCTTAAAGAGGGGTACCTCTGTGTTGCCATTCATGCTCCAAAACTCCCTGTGAGATCAGGCTAAGTAAGGCTATATATCCTTTGAAGCCACATCTTTACTTAGCTTTTTCCCCTGCTTTCCTCACTTCCTTACAGGTCTTTACTGAGAGCCTTCCCTTGCAAATCTAGGTTATCCAGTAAATTTGCCCTCAAATCCCCATTTCATCTCTGCTTCTAGAGAACGCAATCAAAGACACTTTAATTTTACACACTCAGCACAGGTGGATTGATGTTTCTTGGTGCTCCTCCTCAATTCCCAGACAGGATTGCCATATTTAGCAAATAAAAATACAGGATGCCCGGTTACATTTGAATTTCAGGTAAACAATGAATTATTTTTAGTATAGGTATGTCCCATGCAATATTTGAGACATATCTATACTAAAAATTATTGTTTTTATGAAATTCAAATTTACCTGGGCGTCCCTGTATTTTATCTGGCAACCCCACTGCCAGGGTTTGATATTTTCTGTTTTGTTTTGTTTTCATTTTTTTTAGTTATAGCTCTATCTTCCACAGCTTCCCAACAAGCAGAGACCTCAGCACTGCCCCACTACACTTCAGCTTTCTCCCTCCTATTCAACAGAACTAACTTGGAATTCTAAGCAGAAATGTACTTTCCTCATCTTCTTGTCATAACTCCCAGAACTTCACCGCAAAAATTGATACCATTTTCTGAAGCTCTGCTTTTCTCTTTAAATCTCCAGAATCTTCCTTTTTCTAATTATCCCTAATAGTAATGATTTTCAAACATTAGAATTCGCTCTTGTATTCTACAAAAGTACCCAAAAGTAAATATTCATTATTATAATTTCACATTAAGGGAATTTGGGATTAGGAAGGGATAGCCATATTCAACTACTATAGATAAGAGAATAAAATGAGGATAGCCACGTTACATTTGGACAAGAAAATATGACACCACACCAAAAAGTAATCTTTAATGTGTGAATTAAAATAATTTAAATGCATACCAATGTTCTGTAACATCTGTCAGTTAGAGGAGTAATGACAAGTCTAGGTGAGTTACCAAGATATTCATAAGCATATTTTACATTGCAATTAATGATACGAACTCGAGCATTTTCATATTCCCAATAATATCGAAGCTGAGCAAGCCAGTGGAAATCTGTATCATGTGAGACACCTAGAAAGAATAAAGTAAAACAAAACACATAATCCTGAAATGGAAATAATTTGAAAAATATGTATTTTATCATCTTTTATAACAACAAATATTAAAATAATTCATTTTCCTATTTATAGAAAAGATCATGTAAAATAAATTCTGTTGAGAGAGAAAAAGACATATGGTATAAATCTTTGCTTCTAGAAGCTCTTGAATTTTATGTTTAATATTAAAGAAAAAAGTCACATACCCATATCAATCATGTCCATGACCACATCTCTAGCATGGACATCAATAGTAACCAAAGCCCCCAGAGTAATCCTGGTCTGTTTCGACAATTTTCCTCTTACCAGCTCTACAATATCATTTAGTTGATTCTGAAGTTCCTTATAGTACTTCTTTAATCCCTACAAAATAAAAAAGCAATTACACTAAGGTTATATAGTACCTAAAACATGTATTTTATATATTTACTTTTACAAAACAATTCTGATTTCATAATGTATCTCAATATAAAAATGAATTAAAGAATAAAGTCATTTTCTCTAAGCCTAGTAAAATATTAAGAATAAGTTTTCAACGAATTATATAATTTTGATACTACATGTAGAAATTGGGCGAAGATTGCCTTTGCAAAGGATAGATAAACTAAGTAAGAAATATAGTAGGATGACTGGGACATATGGTATTTCTATTTTTAAATTTTTGAGGAATCTCCATACTGTTTTCCATAGTGGCTGCACCAGTTTGCATTCCCACTAGCAGTGTATGAGGGTTCCTTTTTCTCCACAACCTCTCCAACATTTGTTACTTTTTGTTTTTCTTATTTTTTCCATTTTAATGGGTGTAAGGTGATATCTTAGTGTAGTTTTGATTTGCATTTCCCTGATGGTCAATGATGATGAACATCTTTTCATGTGCCTATTGGCCATCTGTATATCTTCTTTGGAGAAATGTCTGTTCATGTCTCCTGCCCATTTTTTTATTGGGTTGTTTGATTTTTTTGTTGTTGAATTGTGTGTGTTCTTTATATATTATGGCGATTAACCCTTTGTCAGATATACGACTTACAAATATTTTTTCCCAATTAGTGGGTTGTTTTTTTCTTTCAATCCTGTTTTCATTTGCCTTGAAGAAGCTCTTTAGTCTGATGAAGTCCCATTTGTTTATTCTTTCTATTGTTTCTATCCAAAGAACTTGAAATCAGCAATTCCAAAAGTCTCATGTGCCTCTATGTTCATTGCAGCATTATTTACAATAGCCAAAACGTGGAAGCAACCTAAGTGCCCATCAAGTGATGATTGGATAAAGAAGATATAGTATATATATATATATATATATATATACACAATGGAATACTACTCAGCCATAAAAAAGAATAAAACCATCCCATTCACAACAACATGGATGGACCTTGAGGGCATTATGTTAAGTGAAATAAGCCAGATAGAGAAAGACAATCTCTGTATGACTCTACTCATATGTGGAAGTTAAACATGTAGACAAAGAGAACAGATTAGTGGCTACCAGGGGAAAGGGGGGCTGGGGGGTTGGCACAAAGGGTGAAGTGGTGCACATGACTGACAAATAATAGTGTACAACTGAAATTTCACAAGGTTGTAAACTATCATGAACTCAATAAAAAATTTTTTAAAAAACTTCTAAGCAGAAGAGTTAAAAAAAAAAGAAAGAAACATAGTAGGTAGAAAAGAATGTTATTTAAAATCAAATAACGCTTTACCTCTGTCCCACCACTTATAACTTCCTGTGTTTCAGAAGTCCAGAACATTTGAGAAACACAAAGTACAACTTGGCCAGGCCACTCTCGAACCCAGTCTCTTCTTGCAGATTCTGGATAGGCCTGAAGAATTAAAATGCATCATTAACTTTAAAAGATCAGGAAAGGAAAAAAAAAAGCATTAAGTGTCTAACAATAGAGAAGTGCAATATTTGGTACATTCGTATGATAGTATATCATATAGTCATGAAAATTTTAGATGACTATGTAAAAGACCCAACAATTTTTTGTAAATTATATTTTTGAAATATTTGTTTGTTTATAAAAGAATGGAAAGTTGAGCATTGATATGTTAATAATCAGTTATCTCTGAAAGAATTTGATTGTTGATTCTTTCAGAAGTTGATTTCTATATCATTTTTATGTTCCTTTCCTGTGGGGAATTGTCAAGTTTTCTACATAGAATACATACTACTTCTATTAAAATAAAGCATAAAGGCTTTATTAAATCATAAAAAATCAGTCTAATAGATTATGTATATCAATGCCAAGATTTAATTGAAAAGGAAACTATACAATCTGGTGGAAAAGTGGACTAGAAATTAAAGCCATTGTATTAATTATCCATAGCTTTTCCAATAACTTGTCTGACCAAAGTATATAATTTGAACAATTATATAACATTTTTATGTTCAAAATGCATTTAAGTTGGGGGAGTTTTAATCCTTGAAAAAATAACTTGCTTCAAAAGTTAATGAGGCAGAAAGGGTCAGCAAAATGGCAGGGTGAGCTGACCCAGGACTCTCTGCCCTCCAAACTACAACCAAAGAATCGGAACAACTGAATTTCAACCAATAACCCTAATACACAGACCAACAGAGACCTACAGCAGCAAGACGACGGAGGAAGCAGAGGCTGCAGCTGGCCTCAGAGGAGCTGGAACAGGGTAGGAGAGAACTTTGCTCCCTACCCTAGAGACTGGGATCACTGCTGCGGGTGAGGGAAGGAGCAGGGGAGGGGACGTGCGTCCGGGGATCTCCAGGACTCCCACTGCCAGTGCAGTGGAAACCTGCTGACAGGGGAAAGCTTCCGCATGCGGGGACCCCATCAAGCCAGGGCCCCGGGAGACCAGAGAGCGAGAGCTGATCGGAATCCAGATTGGCGTACGAGAGAAAGTGCCCCTCCTCCCCCAACCAGCGCTGCATGCCCGCCGTCATGGCTGAAGGCAGACGGCTCAGAACGCGTGGCTCTTGATCCCCGTCTAGTGGCAACAAGCTGTAACTTCAACCGAATACTACCCTCATGCACAAAAACCACTCCTCTACCATTCAGCAATTTATAAAAGCTCCAGACCAGAAGGAAAACAATAAAAACACAGAATTAAGTCCTGAGGACTTGGAAATAGGTAAACTAAGTGAAAATGAGTTTAGAGTGGCTATCATCAAAAAACTCAATGAGGTAAAGGGAAATATAGAGAAATAAGTCAACGAGTTCTGGAGTTACTTCACAAAAGAGATTGAAACTATAAAGAAGAATCAATAAGAAATACTAGAGATGAAAAATACAATGGATCAGATAAAACAGAATACAGATTCCCTGAATGCGTGTGTAGACACCATAGAGGAGCAAATTAGCATAACTGAAGAGAGACAGGCTGAATGGCTCCAGAAAGAGAAACTAAGGATTAAAAAGAATGAGGGAAATATCAGAGAAACAGTGGATTCAATGAGGAGAACCAATTTAAGAATCATCAGAATTCCTGAGGGCATGGAAAAGGAAAATGGAGCAGAAAGTGTGCTTAATGAAATTATAGAAGAGAACTTCCCAAATCTAGGGATTGAGGGAGAAATGTGTGTGGAGGAAGCTTTCAGATATCCTAGATTTGTCAATGTAAAAAGACCTACTGCAAGGCATATAGTAGTAAAAATGGCAAAAATGAATGACAAAGAAAGAATACTCAGGGCAGCAAAACAGAGGAAAATAACCTACAAAGGAACTCCTATTAGACTTTCAGCGGATTTCTCTACAGAAACCTTACAAACTAGGAGAGAATGGAGTGACATATTCAAAACTTTAAAAGATAAAAATCTTCAGCCAAGAATACTCTATCCAGCAAAAATATCCTTCAGATATGAGGGAGAAATTAAATCTTTTCCAGATAAACAAAAGTTAAGGGAATTTGTAACCAAAAGTCCTCCTCTACAAGAAATCCTCAAGAAGGCTCTCATACTTGAAAAAAGAAAAAAAGGGAGAAAGGGGTCACAAACCACAGAGTAGGGAGACAGATAGATAGAACCAGAATAGGATAGTAAATATTCAACTATAGCATTAGGATACAGGTAAGGAAACCACCAAAGCAAAGACGATCTTATCACTCTAACTACAAACTCATAACATGAGTTGGAATAAGAGATGAAAATAATAATTTAGGAGGGGAAGAGGAATGGACTAAATCAGTCTAGGCCAAGTAAGTAAGAGACCACCAGAGAATGGACTATATTATACACGAGATTCTAAATACAAACTTCAGGGTAGCCACTAAACTAAAAAACAGAACAGAGACACAAAACATAAATAAGGAAAAATCTAAGAAACCCAGCATAAGAAATTGCAGAAGTCAATGGGTAGGCCAAAACACACAGGACGAGAAACAAAGGTAATGCAGGAAAACCAGACAATGAGCGACAGAATGACAGCATTAAGCCCTCATGCATCAATAATCACCCTCAATGTAAACGGATCGAACTCTCCAATAAAAAGACACAGAGTGGCAAAATGGATTAAAGAACAAGAGCCAACAATTTGTTGCCTCCAGGAAACACACCTCAGCCGCAAGGAAAAACACAGGCTCAGAGTGAAGGGGTGGAAGACAATACTTCAAGCTAATAGCAAGCAAAAGAAAGCAGGTTTCTCAATACTTACATCAGACAAAACAAATTTCAAAATAAGGCAGGTAAAGAGAGACACAGAGGAACAATATATAATGATCAAAGGGACACTTCATCAAGAAGAAATAACGCTTATAAATATCTATGCACCCAACACAGGAGCACCAAAGTTCATAAAGCAACTATTAACAAATCTAAAGGAAGATGTTAAAAACAGCACAATAATACTAGGGGACTTCAACACCCCACTCACATCAATGGACAGATCATCCAGACAGAAAATCAACAAGGAAATAGTGGAGCTAAACGAAAAACTAAAACAATTGGGCTTAATAGACATATATAGAACACTTCAACCAAAAACAGCAGAATACACATTCTTCTCAAGTGCGCATGGAACATTCTCAAGGATAGACCATATGTTGGGAAACACGGCAAGCCTCTACAAATTTAAAAAAATTGGAATAATAACAAGCATCTTCTCCGATCATAATGCTATAAGGCTAGAAATTAATTAAAAGAAAAAAGCTGATAAAGGCAAAAGGATGTGGAGACTAAACAATACGCTATTGAACAAGCAATGGATCATTGCAGAAATTAAAGAAGAAATCAAAAATACCTGGAGACAATGAAAATGATAACATGCCATACCAACTCATACGGGATACAGCAAAAGCTGTATTAAGAGGAAAATTCATCACAATACAGACACATCTTAACAAACAAGAAAAATCCCAAATAAGCAATCTTAAACTACACCTAATCGTATTAAAGAAGAACAAACAAAGCCCAAAGTCAGCAGAAAGAGAGAAATAATAAAAATCAGAGCAGAAATAAATGCTATTGAAACAAAAAAGGCAGTAGAAAGGATCAATGAAACAAAGAGCTGGTTATTTGAGAAGATAAATAAAATTGACAAACCCCTAGCCAGATTTACAAAGAAAAAAGGGAGAAAGCTCAAATTAACAAAATCAGAAATGAAAGAGGAGAAATAACAACAGAGTCCGCAGAAGTGCAACAGATTATAAGAAAATACTACAAAAAACTATATGGAAACAAAATGGATAACCTACAGGAAATGGATAAATTCTTGGATTCCTACAATCTCCCAAAGCTCACTCAAGAAGAAGCAGACAATTTGAACAGACCAATCACAAGGAAAGAGATTGAAACAGCAATCAAAAACACCCCAAAGAATAAAACCCCAGGACCAGATGGCTTTCCTGGGGAATTCTACCAAACTTTCAGAGAGGATTTAATACCTATCCTTTTCAAGCTATTCCAAAAAATTAGGGAGGATGGAACACTTCCTAACACATTCTACGAGGCCAACAACATGCTGATACCAAAGCCTGACAAGGACACCACAAAAAAAGAGAACTACAGGCCAATATCGCTAATGAACATAGACGTAAAAATTCTAAACAAAATTTTGGTAACCAGAATTCAGCAATTCATCAAAAGGATCATACATCATGATCAAGTGGGATTCATACCAGGGACACAGGGATAGTTCAACATCCGCAAATCAATCAACGTGATACACCACATCAACAAACTGAGGAATAAAAACCACATGATCATCTCAATAGATGCAGAGAAAGCATTTGACAAGATCCAACAGCCATTTATGATAAAAAACTCTGAACAAAATGGGCCTAGAAGGGAACTACCTCAACATAATAAAGGCCATATATGACAAACCCATAGCCAACATCATACTCAATGGACAAAAGCTGAGCGCCATCCCCCTGAAAGCAGGAACGAGACAAGGATGCCCTCTACCACCACTCTTATTTAACATAGTACTGGAGGTCATGGCCAGAGCAATCAGGCAAGAAAAAGGAATAAAAGGAATCCAAATAGGGAGGGAAGAAGTGAAATTCTCGCTGTTTGCAGACAACATGACCTTATATATAGAAACCCCAAAAAATCCATTGGAAAACTTTTAGAAGTAATCAACAACTACAGCAAAATTGCAGGGTATAAAATCAATTTGCATAAATAAGTAGCATTTCTATATTCTAATAACGAACTAACAGAAAAAGAACTCAAGAACACAATAGCATTCACAATCGCTACAAAAAGAATAAAATACCTCCGGGTGAATTTAACTAAGGAAGTGAAAGAACTATACAATGAAAATTACAAGGCCTTTCTGAAAGAATTGGATGACGACATAAAGAGATAGAAAGACATTCCATGTACATGGTTTGGAAGCATAAACATAGTTAAAATGTGCATTCTACCTAAAGCAATCTACAGATTCAATGCTATCCCAATCAGAATCCCAATGACATTCTTTACAGAATTAGAACAAAGAATCCTAAAATTCATATGGGGCAACAAAAGACCCCAAATTGCTAAAGCAATCCTGAGAAAAAAGAACAAAACAGGAGGCATCACAATCCCTGACTTCAAAACATGCTACAAAGCTACAGTAATCAAAACAGCATGGTACTGGTACAAAAACAGGTGCACAGATCAATGGAACAGAATTGAAAGCCCAGAAATAAAACCACACATCTATGGACAGCTAATCTTCGACAAAGGAGCTGAGGACATACAATGGAGAAAAGAAAGTCTTTTCAACAAATGGTGCTGGGAAAACTGGAAAGCCATATGTAAAAGAATGAAAATTGACCATTCTTTCTCACCATTCACCAAAATAAACTCAAAATGGATCAAAGACCTAAAGGTGAGACCTGAAACCATAAGGCTTCTAGAAGAAAATGTAGGCAGTACATTCTTTGACATCAGTATTAAAAGGATCTTTTTGGACACCATGTCTTCTCAGAGAAGGGAAACAATAGAAAGAATAAACAAATGGGACTTCATCAGACTAACGAGCTTCTTCAAGGCAAATGAAAACAGGATTGAAACATAAAAACAACCCACTAACTGGGAAAAAAATATTTGCAAGTCATATATCTGAAAAAGGCTTAATATCCATAATATATAAAGAACTCACATACTCAACAACAAAAAATCAAATGACCCGATCAATAAATGGGCTGGAGACATGAACAGACATTTCTCCAAAGAAGATATACAGATGGCCAATAGGCACATGAAAAGATGTTCATCATCACTGATCATCAGGGAAATGCAAATCAAAACTACACTAAGATATCACCTTACACCCATTAAAATGGAAAAAATAAGAAAAACAAAAAGTAACAAATGTTGGAGAGGTTGTGGAGAAAAAGGAACCCTCATACACTGCTGGTGGGAATGCAAATCGGTGCAGCCACTATGGAAAACAGTATGGAGATTTCTCAAAAAATTAAAAATAGAACTACCATAACGACCCAGCTATTCCACTACTGGGTATCTATCCAAAGAGCTTGAGGTCAGCAATTCCAAAAGTCCTATGCACCCCAATGTTTACTGCAGCATTATTTACAATAGCCAAGACATGGAAGCAACCTAAGTGCCCATCAACAGATGATTGGATAAAGAAGATGTGGTATATATATACAATGGAATACTACTCAGCCATAAAACAGAACAAAATCGTCCCATTTGCAACAACATGGATGGACCTTGAGAGAATTATGTTAAGTGAAATAAGCCAGTTAGAGAAGGACAATCTCTGTATGACTCCACTCATATGAGGAATTTAAAAATGTAGACAAAGAGAACAGATTAGTGGCTACCAGGGGAAAGATGGGGGGGGGTAGGCACAAATGGTGAAGGGGTGCACCTACAACACGACTGATAAACAATAATGTACAACTGAAATTTCACAAGATTGTAACCTATCATTAACTCAATAAAAATTTTTTTAAAAAGTTAATGATAATAACAGATCCAAATTATGAATTGAAAAAAACACCTGCAGAACAAACTTTAAAGTTGGTGCTAATGGAAACTATATTTTTAATACAATAATATCATCTTAGATATAAGAACATTAAATATAGGATATAACTACATATTATTATTAAAACACATTTTATTAGAAATATTTAGAAATAAATGCAAATGACAAACTAACCTAAGTTTCAAAGAAGTCTGAGTTTCAAAGAATGGATGAGCTATTACTAGCTACATAGAAGGTAAATTTCTATAATGATTAAGGAAATATTTTCATGGATAATGTTGATTCTTTCCTATGTGTTTTAGTTTGTTGGGAATCATAAATAGAAAAAGGAAAGAAAACGTAAAAATTCATCAGCAGGAACATTGAAGCTGAACAGAATAGCCACTGCACGATGATGAGCTTCACAGGGTTCTTGGTGAAGGAAAAAGGATCCCTCACTCATGTAAAGCGAGTTGCTGGATATAAGGCTGCAGTGCCCTTTAAAATGATTTTTTTACTACACAACTGTTCCTTTGTGGTCCTAAAGGCAGAAGTATGCTAAAGTTTATCATTCAAGATTAGGTTAATTGAATTGGCATAAGTGAGGTACATGTAGTGCCTAGGTGTTTTATTTCTTTCAAAAATTATATATCCTTTAATGTATGCTCCTTTGATGTTTGTTCATCTCATTTCAAGGTTTTAAGTAATTATTTAAGTGTAAACAGCAATAAGTGAACTAGATGATACATTTGACACTTATGTCTGAGGTTCTTTCTGATCCCAGGGCCTTTACACAGGATACCTAGATGCTCTCTCATTTGCTCTTTACCTGGTTAATTCCTACTTATCCTTTGGGTCTCAGTTTCAATTTCACTTCCCCTAAGAGCCTATCACTAGAACACTCCCTACCCCCATTCCAAATTATATACCCCTTATTATTCTTTCTCATAACATCTTTCTTTTCTCTTTTGTGGCACTTAATCACATATTATTATCAATTCTTACTAATATTATTATTTTAGTAATAATGTTAGACACAAACAAAATGTAAAGAAAATAATAAACGGTTTGAAATCGTAAGAACTTTAAGTGTTAATTTACTGATAACTCATTCAAAACCTCCTAAAAGAAAGCATTTACAGAATGTAGGGCACACATTGAATCCTAGGAAACACACCAGTCTGGCTGCAGCGATCACGTCATGAATACTCCGGAGCATTAAATCTTCCACTTGAATGAGCCACTTTTCCACAGCACCTCGCGCTGCAGATGTGGAAATAAGTGCAATCAGCTCCACCCGCTCACCTTCAGAGCTATACATGGCCTTAATGTCCAAATTAGGAAGGAACTCCAATTTGGCAATGCCCTCAAAGCATTTTTTTAAATGAGGCTGAACTCTAAGTGGATCTTTGGTCTCTGACAAAATCTCCAACATTTCATCATTAGATAAGAAGAAAAAACTAGGGAAAAACATGCGAATAAAAGCTTTAGTTATAATTTATCAAACATCAGAAAATGCTTTTGATTATAGCACAGTTGGTTATCCATCATACCGAGGGAAGAAAAGTCGTTTTTTTTCAAGATATGCATTAAGCCCTTTCATAATTTTCTCCAAAAGTTCATTGCAGGTCTGCAGTTTTTCCAATAAACCTGTTAAAGAAGTAGCGGCAAGAACCTAAAAAAGATACATTTGTTCAGGTCAGCACTTATATATCAGATATAATTATAAGACCTAAACATTAATCTATATTATATGTCAAAAATGTTAAAAGGTCAAAAGGTTTATGAAAATTGTCCTGAAATTTTTTTGTAATGTGAAACTATTAAAATTCAATAAATCAGAAATCTTCTTATCTAAGGATGCTAGTTACAAATGGAAGTTACAAATGTTACAAATGCATGACTGTCATGCGTGTTTTCATGTCTTCAATATTGGATGATGTGGGGAAGTCTACTAGGTTGGGTGTGTGATTTAATTTTTACATTTACGACTGTCCACTATAAACCTAACAACACACAGTAGGAGTCGGCAAACTACACTCCAAGGGCTAAATCCAGCCTGCTGCCAGTTTCTTTTTTTTTTTTTTCAGCTTTATGAGATATAATTGACAAAAATTGTATATATTTAAGGTATATAGCTTGATGTTTTGATAAACACATAGATTGTGCTGCCAGTTTTTGTATGGCCCATGAGTTGAGAATTACTTTTATACTTTTAAAAAGTTGAAAAATTCTAAGAATAATAATATTTCATGGCACATGAAAATGTCAGAGTCCATAAACAGTTTTATTGTAGCACAGACACAGCCATTCATTCACATATTATCTCTGGCTGCTTTCTTTATACAGTGATGACAGAGTTGAGTAGTTGTGAAAAAGACTATATGTCTCACAAAGCCTAAAAAATTTACCATGAGGCCCTTTGCAGAAAAAAATTGCTGACTTCTGACCTATAAAAAATCATGTCTCACAAAGGTTCTAAAGTCAATGTATAAGGTGAAATCCTTGAAATTCATAAATTTCAGTGTGCCATTGACTCTTAATAAGTCCAGCACAGCTACTTTTTCATCTAGCATTGAAACAAATTATTTCTTAAGTTGAGTACTAGATAAAAAAAAAAAAGTGGACGTATATCTATGGGCTATGCATATATGTGTATGAAAAGTACACAGCATGTTTTTTCAGCATTACAATCTCACTCAAGAAGGCGCTATACTCACTAGGAGAGACACACTGAGAGACCTGCAGATTTCGTTTCCCCCAACACTCCTAAGCATATAGAGTCACTGAGGGGAATGTCAGGTGAATTACTTGCACCACTCGTTCTTTCTCTCTCTCACTCTCCATTTTACTTTATTTTACTATTTATTTTACAAGAAGAGGGAGCAGTGAATATACACAGTAGAAGTCAAGTGAGTTATATGTACGTTTGAAGCAGCTCCACTACATATATTAGTTATATGCAGTGTATCTTATGAATTGAAAAATTATTTTAATGCTTTCTCATATTTTTCTGAACTTTCCAGTTTGTATACAACTAACAGGTTTTACTTTTGTAATCAGAAAAAAAGAGAGCCAAATGCTCTTTAATACCCAAAAATAAAGGTTCCCCTTTATTTATAAAAGATAAAACAAACACTTCACCTTTGGATCTTTTGCACAAAACTTCATGATATCCCTCCAATGTCTGTCTACTGTCTGAAACTGACGGCCTTCTTCTGGCATCTGTTGCATGATATCCTCAGAACAAAAAATAGGCTCCAAGTACAGCCACTGAGCTTGTACTTTCAACCACTCGTCAATTGTTTCTTGTATTCGAATCAAACGGTCCTCCCAGGCCTTAATGAAAAGCATACTGTACTAAATTCCAGTTATTAAAGAAAACTCATAAATTATAGCAAGGAATATTTGTTTGAAATTTACTGTTATTTTTAAATCAATGCAAAACAGCTTAAGGTCACTTATGAGTATCTCACATGGGCTTAGAAAACCTTCAAGAGATGTGAAGTTTTCCTAAACCTTTGGAACTCACAATTGGAATTGACTATAGTTATTTAGACCAATTTCCTAACCTCTAGGTGAACCATCCCAAGTCTGAAAAGCATCCAGGAATATATCCTGCTCTACATCAGTGGTTATCAAGCTAGGGGCTATTTTGCCCCCTACCCCAAGGGATATTTGATAATGTCTGGAGACACTTTTGTTTGACACAACTAATAGGGTGAGGGTGCCACTAATATCTCATGGGTAGAGGAGACAGACGCTGCTAAACTTCCCACAATGTACAGGACAGCTCCCACAACAAAGAATTATTCAGCCCGAAATGTCATTAGTGCCAGGTTGAGAAACCCTGCTCTAAACCAACACAATTTGGAAAAAAACAAACAAAAGTCTTCTTATTCTCATAGGTCTAGAATCAACAAGATATTTCATTAGCTGAAGATCATTCACATATCCTTTCTTTGGTTTTTAAATATGTGGCCTAAGGTACCATGTATCAAGAGATTAGGCCTTATATTTTTATTGTTTTAAAAGCTCTAAGAGAGTTTTTAAATTTGTCTTGTAATTTCTCCCTTGTTAGACTAGAAATTCCTGAAAAAGACAAAAAAATCTTATCAGGAAAGGCTAGGCCAGCCTAATTCATGGGAAAATGGGTCAGCATTAGGTCCTTTTGGAAGAACACCACTCTTTGTCTCCTCCAAATATTGAGAGCCAAAGTCTTCTATAAAAAAACTATTTATGTTCAAAATAAAATCAGACTGGCTTGGTTTGAACACCAGTTCTGTCATTTACTAGCTGGGTGAACTTGGGCAAATTACCTATGCCTTGGTTTCCTTATCTATGAATACAGATAATAACAGTGCCTCCCTTCAAGGTCAGCTATGGGGATTAAATGAGTTAATAAATGTAAAGCTCCTAGAGCAGTATCTGACATATAGTTGGAAATCTATAAATATCAGGGGAAAAATCCAACTCTCATTTTTTTCCCATTTTACATAGTCCCCAGTTAGAATCTTGATACTACCTATGAAGCTATTAGTTATTACAATTTGTTTGCTTGCTGTATTTACCCACATCAGCTACAAGGATATGAAATAATCTTATAGTCTCAAAGATCATTTGTTTTTCTCAAGTAGACAATAATTCATTAATTATTCTAAACGATCCTCAAGCTAGTTTTTCACAAATATAATTAAAGTATGGGATGTAGAGCTTCACCACAAGTTATAAGAATATAGTATGAAACAGGGTCTAGGCTGTCTAAAGTTAGCATAAATAATACCAACTGTTTTCCTTCCAAGTCTATTGCTGTCATTGGAGAAGATTCCTTAAAACATAATTTATTCTTTTCAAAATCATTAGATTTAAAGTCTCAGATCTGTTCTATATAGTTCCATACTAATTTTTAAATATCTGTTCCTGTTTTTCACCAAAGCTATCCAACAAACTAATTTCCACAAGAGCATATATGTAATAAGATTGCAATTTTTATAAATGACCAGGAGCTTACTATCATATTTAACATACCTTAATCTCTTTTTCAAATGGCTTGATGAAAGGTGAGCCTCTCATTGTCTGAGTTTTTATAATTTGATCATCAAGGAGAGCCTGAATCTCATCTACTGAAGAAAGAATACAGACTCCAGTATCACGATATAGATTTATATGAAAAGCAATATCATCCCAAGTTCCTATCATTGTATGCATGGCTTTCTCTAATGAAAATTCCTAAAAGGGAGGAAAGAAGAAAGAATGGGGTGGTGAAGAAACAATCCTTTTTTAACATATTGACTTTTCCTTATGAATTCAGTAGCATTTGATGCATTACACAGTCATTTTCTTAAAATAATCTGTGGCTACATTGTAATTGTCTTTAAGTTAGAAAGTTTTTAAAACAATTAAAAAGTTCCCAAGGAGAATGATAATGTAGTTTTTAAAAATTAAATTGCTATGGAAACTACTGCTATCATTATGAAAATAGACAGTAGAATAAAATACCTGCTGGACTTTCTCTGAAGTGGCCTTTCTGCCGTCTACAGTCTCCAAAATGCTTGCTGTGTATTTCAAGAACCCTGGAGGGCCACACTTATTCTTCTAGATCACACGAACATCACATGCCACACACACATTTACCCAGTATTCTTAATGGAAAAATTATGCATCAAGACTAGCATATCATCCATGCACACCAGAATGTGGCAGAATTAAGAGGTCAAAGGAGTCTGGATTCAGGACAAGGAAGTACTATAGAAGCACACACTTTATGAAGAAGAAAGAAGAGTCATCTTCTACCATTTCCCCCCCACGTCCCTTCACTGCTATCCAGTACTATATATTCAACCACAACAAAAACTATAATAACTCGATTAACAAACTCATCACATAAAATATTTCAGTTGATCTTCATATTTACCTTGCTTGCACCTGCACTTATCACTTCAAATTGTTCCAAGTATGGTGCGAGGTTTAATTTCAAAATTTTTCTCATTGTAGTTCCAGAGTCTGGAGTCAAGTCATAGCCTACAATTTCTGATATCTGCTTCCAGTGACGTGCTCTCATTCCCGGATTGCACAGGATGGAGACAGTAGGGATATATTCCTAATGGTGAAAATATAAACAATAATGAGTCACTCATTTGACTTCCATACACATAGATTTTAGAGATGAAGCCTCGATACTGTAAAGATTACATTTCATGAAATTATTTAATATATTTAATGAGTCCAATCAAAATCCCATTTAGATTACGAGGAGGAGAGAAACTAACAAAATTATTGTAAAGTTCATCTGCACAAATAAACATGTAGAAATAGCCAAGAAAATTATAGGAGTACAAAAGAAGAGGGGTAAATATTCTATAAGATATTAAAGTATGTGATAAAACTATGGTATTATTATAGAAATACAAAGGTGTTATGTATATTATAGGTAGAAATATGTAATATAACATAATACATAGTTATAAGTACACACACACACACATAATGTGAATGGGGAAAAAGTCTGCACCAAAATGCCAAACAAAACTTTTGTTTGGAAATGAAAATTAAATATTTAACAAAAACACTTAGATCATCATTCTTGATATTGACATTAGAACATTTTCTTTAAAATCAGGAACAATATAAGGATACCCATTATTACTACTTCTAATAAATACCGTATTGTCTCAGCCAGTGAAGTAATATAAATAAATAAAAGATATAGGGAAGAGAAATTTAAAAAAACAAAACTGACACTGTTCACAGATTATTGTCTATGTAAGTGGTTGGATATTAAATTAATATAAAGAAATTAAATAGAATTTCTACATACCAGCCACAGATAGAAAACATAATTAACAAAAAGATCAATTTACAATAGTAATAACAAAATAAAGTACCTAGGGATAAATCACACGAAAGCTGTGAAAAGCTATTTTAGAGAAACTATATAACTTCATTAAAAAATGTTAAAGAAAATCTAAATAAATAGAGAAGCATACATGTGCTGATAGATTCATTATCATATAAATGACAGAGGGTTATTATCCAGAATATATTATAAAAATTCCATAAATTAACAGTAAAAACAACTGAAACAATGGCAAAAAAACAGTCAAAAGGCATAAATAAGCATTTCACAAAAGAAGAAATAGGAAAGGCAAGTAGAATATAAATATTATGGGGGCAGGGATTTTTGTTCATATGACTACAAGAAGGAAAATCAATAAATTAGGTAAGCAAGAAATAATATATAGCAGTGAAAATGAAGTAACAATAGTTACACCCAAGAACATGGATGAGTCTGAGAAACATAATGTTGACTGAGAAAAAAATCAAGTCTCAGAAGACTACATATAGATGATATATTTTTATAAATTGTTATATACAGATGTGATAAAACCAAAAAAGCAAGGGAATTACAAACAGAATTTTTTTTAAAAGATTTTATTTTTCCTTTTTCTCCCCAAAGCCCCCTGGTACATAGTTGTGCATTTTTAGTTAAGTCCTCCTAGTTGTGGCATGTGGGATGCCACCTCAGTCTCAGATGTCAGACTGACACTGTTCACAGATTATTGTCTATGTATAGTGGTTGGATATTAAATTAATATAAAGAAATTAAATAGAATTTCTACATACCAGCCACAGATAGAAAACATAATTAACAAAAAGATCAATTTGCAATAGTAATAACAAAATAAAGTACCTAGGGATAAATCACACGAAAGCTGTGAAAAGCTATTTTGGAGAAACTATATAACTTCATTAAAAAATGTTAAAGAAAATCTAAATAAATAGAGAAGCATACATGTGCTGATATCCCCGCCCAGGTCCATGTCCCCGCCCAGGATTCCAACCCGCAAAACCCTGGGCCCCTCAAGTGGAGAGCGCGAACTTAACCACTTGGCCACGGGGCCGGCCCCACAAACAGAATTTATGATACACTTATGTTTAAGGGGGACTAAAGGGGTAAAATAGGGAGAAGGAATATACAGAGAGATGCAACAGCACTGATAATCTTCTAATCTAAAAATGAGAGAAGGGTTCATGGGTGTACATTTTCTTGTTATACTTCATAACTTACATATTTGTTACACATATTCTTCAAGTATTATATAATTAAAATGTGTTAAGAAAGAAAGATAAAGAAAGAATACTTACCATTTCCTCTTTCCAATCCAATTCAAAGCCCATCAAAATCATGCTTATACTTCTGGTCATCTCCTTAGTTAAGCCTTACCTGTTCTCCAAATGACAAAATAAATGCTCCATGCCATTTCTCTCACAAGATACAGCTATCCTCTACCTAAGAATTTCTTCATGTGCCTTATTACAACCAGTTGTTCACAGCCTATTTTTCTGACCATCCTGCATTCCTCTTGAGGGGCAAAAGTCAATTTGAGTGACATGAACAAGAAAGATATTGAGCCAGAAGACTCTAGCCAACGTCAATGTCCAAGCCAATTAAGCAAGAAAAATAAATAAAAGGCATTTAGACTGGAAAGGAAGAAGTAAAACTCTATTTTCAGATGACGTGATCTTGTATATAGAAAATCGTAAGGAATTCATTTAAAAACTGTTAGAACTAATAAGTGAGTTTGGCAAGGTTGTAGGATACAAGATCAATATAGAAAAATCAATTGTATTTCTATAAACTAGCAATAAAAAATCCAAAATTGAAAGGAAGGGGAAAATCCCATATACAATAGCATCAAGAAGTATAAAATACTTAGGAATAAATTTAATAAAAGAAGTGCCAGACTTGTACACTGAAAACTACAAATCATTGTTAAAAGGAATTAAAGAAAATCTAAGTAAATGGAAAGACATCTCATGTTCATATATTGGAAGAATTAATATTGTTAAGATTGTGATACTTCCCAAGTTGATCTACAGATTCAATACAATCCTTATCAAAATCCTAGAGTCCTTTTTTTAAGATTAAAAATGCATTTTAATAAGTTGATGCTGCATTACTGCTCCATTTTTCAGAAAAAATTCCAAAGTTATCAGGAAAAAATAAAGCATGATACATCCGTAAAAAATGCAGAGCATAACTAACTAAGATAGGCACAGCTAAGAGCTGCTGTCAGATCTTCAGCATACAGCAACCTTGTTCCCAAGGTTATACTATGCCTATCAAGAAAAGCTATAAACAGCAATATTATAGACATAAAAGGGCCATTCTTGGGTTGTCTTTGCCCAAGAAAAATGTGGAGGTAAGTGAACACAGGATTTTTTTTAAAGATATACTAAATTAAAATTTCTAAGAGAGTTCATTTCTTCCTTAGGACATAAAGGGGTCATGTATGGGATACAACAGAATCTTATTTATGTATGTTGTCTGTGACCTCTGTGAACATCTGCTTGAATTCTCACCTGGGAGTGAATAGAACAATGGATCTAAGGTCATTAGGGGATATTTGATTTTTGTGGTATATGTGGCAGCGTCTCTGGGTTTAGTGGGTATAAAAATGAGAAGGCAAGGAGAACCGAATGGACAAAGAATGGAAGGATCCAGGTTAATAGGGCTCTAACAGGATCCACAATGCCATGGTTCCCCCTAGGTCCTCTACAATCACATGAGACTTAAGAATGCACCACACAGATTTGATCAGTTAAAAAATATACCACACAGAACTGATTGTTAAATACCACCCCCTCATTTCCTTCTGCTTCCAGCATACTCCCCAGGGTAGTACAGGCAGGGAAGACCTAACTATTGGGAGGAATTTCTAATACTTTTCCAAGGTAGAATTCTGGCTAGTCCAGAAAGGGCCCTTCTTTTAAGAATTTTTGGAAACTAGATGCTGTAATTTTATTAGTATCAGTGATGTCTGGAACAAATTCAGCTCCAGGGGCTGCATAGTTGAATGCCGCAGAGGTTCCACCAATTGCTCCAGTTTCTTCTATTGTAGCAGCTTGGCCAAAGCAATCACTTGTGGGTGGGGTCAATCTCCAGGTTCCATCAGCATCACAGCAGCAGGTCCTAGTGGAGCTGGGGTACCAGCTGGCACATGACTAGGTGGCATGGTACCTCTATTGTTTATGCCCACAGCACCTTCCATTGCCATGTGGCTCCTCCATATCTCTAGCATCACGGAAGGTCCCGTTGAATCCCTCCTCCTGTCATTGCATCATTTTTTCCTGTTGCCGCTGCAGCTCTTCCTCATGACACCTGTACTCCTCCTCCTGCCTGAGCTCCAACTGCTTTTGTTTTTGCACGTCTTGGTTGTGCAGCTCATTCATCCTCTGAAGTTCTTGAAGCCTCATCAAATCCTGCCTCATTAGCATGACCTGGTGCTTGTAGTGGGCAGCCTCCATCTCCATCTCCAGTTTGCCATGAGCTTTCTTGATGTTGAGGTCCACTTGTTCCTGCTGCTGCTTCTCTATCTCATTGAATGCCTTCCATCACATTGGCATACTCATACTCAAAAGAGCCAGGCTGTGCAAATCTGGGTGGCCGTTCTCACTCCTTGTGAAATTGCTAGTTCTTTATAACCAGCTTCTCTGGAAGTCCCTCTTCATCATCTAACTGGTCCATGGGCTCCATAGTCACAGGCTGAGGAAATGTGGTTAGCAGTCAGGAGCCTTCACTGCATCTGTCCAGAGTTTTGCCAGCAGATGGCTTCCCTGAGAACTCAACCTTGCCTTTTCCTGAGGACCTTCCTCAATCATGCATTATGATTATAGCCCTCTCCACCTGCCCAATACAGAAAAGGCTTCCTTCAGCAGTTGTTGGACACATACTGAGGAAGGTTTCAGAACATAAGGGATGTACTATGGCCAGCCAAGCATACATTTAGCTGCTTTCCATGGAGTAGCATGTTGTCCAACTCCACTCTGGCAATCTCTGCTAGGCTTTATGTTTCCAAACAAATAAGGATGAAGCCCTTGTCCTTATGAATGAAGGCTTTGCCTGCCTTCCCATATTTCTCAAACAGTTTCCTCATTTCCTCCTCAGCAATGTCAAGAAGAAGATTCCCCATAAAGAGATGGTTATATTGGGGCATAGTGGTTAGGTAGTGGTTAAGTTCATGTACTCTGCTTTGGTGGCCTGGGGTTCGTGAGTTCACATCCCGGGTGTGGACCTACACACTGCTCATCAAGCCATGCTGTGGTGGAATCCCACATACAAAATAGAGGAAGACTGGCACAGATGTTAGCTCAGGGCTGATCTTCCACACAAAAACAAAAACGAGAGAGAGAAAGCAAGATGGCTATGCTGTGTGAGGGTCTTCTCTCCTGGTTTCCTAAAGTTCTTCAGGCCAACAAACAAGCCTTCATTTTGGCTGCTGGCCTGTTGCCCATTTGCAAGTATTGGCAGTGACAGTGGCTGCTGCTATTACTGCTGATGGTGATGCTAATGATGCTCCCTTGGAACAAGGTTTTGCTTCTCCAAGTTAAAAGTTTCACTGCCTTGAATTTTTGTAGCCTTCTACCAACTGTTTTTTCTCCTCAGAGTAATGGTGATGCTACATGGCCTCCACCATACCCCCCAGCTGCCTTTTTTTTTTTGCACAAATTAACAAGCTGATCATAAAATCCATATGAAAATGCAAGGGATCCAGAATAGCCAAAACAATCTTGAAAAAGAAGAATAAAGTTGGAGGATTCACACTTTCCAATTTCAAAACATATTACAAAGCCATAGTAATCAAGACAATATGGTGCTGGCAAAAAGTTAGACATACAGATAGATGATGCAATAGAACTGAGAGTCTAGAAACAAACCCTCACATATACAGTCCACTAATTTTCAACAAAAGTACCAAGACAATTCAATGGGAAAAGAACAGTCTTTTCAACAAATGGTGCTAAGACAACTGGATATCCACATATCCTACCCCTACCTCACATCACACACGAAAATTAAATCAAAATACATCAAAGACATAAATATAAGAATTAAGAGCATAAAATTCTTAGAAGAAAACATCAGTGTAAATATTCATGGATTAGGCAATAGTTTCTTAGATATGACACCAAAAGCACAAGCAACAAAAGAAAAAATAGATAAATGAGACATCATCAAAATTAAAACCTTTTGTACTTTAAAACATACCATCAAAAAAATAACAGGACAATCCACAGAACAAGAGAAAATTTTTGTAAATCATAAACCATATATCTAATAAGGAACTTGTATCTAGAATACGAACAATTTCTACAATTAAATAACAAGAGACAAATAACCCAACCTAAAAATGGGCAAAGGGTCTGAATAAATATTTCTCCAAAGAAAGCATACAAATGGCCAAGAAGCACATGAAAAGATGCTTAACATCATCAGTCATCAGGCAAATGTAAATAAAAACCACAATGAGATACCACTTCACACCCACTGGAATGGCCATAATCAAAAAGACAGACAATAACAAGTGTTGACAAGGATGCAGACAAGTTGGAACCCCCATGCACTGCCAGTGGGAATGTAAAATAGTTTGGAAAATAGTCTAGCAGTTCCTCAAAAAGTTAAACATAGATTTTACCATGTGACCCTGCAATTCCACTCTTATATATACACCCAAAAGAAGTGAAACATATGTCCACACAAAAATTCCTACATGAATATTCATAGCACCATTATTCATAACAGCTAAAAAATGGAGACAGTGCAAACGTCCATCAAGTGATGAATGGATAAACAAGATATGGTATCCATATAATGAAATATTACTCATCAGTAAAAAGGAATAAAGTATGATACATGTTACAACATGAATAAACCTTGAAAACATATGCTAAGTGAAAGAAGTAAGTCACAAAGGCTACATATCATATGACTTTTAAATGAAATGTCTAGAATAGATAAATCCATAGAGATAGAAAGTAGATTAGCAGTTGCCATGGCCTTGGAGGAGGAGGGAATGGAAAATGACTACTAACAGTTACAGGCTTACTTTTCGGAGTGATAAAGATGCACAACAGATGTTAATAAAAATTATTTAAAACTTGGGGAAAAAAGAAAAAAAGGTAAATGTCATATCCTTTCAATGTCATATGGGATACAGCGCCACCTAAGTAAAATTTAACTGTTTAAAGACTGTATTTTGTTCAACTCACTGTTTACTACTCAAAGACCCAGACTTTGCAAAATTACACGTTAACTTGTAGATTTCTGACCAGTAGAGATGCAAGTAATTTCTGTCTAATTAAAAAGATAACTCCAAATGTTATGGTTTATTGGCTTCTGTGACATTAACCAGCCTTATATCAATACTAACAATCTTTTTCTAACATTCCTTTATTAAATTGTCTATAAATACTCAGCTCCTCAAATGTTCTTTGAATCAGCCTTACCATCTTACTAGTTTGCTCATTAATTAATAAGTAGAATAAAATATTTGACAGGTTTATTTTTATCTTTGTATGAGAGTCATGTTTTCATTTTTTGTAAATGATAATTTAATAAAGTAATTTTTTAAAAAATTTGAGGACTATAGAACATCCGATTTTTTATTTTGACTAGTAAGGACTTTCTTTTTAACCTTCCATTATTTTTGCTTATCATCATATTCATCATTCATCAGAACATGATATAACATTCACTCAGTAAGTATTTGTTAAATAAATGAATTTTTAACACTTAAAAAGTAGAAAGAACCTACTCTCAAAGTGAATATATTTAGCCTTATTAAAAATTCAGTAGAAGGTTGGGGCCAGCCCCGAGGCCAAGTGGTTAAGTTCACACACTCTGCTTGGTGGCCCAGGGTTTCGCAGGTTCAGATCCTGGGTGTGGACATGGCACTGCTCATCAGGCCATGCTGAGGCAGCATCTCACATGCCACAACTGGAAGGACCCACAACTAAAATATACAACTATGTACTGAGGGAATTTAGGGAGAAAAAGCAGGAAAAACAAAAAAGAAGATTGGCAACATTTGTTAGCGCAGGTGCCAATCTTAAAAATGAAAAAAAAGAAATTTGGTAGAAGGTGAGAAGACAGAAGTTGAGTGTAGTACAGCTAGCCTGTGTGGAGAGCATCTCTGTAGGAGGCTGGAGAGGAAACACCAGGCTAACTCCATTCAACTGCTCAACAAGTGTTAATTACCTAGCACATGTGAGGCTCAGTTCCAGTCAGAGGAGACAGAATAGTGAACAACAAAAAAAATCATTATATAGTCCTTATTTTTCCTATTTTGCCATTTACCAGTAAAAACTTAATCATTAACTATCTTGGTCCATTGCTGTGGATTTATCTTTTAGAAGTATAAAGTATTAACTCCCTGTAATACTAGGAGTGAGGTCCTGAAAACTCTCATGGTAAAAAGAATATAAGGAAAATAGCACCAGAAGGAATTAACCAAAAATGAATATATGAAATTCATTATCAATTTTTCTACATTCATTTACAAATATTTGTTTAGCATCTACAATGTCCTAGTCATTATTGTTAATGATTAGGATACATCAATAAATTAAACAAAGATCCCTTGTACAAACTTTCAGTTATAAAATAAACAAGTCCTGGGGATATAATATTTAGTATGACGATTATAGTTAATAATACTGCACAGTTATGTGTTGCTTAACAATGGGGATACATTCTGAGAAATTCATCATTAGGTGATTTTGTCACTGTGTGAACGTCATAGAGTACTTACACAAACCTACATGGTATAGCCTACTACATACCTAGGCTGTATAGTACTAATCTTACGGGACCACCATCATATATGTGGTCTGTTGTTGACTGAAAGGTCATTATACAGTGCATGAGTGTATTGTATATTTGAAAGTTGCTAAGAGGATAGATCCTAAAAGTTCTCACCACAAGGAAACAAAATTTGTCACTATGTGTGGTGACAGATGTTAACTAGACTTACTGGGGTGATCATTTCCTAATATATACAAATATCAAACCATTATGTTATACACTTGAAACTAATAAAATATTATATGTCAATTATATCTCAGTAAGAAATAAAAGAACATTGCAGGCAGGGGTAAGAGCTGGAGAAAAGGCCCTCAGGCTGGAGGGTCTGCTTGTTTGAGAAATGAGGATGGGGGAAGAGTTGTCAAGGTTGGTGAAAGTATATATTGGTATAATCCATATGAAAAGTAATTTGACTATAGATTTTAACCATTTACTCTTCTGGCATTTACCTTGCAGTCACACCTTCACACACATGAAATTTTATACCAATATATAACATTATATAGATGTAAAAAAGAATGAAAAAGCTCTATTTACAATGAGAAAAGGTCTCCAAGATAAATTAATCAAAACAAAGGGGGATAATAATATATATAATATGCTATATTTTATACAAAAAGATGGAAGGATAAGGACATATATTCACACTGTTATATGTGTAACAAAATTCTGGAAGTATACACAAGAAAGTAATAACATTAATAACCTGAGTTATACTGGTGAGAAACATGAGGAGGAGACTTTTCAGGTGTATCTTTTTATATATTTTAAACGATGAAAATATATTAAATATTGAAAATAATTTTAAGGAGTTACTTAAAAAAATTCAGGTAGCTCATGGAATCTCTGCGAGTGCTAGGCACAGAGGGGAACAATGCTCAAAATCTCATCACAGAGTTTGCGCTCTGAGCATGCGGACAGTGGAAACTTGGCACTACCACTAGAACCACTGCCACTACTGCCTTGGGAAGTTGGAGGCATTATTAACTGTCAAAAAATTGTTATTATCATTCTTTATAAATGAGGAGACTGAGGCACAAGAGGCTAAATGTCTTGCCCAAGATATGCCACAACCAAGAGCAGAATTGTGATATAAAACTAGGTAATGTGACTCCAAAGCTTTCCCAGCTAACTGCTACCCTGTGCTACTGCCCTTGGTAGAGGCTAACTGGTCTGTCCTAAGAATTTTTTACCTTCTTTATATCACTGTGGTTAGTCGTTATAGTCTTTCCTAATTGTCAAGCATTGTTCTAGGAAGAGATTGATTTCGATGACTTCATCAGGAAAGAAAGAAGTATGAATTAAGTAATAAATCAAGTTTTCTAGATTCAGCTTCGGTTTTGTTTCCAAATCTTTCTATTTCTCCTCATTAGCACTTGATACACAAACAGCTCTACCAGGGCTTTCTAAAACGTCATTGAATGTGTTTGTACCTTAAAAGTTTTTATCTGCTCCATTACTGTAGAGCACATGGTAATAGTAGGATTCTCTTTTGGTTCTTCTTCAACTTTCTCTTCTCCCAGAGACCGTCTTTTTGCCGCCTTTCTTTTTTCTTGTAATTCCTTCTTTTGCTTCATTTGGAAAAACTTCAGTGTCTTAAAAATTTCTCGGGAAAATTCATCTACATCAGCTTCCATGCTTTCCCCATTAAGCTCCAAAAACCCTCCATCCATCCACCTGAATTGAAAGAAACAATAACGTTAACCTCAGAGACTTGCAGTGTGAAGGCTTAGAGATTCTTTGAGGCTAGACTCCTCTTTCATAAAGGAAACAACTGAGTGCAAGAGTGGGTAACAGTTTTTCTTAGTCACACAGGTAGAGCCGATGGTGGAGAGGGAAGACTAAAATCATCATTTCAGCTATGCTGCACGTACTAAAATACGTATCAGACTATAAACGGACGACTAGTAGTATCCAAATAAAATGCAGATTTGACTTCGTACTTCTAATTTTTAGCGTAAATAGTCAAATTAATTAATTGCATAAAAAACTAGAAAACCCAAGTGAGACTTTAGATATTATATTAGTAAGGTTAGGTGGTAGGTTAGCAACATTTGATGCGTCTCCTATGTGATACTTGGTTTTCTTTCAAATAGAGGAATAAGTCCAATTTTAAACACTTAGCCAACAACAACAAAAAAATCAAAATATGTTTTGCAAATCCTTCTACATTATTTGCATAATTTTTATTACATTATCAGAAATTACCGTTTTTCTGTTCGTTGCCACTTCAAAACTAAATTAAAAAACTTCTGATAGGGCTCAATGTTAACTTTTAATTTATCCAGTTCAGGATATTTTGTCAATTCCCATTTGAAAAGTTCCTCTTCTTTATTAATAAACTGAACGGCATCTTCAGATTCCTGAATACGTTTTTGTAGTTGTCTTACATCTGTCACATACTGAAAGCGGATAATTTTATCTCAAGAAATATCCAAGTAACGTTATAAAAATAAGATTATATGATACAGCATAGGCTATGTCCTTGCATTTATATAGCAACTTTAAATATCAACTTTACAACATTACTATGATAGAGAGCAAAAGGTATGGTTATGTCTATTTTACAAATAGAAAACTAAGTCACAAAAAAGATCACATAAATAGTACCAGTTCCAAGCCCAAGAGTCAGGCCCCTGTTTGCCATAGTAAGAACATGTTTTTCTGTATTTTTAAGTTTATGCAAATGTGTCCTGTATTAATATACACGCTTGCCATAGCTACCATCTTATATATTTATCAGACCTGTTGCATGCGGTCCAGTTCTGCAAATTCTGCAAACTCTTCCATGCGGCGTGATTCTTTTTCTAATTCCAAAATCAGTTTCTCTCTCTTGGCTATTAACTCATTTTCTTTTTTATGTTTAGCATACTCTATGAGCTTTTCAAAAGACAATTTGATTATGTTAATTACTTTGTTACAAAGGGAATAGTTATCAAATCAGAAATGTGAATGTTTTGTATGGTAATAAAAATCAGCACAGAAGTAAAAATGAGTACAAAAGTAAAACACTGGTTGACAGTAAAATGCAAAGAATGATAAACCACAAAGAAAAATTTTCTTAGATCTCCAAAGTGACTATAATAATTCTTATTTATTAATTAGATACTTTAACAGATTCCAGGATAATAATAAAAGCTACCATTTACTGAGCACGTGCCAGGTGTCAAGAACTATTAAACACCTTACCTACATCACCACAGGTATTATTCATCTCACTTCAAAGATGAAGAAATTCAGACTTACAAAGGGAAAGAGACATGTCCAATGTCACAAATTCAAGAGTCGGGATTAGAACTTTGGTTTATCTGACTGAAGTTCGTGCTTTTCATTACCATACCATCTCATTTCCTAATTTAGGAGAAACTGGTTTACATTAGGACTTTTTCAAAATCTGAACTATATTCTGTCTGATATAAAATCCTGAATTTGCTACTTCTTATCTCTGTGATACTGGGTAGGTTACTTAACTTCTCTGAGACCCATTTTTCTCATCTATGAAATGGGGAAAATAGGAGCACCTGGGATTTTTGTGAGTATTAAATGATTTAATGAATGGAAAGCACTGAGGGCAATGCTTACTATTATTATTATAAATTTATATAATAGTTCTGACTTCTTTAATGTCAGTTCCACTTCTTACCAGACCCTGTGAGTTAAGCCTAACAGCCTGTCCTAAGCCTGCAGGGCCACAAATGTCGCTAGCCCCAAACTCATATTGACACATGAAGTTACTTTTTAAAGGTAGATGGTAAGTATGTATGAAAATTAAATAAACATTGTGCTTAAAAATGCCAGAATACAAAAATACGTACTGAAAAATATATTTACCTCATCATTTTCATCAAAGATGGGATTTATTTTCCAAGGCCACATAAGGACAGTTGAATTTAAAGCTAAGTCTTCTTGAGGAAATAGAAAAACATCTAAAAAGTAACTCATTTGGCGTTTGGATTCCTACAAAAGAACCACCAGATACAATATATCATATAGAAAATCTAAGGCATTATGAAAAAGAGAAGAACCAACAACTTCCAACACTCTTTCAAATTTCAGTTTGACTCATAGTATTACCTATTTCATATCAGCCAAATTACCTGAGTATTTCAATAGCTATAGGATTATTTATTTGGCTTCATACCACACAATTGCAGACTTCAATACTGGAAATAAAGCTCAAAAGTTTTCATTTGCAGTTGACAACATAAAGGTACTCTTGATCCTCCTGGTATATGACTGAAAAAGGTGATCAAATATTCAGCTTTTGTCAGCAACTTTTTAAACTTTGGATTTTAAAGGATTTTACATTTTCATTGTTATGTATTTATTTTTGAATCTTGGTGACAAAGATTTTAACATCTTTTGTTTTGTTTTGCACCTTCAGTGACATTACCACCTTTTTTGCCTACTGTTAGCATATAGCAATTGTCCAGAAGAGATTAGGGGTGAATGGCAAAGAGAAAGAAAAAAGCCTTTAAAACCAACAGATTTACCTGAGTAGAGAAATTAAACATCTTTACTGCTATAGCTTTCATTGATCCATACGCAGTACTGTAATTTTTAAGAATTGAAATACAGACTCAAAGGGTAATTTAAGGTTTTTGATTTGAGATATATATATGTGTGTGTATATATATATAATGTGCAAAATGTATTATATTCAAAATGCATTATATATGTATTATATTGCATGTAGAAATATAACAATAAAAATTGATCCTTGTAATTAATTATATTAATAGATTAAAGGAGAAAAAGCACATGATGGTCTCAATAGATGCAAAACAAAATGTTTGATAAAATTCAACATCCACTCATAATGATTTTTTAAAAAAGAACTAAAAGGGGACAGCCTGGTAGCGTAGTGGTTAAGTTTGCATTCTCGGCTTCAGCGGCCCGGGGTTCATGGGTTCAGATCCCAGGCAGGGACCTACAAACCACTCATCAAGCCACGCTGTGGTGCCATTCCATATACAAAGTAGAAGAAGATTGGCACAGATGTTGGCTCAGCCACAATCTTCCTCAAGCAAGAAGAGGAAGATTGGCAATAGATGTTATCTCAGGGCCAATCTTCCTCACCGAAAAACAAAACAAACAAAAAAACTAAGGAAATCTGAATAAACTATAGACCAAAGAAAACTAAAAGAAGAAAACTTACTTATCTGATAAAGGTATCTATAAAAAAAAATCTACAGCAAATGTCATACTTAATAGTGAAATCTTGAAAGCTTTCTCTTTGAGATTGGGATCAAGATGACCACTATTCACCATTGTACTAGAGATCTTAATCAGTCCACTGTAGCAAAGAAAATAAACAAGGTTTGGAAATGTGTAATGTTTGATGAGGACAAAAGCAAAACTCATTATTTGCAAGTTATATGATGGTATATGTACACATTCCAAAAGAATCCTCAGATAAATTATTACAATTAGGAAGAGAAATAAAAAATAAATAAAAATTTTAAAGTTAAAATTTTTAAATAAAGAAAAAATTTTTAAATTAATGATAGATATTAATTTCTATATAAAAATAAACTTTATATTATAGCCCAAAGCATAAAATAAATATCTATGAGTCCATACTGATATAAATGAATGATTGAATAAATTAATAAGTGGGAGAGAAGAGACAAATCTCCAAAGAGGACATTATGGAAAGGGGGAGAAAAAGAATAAAGAGACCTGATAAACACCACTTCAGTCTGGTGATCAAGGTCAACATCAATACTTATCAGTCACGTTGATAATATGTACCCTTGATATGATGTGATGAAAATAGCACTTTACTTTTGTGATCCTCCTTCCAAAAACCCACTATCCTAGTCTAATCATGAGAAAAATATTAGACAAATTTCAACAGAGGGCCACCCTATCATACACCTGACCAGTACTTTTCAACATTGTCAAGGTCATCAAAAACAAGGAAAATCTGAGAAACTGTCAGAGCCAAGAAGAGCCTAAGAAGACATGACAATTAGATATAATGTGGTACCTTAGATGGGTTCCTGGAATAGAAAAAGGACATAAAGTAAAAACTAAGGAAATCTGAATAAACTGTGGACTTTAGTTAATAATGTATAGATATTGGTTTATTAATTGTAACAAATGTACCATACTAAAGGTAACATACATCCTAAGATGTTAATAATGAGAAAATTGGGTGTGTGTGTTGGGGGGAGTGTAATATGGGAACTCTGTACTATCTGCTCAATTTTTCTGTAAATCTAAAACTGTTCTGAAAAATAAAGTTCATTAATCATTTTTATAAATTCATTGTATTCTGTATTCAAGTAACAAAGAGAAGATAAAATTTAAAGATATCACTTAACATAACAGTAAAAGATATTAAGTACCTGAAAATATACCTAACAAAAGATGTACACAATCTCTAAAGAGAAAATTATAAAATATTGAGAGATATTAAAGAAGAGGTAAATAAATAAGATATATTATGAATTGGAAGCCTTCATATTGTAAATCTGCCAATTCTCTCCGTCTATTTAATGCATTTCCAATCAAAATCCCCAGAGATTTTTGAAGAATGTGAAAAACTGATTCTAAAATTTATATTGGAAAGACACTAATTCTCTAAATTTACTATCAATTTGAGCCAATCTCAATCAAAATTCCAAAAGGTTACTTCACAGAATGTGATGAGCTAACTCTAAAATATATGAAAATGCTAAGGGCCAAGAACAAGCAAGAAACTTGGTGAAGAAGAGTGGGAGGACATGCTCTAACACGTATCAAGACTTATTATTGCTACTACAATTAAACTGTTGTAATTAAGTCAGTATGGTATTGCTACAAGGATAGACAAGAAAGTCAATGAAACAGAATATAATGTCTTAAAACAGACCCTCACATATGTGGACGCCTAATACATGATAGAGGTGACACTGCAGAGCAGTAGGGAAGGGATAATCTCTTAAATAAATACATAATTGCTCATCTATATGAAAAAATAATTAAATTAGATCTCACATCATTCACAAAAATAAGATTCCAGGAGGACTGAAAATATAAACCTGAAAGGCAAAACCTGAAAGGCTTTTAGAAAAGGATATAAGAAAAAAATCTTGATGACCCTGGGTAGGAAAGGATTTCTTAAACAAGACACAGAAAGGACTAGCTATAAAAGAAAAGATTGCTCCATTTGATTGCATTGAAATTAAGAATTTTTGTTCGTCAAAACACCATTAAAAAGTTAATGTAAATTACAGAGTGAAGGAAAGGATACCTATTGACGATATATTCAAAGGTACTACACTGAACTATACACTTAAAAATGGTTAAGATGATAAATTTTATGTTATACATATTTTTTCACAATTTTTAAAAAATCTATCACCAACAATAAGAAAAAGACACACAACTCTCAAAAGAAAAATGGGCAAAAGACACATACTGGTAGTTCACAAAAGAGGAACTCCAAATGGTCAACAAGCATAAGAAAAGTATTCAAATTCATTTATTTTCAAGAAAATGCAAATTAAAAATACAATGACCTCAGGGCCAACCCCGTGGCTGAGTGGTTAAGCTTGTACACTCTGCTTCGGTGGCCCAGGGTTGCACGGGGTCAGATCCTGGGCACGGACCTAGCACCGCTCATCAAGCCATGCTGAGGTGTCATCCCACACAGCAGAACTAGAAGAACCTACAATTAGAATATACAGCTATGCACTAGGGGGCTTTGGGGCAAAGAAAAAAAGAAGAGTGCCAACAGATGTTAGCTGAGGGCCAATCTTTAAAAAATACATATATATAATGACCTCTACCCAACAGACTGACAAAATTTAAAATATCTCACAATAGCAAGTAGGGGCAAGGATGTAAAATAATAAGATTCTTATACACTGCTGATAGGAGTATAAAATTGTAACTATTTTAGAAAAGAGTTTTGCCTTAGCTATGAAAGGTGTAAATAAGTATATCTTAAAACATCTGGAAAAAAATGCATGAATATATGCACCAAGATACACATACAGAAATGTTCCCAGCAGTATTGCTGTTAGTAGAAACAACCCAGATATCCAGAACAATAAAATTAAAATAATAAATTACTGCATAGTTATACAGGAATACTAGACAGCAATTAAAATAAACTAAAGAAACAATGACATTACTAACACAATGTTGACAAGACGCAAAAGAACAGAAACAGTAAGATGCTGTTTACATAAAGATCAAAATAAGACAAAAATTAGCTATATTGATTAGGAATGCATATCGAGATGGTAAAACTATAAAGAAAAACAAGGAAATGATTACTATAAAAGTCAGGATAGCGCTCACATCCAGAAAAAGACAGGAGATTGTGACGGGCTTCTAAGGTATTGGCAAGGTTCTATTTCTTTCCCTGAGTGATAATTACTGAGTGTTTACTTTATAACATTTTAAATTGTACAATTTATGTTTACATTTCACCTTTTTAAACAGAATTAGAGTACAATATAGGTGAATAGGTAAATAATCTTGGGTTGGGGAAGGCATAAGCATACTACTAAATGTAGAAACTTTAAAAGAAAATATATTTTTGTAACTCTAAGTTGTGGGATGCACACATAGTTTGAGAACTAAAGGAAAAAATACAATTACTGTAGAAAGCTCTAGGGAAGACAGGGAGAGAAGTAATTACAATCAGAGAGTCATATGCAGAGGGTTTCTGGGGTCCTGGCAATATCATATTTCTTGACCTGGGTAGTGGCAACACAGGTGGTCACTTTATAACTATTTGTTTAACTCTACGTTTTATACATTTTCAATATGTTTATCATATTTCACAAAGAAAAAACTATTTTAAAATATGTAAATTAAAAGATTCTTACCTGGATCCGTAAAATCAAGTCCCGAATTCCTACAGTCCGGGCTTTTTCTACATAAGATATCAGATCCATCATCTCTTCTGTTGTCTCAGGGACTTTCAATGCATGCTCTTTAATTGCTTCAAATTCACTACAAATACTGACATAACACTCTCCTTTACTATAGTTATGGAAATTAATACTTTACCATATGCAGTAAGTGTGTTATGATTATTATAAAATAGGAACTGTGATATCCTAAAAATAATTGGATAATTCACTAAGATTTAAAATATTTAAGCATAACTTATTTGATAACTCAGCATATAACATACATCTATAAAATTAAGGTAACATTTTCATGTGGAAATTATGGTATATTAAAAATTTTTTTTTTACCAATCTCTTCAACTCTCTTGAATACCCAGTTAAGCAGTGTGATATAGAGCATACTTTGGATCAGGCAGCCTTAAATTTAAATCCTGCCTCAGCTGCTACTAGCTTTGTGACTTAAGGAAATCTCTGAGGCTTAGTTTCCATATCTTTAAAGTGAAGTCATGAACATTCATCTTGTTTGATTGTCATAATACAATAATGAATGTAAAGGGCCTAGCACATTCTCATTTACTGGTAACTATAATTGTTAGTTTAGCCATTAGTTTATTTATTATTACTAGTGCCTCTTGGGAAACAAGGCAATATAGCAAGTAAAAAAATCAAACCCTTGTACACATTTCAAAAAATCTGTGACTCTCTTAGGATAGCCTATGTATGTAAGTATGAACCTAGATACTCTATAGCCATTATTTAACTAAAGGTACTTTTCTTGGAATTTTTCCCTGTGCTTTGCAATATCTGTATTGTCAGGCCATTACCAGAAATATCAGAAAACTCCATGAAAAAACAAAATATAATAGTGGTTAAGTGATTCTAAAAATAAATTTTAGCTCATGCAGGTATTTCATTTATATTCTGTGGGTAATTATACTTAATCATTCATTTAATAAATAATTGAGTACCTACAATGTGCTAAGCAAAGTTCTAAACATTGAGATAGAGCAGCAAACAAGTCCCTGCCCTCGTAAAGCTTACACTCAAGCGGAGGAGAGAGACAAAAGCACACAAATACATAACACAATGTTAGGTAGTAAAAAGTGATATGAAGAAAAATAAAGCAAGGTAAGGGGATAAAGAATGTTGGAGTGTAGAGAAGGGGCCACTATTTTATATAGAGTAGCCAGGGAAGGGCTCTCTAGGAAGGTGATATTCAAGGTGAGAGAAGAAAAAAACTTCCAAAGAAGAAAAAGCAGCAAGGACAAAGGCCTGGGGTAGCAATAAGCTTGGCATATTTTAGGAGTGGTAAGCAGGCCAGTATGAATACAAAGAAGAGGACAAAACATGAAGTTGGAGAGGTGAGCAGGACTCAGAACATGTAGGGCTGATAATTAATTCTTAATTATCAAACATTTAGGAGGATGAGTGACGTCTGCATCATGGCAGAATGAGCACACCCCTTAAACTCTCCCCTCTAAGATAAGCAAAAAGGATACACATAAACCAACAGAGGACATCCACACAACACAAAAGATGTCTAAGAGACCCATGAAGCCATATGTGTGAAGGTGGAGTGCTGGACTCCCCATAGGAAGTGGAAGGAGGTAAGGAAATCTCTACATACTGAATGGCAGTGACCCTGGGACTGTGCACAGCTTGGAGAGGAAAGGGGGGAAGGGGTGGCCCTCCATGGGAACACCATTGCTCTCCGAGGTCCATCACAGCCTGAGGGAAAGCGCCACACAGCGGTGACTAGCTATTGCGGGGGTGTCTTCAGTAAGCTAGCACCCCAGGAGAGCAGATAGCGAGGACAGAGTGAGAAGCTCCAGGGATCATGCAGGCAAAAGAAAGTGCTTCTCGCCCTACCTGGCACCCCAGTTCACCCTATTCAAAAAAGCAGCAGCTGCGAGCTGAGCTGCAGATCAGGATGGGCTCAGAATACACAGCCCTTGACCCCCACCCAGTGGTTGCAGGTGGAAGCTGCGACCACATATTACCACTATGCAGAAGCACAAATACACCCCATCAAGCAATGTGGAAAAAGACCAGACCAGAAGGAAAATCACAAGTACCCAGAAATCAATCCAGAAGGCACAGAAATCTATAATGTAAATGACAAATAATTCAAAATAGCTATAATAAAAAAAACTCAATGAGTTACAAGAAAACATAGATAGATAGTTCAATGAAATCAGGAACTTCTATAAAGAAGAACCAATTAGAAATATTGGAGATGAAAAACACAATGGAAGAGATTAAGAAAAATATGGATTCCCTAAACAATAGCGCTGATATTATGGAGGAACGAATCTGCAATCTTGAGGACAGAAATATAGAAATGTCTCAGAAGCAGTGAGAACTAAGACTAAAAGAAATAAGAAATTCTCCAAGAAATATTCAACTCAATTAGGAAATGCAACATAAGGATTATAGAGAAGAGAAGCAGAATGTAGCAGAAAGCTTGTATTGAGTACCATATTCCAAGCACTGTGCTAGGTACTTTATATATATTATTTATATATATTAGTTTTCATCCTTACAGAAGTTACAAATGAAGATTCCTTTGAGGTAGCCAGACAGGTAATAAATGAGTTAGATGAGCTGGATGATGAGTTGCTTGAGCACTGAGTGAACAAACTAGAGGACACATTCCCTGTCTAAAAAGGAAACTACTTCTCAGCAACATTTATCACTGCAGACCCAGAATGGCACAGTCTTCCCACTTTTTCAAGAAAAGCAAGAGATTGGGATTTTGTGTGCATGTATGTGTGTGAAATCTAATTTTGAAATGTTGATGGCAAATTCAAACTTTGTTCAAATAAAATAAAACACAATGTGAGACAAGTAAAACACATCTACATGACACATTTAGCTAGCAGGCCACTAGCTTATTAATTCAATTTTATAGCCACCCTGCAAAATAAGTATTACCATCTCCATTTCACAGAAGAGAAAAACAACCTAGGTGACACAGCAAGTAAACCCTGTAGTCAGGAATGATCCCAGATCTTCCCAAGAATGTTGAAAATCCCTAGTTTTTCCATTTTCACGCAACCTGTATCTAAACACTGGCTTCTTTCTTTTCTTTTCTTTTTTTCTTTACAAATCCTAGGTTGCCTAAAAACTAGCCTCAAACAGTATCAAACAAAAAAGAAACCAGACCAATGAGACTACAAAGGAATCTCCTTAAGAGGCAGCTATGTAGAAAAAATTGTAAGTACTTATATTTTAATCTTTTGTTTTTAAATAAGAATTATTATTAGCAAACAATTTCTTTTAGCCCTGTAATTCTGAGTTTGGCAATTAATTTTACTTACCTTTCATTTTCTTTTCTATGTTTTGAAGCTATGTCATTTAATAATATATTTGCAAAGGCTTTTGCTTTGTTTGTTAGGCCTGTCTTCAAATCTTCACAATCCAAACGTACCATAGGGTAATGAACCCACTGAGGCAAAAGCATTATTTCTGAGGCAAGACTGAAAAATTTTTCTATAAACTTAAGAAGAGAGCATTTAAAACAAAAAATGTTTAGAATTTTCAAATTCATCAGTGATTTTATAGTACTGTATTACAGTGAAATTCTTAATTGTATAATATAAATGCAAATTCATTTCCTTTTGCTAAGTGACTAAAATTTTCCCCTTTGTTGCATAAACATTTTTTTCACCTGCATTTTCACTAAGGGATTTGCCAATCTACCAATAAATATCCAATACAATGCCATTTACAGCATTAATATCTGGACATTCCAGAAGGTAAAATTTCCCTCAGTACCTATTAAAAAAAAATCCCTGAAGTCAACTGATCTTTCTGTTTAGAAACAAACCTTTATCATGTGACAATTTGTGTAGCTGACTAATACTTGCTTGTGCCATAACTGATGCCTCGCTGAAGATTCTAATTCAAATTTCAGGAAAAGAAATATAAGGAACTTTGTTGTTTTGGTGAAAATAATCCAGAAGGAGAGAAACATTGTGCTCTGCCATTACCAGAGATCCAAGATATTGGAATTTATACAACTTCTTAATACCTAGACACTGGGATACATTTAAAAATTAAACTAAGTAGTATGGAATTAAACCTAACAAGTTATGTTGCATTTTGTGATAGTGAAACATACCTACCAACTTTGGGCAACTTTGACTTGATTTCACAACCCATCTTTAATGTTTCCTCTCTACTTTCCTCCTCACCCCATCTCCACCCTCCATCAAAATGCCCCATTCTGTTTCTTCCTCCTTAAGGAGATGTTCCCTTCATTTCCCTCTCTCTCAAGGCTATCCTATTTTTCTAGTGTCTCTAGTATTTAGCAGATTTGGCTTAAAATTTTCAAGCCTTAAAGAGAGCTGAGGATATTAATTAATTAATTCAAAGACTACACTGAGTGCCTGATTGGTTCTTAGTTGGAATCATACCAAATAGAGAGTAAATAGCGCTGATGGCATTGGAGAAGGGAGATAGATGTTTTCTTATTCTCAAGTACCATCATCCAGTTTTTCTGGGATGTAATTAACAGACATGGCAAAGAAAATGGGCTGAATGGATCAAAGAAAATATGGCATATTGGAAACAACACAGATGTCCATTTAAGGTAGAAAGGATAGCATATTAATACAATGAAGTGCTATGGTGTAATAAACTATGACAATATGCAAAATATGGGTGAATTTCACAATGATGAATGAAATAAGAAAAAATAGAATATGCTATCTTTCATATAAACTTATCATGAGCAAAACTAAACCATATTATTTAAGAATACATACATAGGTGGTAAAACTATAGAGAAAAGCAAGAAATTCCAGGATAATAGTTACCAATAAACAAGGGAGAAGTTATGGTTGGGGAGAGGCACATGGATAGCTTCTGAAGAGTTAAAAGTTCTAATTCTTACTCTAAGTGGTTATTAGGTTATAATTACCTATAAATCTGCACATATATGCTTTACATGCTTTTCTTTTCTTTTTTTAAAATTTTATTTAATGTATATCAATTCTTAATTTTTTTCTTTTTGAGGAAGATTAGCCCTGAGCTAACTGCTGCCAATCCTCCTCTTTTTGCTGAGGAAGGGTGGCTCTGAGCTAACATCCATGCCCATCTTCCTCTACTTTTTATGTGGGATGCCTACCACAGCATGGCATGCCAAGTAGTGCCATGTCCGCACCCGGGATCCGAACCAGGGAACCCCGGGGCGCCGAAGCAGAACGTGCGCACTTAACTGCTACGCCGCTGGGCCGGCCCCATGCTTTTCCGTATTATGTTATATTTCACAATTATATTACTTTTTAATGGAATATTTTAAATATACCAAAGTAGGCAAAATGTACCCACTATACAGCTTCAACAATTATGAACTCATGGCAAATCTTTTTTTCTCTATACCTTTAACAAATCCCCTGTTCTATTTCTACCCAAATCCCAAGTATCATATCATTTCATCTACGTATATGTTATAGTTCATAATTTTGTATTTCACCAAAATAGGCATCTCAACCAGAACCATAGTATGTCAAGAATTGACAAAGAAATCCAGGGATATATTACTAACCCTAAAAGTAAATTTTTAAATAGTTACATAAACCATCCAGAAATTATAAAATTCAAGAAAATTTCACAGCAAAATACTAGACCTAAGGACAGAGTCATTGTGAAACCAAACGAAACACAAGCTTAGCCTAGAGATCTAGGGCCCATTGATACTACAAGCTATGGCCACGATCACAAAAAATTTAGCTGTTAGCTCATAGAACATTTATTGTGTCTATTTTCTGCTCAGCATTGTATTGAGAAATATGGTAAAACACAAATGAATGAGAATATACAATCTCTGATTTTGTGAAAGTAATGCATTTAGCAATTCATAATATAGATTTATAAGCACATAAAAACCAAATAAGGGACCGGCTTGGTGATGTAGTGGTTAAGTTCGTGTGCTCCACTTTGGCGGCCCTGGGTTCACAGGTTTGGATCCTGGGCATGAACCTAGCACCACTCATCAAGCCATGCTGTGGTGGCATCCCACATAAAATAGAGGAAGATTGGCACAGATGTTGGCTCAGGGCCAATCTTCTTCACAAGAAAAGAAAATCAAATAAGGTAAAAAGTATGCATATTAGAAAAAAAACATGTAATCATCTCAATAGATGCAGAAAAACCATTTAACAAAATCCAACACTCGTTCATAGTAATAACCCTTAACAACAAGGACTAGAAGATAACATCCTCAACTTGATAAGGAGAATGTAGGAAAAATTTACAACTAACATTATACTCAATGGTTTAAAAAACTAATGCTTCCCTCTAGGATCAAGAACAAGATAGAAATATCTAATCTACTCTGACTACTTCTACTCAAGATTGTACTGGGGGTACTAGGTAGGGAAATTAGGCAAGAGGAAAAAAAAAGAGGCATCCATATTGGAAAGGAACGATACAAGAAATTTTATATTTTCAAGTATATGGGGAAACCATTCTGGTTTGAACTTGACTTAGCCTGAATTTTATTTTAAACAGAGCAGCCTGACTTACAGCCTATCAAACACATATTGCACACCTGCTTTAATCGTTAGCCTAAAGCAAAAAAATGTACTCTTTGAAGATAAAAAAATTCATGCCTCCCTTCCTTTGACATCAGCAATCTTTAATGATAAAATTGAATGCCTCCTTTCCAACAGCATCAAGGCCATGTTGACTTGCTGTGTATGTGCTGATCTGTAACAAAATATCTCCCTGAACACTTGAAAGAATGTACCCCTGTCATGCTTGATATATATCTCTTTTGGAAATGGTATATAACTGTGCTGAAAACCACATGAAAACTCTTCTTCAAAGGGCTTCCTTCCTTAGTGAAGGCTGGACTCCCAGGCTATAGTTCTCAGCTTGGCTCAAATAAAACTCTGCTATAGAATGATTATTAATTATTCGCATCAACAGGAAGCAGTAAGACAATCTCTATTTGCAAATGACATGATATTGGATATAGAAAAATCCTACGTAATATACACATAAAACTGTGAAATTAACAAACAAGTTCAGTAAGGATGCAAGACACAAAACCAATATACAGAAATCAACTGTATTTCTACACATTAGAAATGAACACTCCAAAAATGAAATTAAGAAAAAAATTCAATTTATAATAGCTTCAAAAAATAAAATACTTAGAAATTAAATTTAACCAAACAAGCGCAATACTTGCAGAACACAGAAATGTTGGGGAAAAATGGAAAAGCACTATATGGTGACTGAAATGATGCAGGCTAGCCTCCCTGTAACCTACTAGAAATATACTCTAACAAAAAAGCTCTATATATTCAAAGATGTGAAAAAATATGAAAATAATAAAGAGAAAATAAAACACAAAAATATTTGGGAAAATACAGTATCCGAAATGAAAATTTTACTTGAGTAACTGCAGCTTAACACCAGAGAAGAAATAAGTTCTTAAAACAATGCAAAAGAACTATCCAAAATGAAGCATAGAGAGAAAAAACCCGAAAACTCTGAACAGAGCTTCAGTAAACACTGGAATAATATCAAGCAGTCTAATACACATGTAATTGGAATTCCAGAACTGAGGGAGGAGAGGAACAAACAGAAAATACTGAATAAATAATGTCTGAATACTTTCCAAGTTTGATGAGAACTATAAACCCACAGACCCAAGAATCTCAACACTACTTCTTCTCAAGCAGAAGAAATACAAAACAAAGAACACTAAAGCATTTCACAATCCAAAAGCTGAAAAGCAACAACAAAAAAAGAAAATTTAAAAGCAGCCAGACAAAAAACATTACAGAAAGAAACCTGGAAGAAACTTCTAACAGGACAAAATGAGAAGCCCTCTGGACCTGCTCTCTAGTGAAACTGGTGAAAATTATTTTTAAAACAAGCATTTAAAGCCTCTGGAAATGGTCCTAAGAGTATAGAAAAATGAAGAAATATCTATTCAGGAAAATCTACGAAAATTTGGTAAGAAAAGTGAGAATCTGTGGGTTTAAACATAGACTACTCCCTTCCTCCCTGCTCTCAGCTCAGCAAGGTGGAAACTCCACTGCAGACTAGTGCGCTCAACAACACAGGGCTCTCTCTGCGCACAGCTTCCAGCTGGAGGACTTTACCTGTTGCTGAGGTTAGGTTCCCTTTTTTTCCTTTTTTTAATTGAAGTATAATTGACATACAGTATCCCATTAATTTCAGGTGTACATCACAGTGATTGGCTATTCATATACATTACAAAATGATCACCGTGATAAGTCTAGTTACCATCTGTCACCACACAAAGTTATTATAATATTATTGACCATATTTCCTATGCTGTACATTACATCCCGACGACTTATTTATTTTCTAACTAGAAGTTTGTACCTCTTAATCCCCTTCACCTATTTCTTCCATCCCCCACCCATCCTGTCTCTGGTAACCACCAGTTTGTTTCCTTATCTATGAGTCTGTTTCTGTTCATTTGTTTTGTTTTTTAGATGCCACATATAAGTG